ACGATCAACTGTTTCCCAATGCGGTGCTTGTTGATGGGCACCATGGGCGGCGCATGGCACAGCCCTTTGAGACGCCTCCAAGCCTGTCTCAATGCACTCACCATCCACGATCAGCTGCTTCCCAATGCGGTGCTTGTTGATAGGCACCATAGGCGGCGCATGGCACAGCCCGCGCTCCACCTCAAACACTCCGCGCTCCGCGCTTGAGCCCCCCTCCCCGCTCCCCTCCCCGCCCTCCTCCCCGCTGCTCCCCTCCGCTGCCGTTGGCGCGCCCCCCGCTCTCCGCGGAAAGCTCTCCGGGGCGACCAGCACGTCATGCACAAGGGGTGTTCTGCCTTTGGCGGAGGCCTGCGCGCGGATGAGGTCCGCCTGCGGGGAGTGCTGCAGGTGAATGAGGCCCCGCGCAGAAGACAGCGCGAACAGCTCCGCTGCTTCTAGTTGCGCGCACTCTATCCATGCGCCCACTCCCCGCGCTCCTTGCTCCGCACCCTCACTCCCGCTGCTACCAAACCCTATCCCCCCGGCGCCTCGTACCCCACTAGTTCCGCCTCCCCCTCCGCTGATTTCCAACCGCCTGTCAAACCAGCCTAGCTTTCCCAACCATCCCCGCTCAGCGATTTCCCGCGGAGTGGGCTCCGCGGGGACGATCGGCGGGGGGAGCGGTTCCCCCCACGCGGGGTTGGGGCGGCAGAGGGCGGAGCGGCGCAGGGTTGCGCGGAGAAGGTGCGGCTGGCGGGAGGGGTGGAAGGTGTGCGCCACAGCCAGCGCCTGCGACGGCCAGAAACCTGCCACCGTCGCGTCGCCTTCGGGCTGCCCGAGAAAAAACCACATGAGGCGGCGACTCGTGCAGTTGACCGTGAATTTAGGGTCGCAACCGGTGCAAAGGGGTGATACAGGGGAGAGCGCTACAGGCTCCATATAAACCGCTGTGCTCTGCTGTACACGTGTCATGTTCTCCTTGGCTATCAGCTCCTGCACGGCCGTGGACGGCTGTAACAGACTGTAGCAGCGCTGCAACGAAGTGTAAAGCTGGGAATCCTCCACGTCAGCAAGAGTGGCGGCCATGGGGGGGAGGGAAGCGGAGAGGAAAAAGCCGACGCGCAGGCGGCGAGGGCGATGCGCGGAGGGAAGGGGGTGGGAGGCGGAGGGGGAGAACGTGCCAGACAGTTTTTGCTGTTGCTGCTGCAGCTGCTCTTGAGATGTCGGCTGGGGGATTCTCGAGTCAAGAGTCTGTTCGGAAGGCGAACAAGCGGGGGAAGGGGGAGACGAGGGGGGTATGTTCAGGAATCCAAAAAAATAAAATCTGAGACAGCGAACGAAACGCTGACGACTGAGTGCATGCTCGCGAAAAACGGACAGGCGAATAAGACATCGTCGCGAAGGAGTCGACGAAATTTGTAAACGCAGAACCGTGGCGCGCTTCACATTCGCAAAAGAACCTACCCCGTAGGTATATAGCGGCGAGTTGAGCCAGCTTGGATGGTGCTGCAGCACGAGGGCTTCGTCCGACGCATCCGGCGGGAACGACGGCGACTCCTGCGCATGCTCGCCCTGATGGCTGCCGCTTTGCGCGGCGCCGAGCGCGCTCGGGGGAGGCAGAGGGCCCAGCACGTGGTTGAGCGTGGCGTGCGGCATGGCTCGATCCGGCAGCCATAGCACGGCCAGTCGCAACGGCCGCTGCTGGGTTTGCTGCTGGGAATACGCGGCGCTGGTATTCGGAACGCCGGCAGGCAGCTTGGACGACAGGAGATGGTGCAGCGCGTACCCCGCGCACACTGCCTCCAGCCGCTTGTGAAGCGGACCCTGAATGTGTGGGGTTGCGGATGACAGTGGAATGAGGAAGGTGAGGCGAGAAACGGGAAACAAAATGCGACATCGAGGAACAGACTATATCTAGAAAACGAATCTACTTGACGGTGCCTGAATATTTTTTTTATCAGCGACAGTCGTAAGATAACGAACTTTTTATTGAGGAAGGGCCGCCTGACTACCATCCTGAGCCGTTATATTCAGACACTGGCAGGTTATACAAAATAACAGGTTACCTTAGCCCATATAACGACGTCCGGATGAGGGACAATACGGTTCAGGCTTCTGCCTTCCTCATTCGCCCCGTCTTCTGCTGCTCGTCCCGCAAAAACCGGCCGAGGATTAGAGAAGACGAGGAATCTCCGGCCGTCGTTGGTGGCCGTCATTAGTGCTTCGCGAGTTAGCGCAACGAGACTGATGACGGTGAGCACTGCAATGAGCTTCGACATGCGTCGCCACGTGGCGTTCTTGGAACACATTGCTGAAAATGCACCCTTGTCGCTACAGACTAAGTCACTACAATGACTCCGGGCGTTAAATGACCAAGCAAGATGCTTGCTCATACTCGCTCGCAGAGTCGCGTCTAATCTTCTTCCGGAAACGCTTTTCGCCATTGGATCTCCGTACTAATACTGTCAGCTAAGATTCGCTGTAACAGTCCTTCCCTAAAGCTTCCACACTAGAACGTTCACGTTGCTCTCAGCATCATCCACCTCTACGCCACCGCCTGCCAATTCCACGGCTTAGGAGCGACCAACATTCGCCGTCCAGAACTGCAAAGCAATCAGCACGGTGAGCGATTCTAGCTAATCAGAGTTGAAAATCGGTGGCGTTGTGTGAAATGAACACAGAGCGGGAGAAGTCGGAATGAGCTAAGCTGACCGAACAACCAGATGTGCAAGGAAGTACGCGGGTGGGTGGACGGGTGGACGGGCGAGGAGGGAGGGAGGGTGTGGGTTGGGGAGGGAGGTGAGTGAGAGAAGGGAAAATGCCTGGTTTGGTTTGGGGATGTTTTCTGGGCCGGTTTGTCAAAATGTCACCAGGTCGGGTTTCCGAGGCAGGGGAGGTGCTCCGGGATGTTTCGACAAGTCCGATGTCCATGCGCCCTAGGGATCTGCGGGAACTTGGCAGAACAATCGACGGTCGTTTCTTGCTCCAGGCGACAACGGACCGTCCCCCAAACCGACAAGCTCGTAAACGGGCCGCACACGAGAGCGGACTGGGCTGAAGTCAGCCTCGGCAATGCGTTACGGGGGCGCCTCATTTCGCGAGTAGACTTGGCGGCCAAAACTCGGCGCTACGGTGCGAATTTTCGCTTGCCCCCGAGAACACATACTGGTCAGCATGGGCTGGTACGGAAAGGTATTCACATAAAAAAATATATAAACACGTGTAGGTTATGATATTATGGCGATTATTGATTACAAGTCATATCCTCTCCGGTTTGGAAATAAAAACAATCTGACTGACCTGGAGGCCCGGCTTGCGTCGCAATATTTTTTTCGGGACGTCACGGGAAGGTCAGCCAGGACGCCGCACCTATTCAATAATGCCACGTGTTACCCAGCCTAACCCACACCCAGATTTGTGCCGTTGCTAGAACCTAGAAAGAGTAGTGCGTTTGAATAATACAGTTTCCAATATCTACACCACGACTTCATATTGAGACGTGCTCCATAAACACGTATTGCAAACGCACATAGAGAGGCATAGTGAAGAGCAAAAAGCAGAAGGGGGGCAAGTCCGATCTTCTTCGCCTTCAACATCATATGTAACTCCCTAGAACGCCTCGCGGAGATAAATCGATCTTATTTCGTTTCACTAGCAAGCAGTTGAGTACATATAGCAAACCCTAAAGTGGGCTGTACTCACTATTAAGTACCCCACTGCATGCTAGACAAACATAACATTCTGACACACCCCCATAGCCAAAGTGGGGTGTAATCAGCACAACAAGCAAGCAAAACACAAGCTCAGGGTGGATCACAATGTCACCACACAATCTGAGCACAAGTACAAGAAGCAACAGTTTAAAGTTCACAAATGTAAGCAAAGCTAGAGGCTATCACCGAGGGCAAGTGTGGAGGAGGAGGGACTATGAGAGGAGAGGAGGTAGTGGGTGGCAGCTGAAGTTGCTGGCACACGGCGCAACTGGAGCAACTGGCACACGGGCAACTGGAGCAACTGGCACACTGGCAACTGGAGCAACTGGCACACGGGCTACTGGAGTAACTGGCTCCGCGGCTAACTCTGAGCGGCAGGAGCAACGGACTCACGGGCGACTGGAGCAACTGGCTCACGGGCGACTGGCGCAACGGGCTCACGGGCGACTGGCGCAACGGTCTCACGGGCGACTGGAGCTGCGGGCTTCACGGCGGCCACCCCCCTGCAACCTCCCCAAACTATCTCACCCCCCTTTCACACACCCCCTGCTGCACCCTAATCCCTTCATGTCTCCATCATCCTCCTCCCCTTCTCCTTCAGCCGCGTTCCGCACTCCGCCTCCCGCTTTCGCTTCTCCCACTTCCGCGTCTCCCGCATTCACTTCCCCCGCATTCGCTACCCCCACTTCCGCTCGCCCCGCATTCACTCCCCCGACGACCGCCGCTCCTCTGACATCGCCAGGCGACCTCCCAGATCCCAGCTACGCCACTCCGCAAGCCGCCATCCGCGCAACATCAAGATTCGGCCCTCCGCTCCACTCGCTTGCCTCCACTCCATCCCAGCCCAAATCCAGCCCGCGAAACCCTACCCAGGGTGGTAACATTGGTCAGAGTGGTAACCCAATTTGGTCGCAGCCAGCCGTTTTGCAACCTTCGGCTGCAGCTCAATCCAGCACTCCTCCCGCCTTCGCAACACCTTCCGTCTCTCCCGCCGCTTGGTCCGCCGCCACTTCCGCGTCGCCAAACGGTCGGGCTTGGTACGGCTTTTCCCCTTCGCCATCTCCTATAGCTGAACGGAGCAGCGCTGCGACCAACTCGTTCGATTCAACAGCCAATGCTACTGCTATCCCGGATAAAGCTGCTGCGGTTTCGGCTCCTAGTAGCGCCCGACGAGCCGAAGCTGAGGAACAGGCTCGGGAGAGGTTGGGTAATGGAGCAAAGGGTAGTGGTCCAATTAAGGGTAAGGTACAGAAAGGGACGAAAGCCGAGCCAGCGGATCGGATTTCTGACTCGGCAGGGGTGAATCCAATGACTGCAGCAGATTCGGGGTGGGCAGTTTCGGCAGCTGTTGCAGCTGGTTCGGGTGAAGTAGGTCGGACGAGAGTCGCAGGGGGTGCGGCTCTTCAGAACGCGGATAAGATTCGAACGGACGGTCCAGATCTACAGAATTATGGCAGACTTGAGCAAGATGGATTGTTAGGAAGCCGTTCCCAGCCATCCGATCCGCAACCTTCCTGTTTGGCGTCACAGAGAGAGGGGAATAACAGATTGACAGCCGCGAGAGATGTTTCTCCCACAGCCGCTCCTGTTCCTTGCACTGCGTCCATCACATCGCTACCATCAGCACCACACAGGCAGGTTTCGCCTTCCGCCTCTCCTGCCACCGTCCCGTTGCCCTCTCAAGAGACGGGCTCCCCCTCCCCTGCCCCCCTCGCATGCCCTTCCGCCACGCCCGCCGCCCTTTCCGCCACCCCCTCCGCCACTCCGTCTGCCACCCCTTCCGCCACCCCCTCCGCCACCCCGTCCGCCACCCCTTCCGCCATCACTTTCGCTACCCCGTCCTCCCCCTCTTCTGCGGCCCACTCACATCACAGCCGCGTAAAGCGCAGCGCCAGTGACAACAACTGTCTCAGCCAGTCCACGCCCTCCTCTGCCAAGCCTGCCGTCCCGCCTCCCAGCCGAACCTCCTCCGCAGGCTCGGAGCTAGGCAAGGGCGCAGCAGCGGCGGCTGCAGCTGCTGTGGCGGAGTTTTCCGCGCGCAGGCAGCACATGGGCGCGGAAGCTTCAGTTGGGGAGCGCGGAATGAGGGGGAAGACGCCTATAGGAGCAGCAGCAGGTGCAGCAGTGGTATCAGGAGGAAGAGAGAGAAGGGAGGGTTCAAGCAATGCTGCGGGTGATAGCAGGGGCGGTAGCAAGAGTAATTTAACTCAAAAGAATGGAGACTCCCCCGCCCTCTCTTCTTGGCCTTCCCCCGCCCCAGCGTCCCCCTGGGTCCCCTCCCCTTCCCCCTCCGCCTCTCCTTCCCTCCGCACTCCCCACGCACCCTGGAGCATCACCGCTTCCCCTGCCCCCGCCCGACAATTCCCCCCCACCCCCTCCCCGTGGTCCCCCTTCCCCCAAGCGTCCGCCAGGGGCAGGGGGAAAGGGGGGGCAATGGCGGGGGGGGTGTGGTGGGGGAGGGCGGTGGTGGGGGCGCTGCAGCAGCGGTCAGCGGGGGGGATGAGGCGGCTGGCGCTGCTGATTGCGCTCAACTCCGCGTATTCCACTGCAGAGCTCATAGTGGGGCTGCTTATAGGGCGAATAGGTGGGTGACCAGGCGTTGAGCTTGACTTGAGCTCCAAGCCCAAGACCAACTCCCAAGCCCAAGACCAACTCCCAAGCCCAAGACCAACTCCCAAGCCCAAGACCAACTCCCAAGCCCAAGACCAACTCCCAAGCCCAAGACCAACTCCCAAGCCCAAGACCAACTCCCAAGCCCAAGACCAACTCCCAAGCCCAAGACCAACTCCCAAGCCCAAGACCAACTCCCAAGCCCAAGACCAACTCCCAAGCCCAAGACCAACTCCCAAGCCCAAGACCAACTCCCAAGCCCAAGACCAACTCCCAAGTCCAAGACCAACTCCCAAGCCCAAGACCAACTCCCAAGCCCAAGACCAACTCCCAAGCCCAAGACCAACTCCCAAGCCCAAGACCAACTCCCAAGCCCAAGACCAACTCCCAAGCCCAAGACCAACTCCCAAGCCCAAGACCAACGCCCAAGACCAACTCCCAAGCCCAAGACCAACTCCCAAGCCCAAGACCAACTCCCAAGCCCAAGACCAACTCCCAAGCCCAAGACCAACTCCCAAGCCCAAGACCAACTCCCAAGCCCAAGACCAACTCCCAAGCCCAAGACCAACTCCCAAGCCCAAGACCAACTCCCAAGCCCAAGACCAACTCCCAAGCCCAAGACCAACTCCCAAGCCCAAGACCAACTCCCAAGCCCAAGACCAACTCCCAAGCCCAAGACCAACTCCCAAGCCCAAGACCAACTCCCAAGCCCAAGACCAACTCCCAAGCCCAAGACCAACTCCCAAGCCCAAGACCAACTCCCAAGCCCAAGACCAACTCCCAAGCCCAAGACCAACTCCCAAGCCCAAGACCAACTCCCAAGCCCAAGACCAACTCCCAAGCCCAAGACCAACTCCCAAGCCCAAGACCAACTCCCAAGCCCAAGACCAACTCCCAAGCCCAAGACCAACTCCCAAGCCCAAGACCAACTCCCAAGCCCAAGACCAACTCCCAAGCCCAAGACCAACTCCCAAGCCCAAGACCAACTCCCAAGCCCAAGACCAACTCCCAAGCCCAAGACCAACTCCCAAGCCCAAGACCAACTCCGAAGCCCAAGACCAACTCCGAAGCCCAAGACCAACTCCCAAGCCCAAGACCAACTCCCAAGCCCAAGACCAACTCCCAAGCCCAAGACCAACTCCCAAGCCCAAGACCAACTCCCAAGCCCAAGACCAACTCCCAAGCCCAAGACCAACTCCCAAGCCCAAGACCAACTCCCAAGCCCAAGACCAACTCCCAAGCCCAAGACCAACTCCCAAGCCCAAGACCAACTCCCAAGCCCAAGACCAACTCCCAAGCCCAAGACCAACTCCCAAGCCCAAGACCAACTCCCAAGCCCAAGACCAACTCCCAAGCCCAAGACCAACTCCCAAGCCCAAGACCAACTCCCAAGCCCAAGACCAACTCCCAAGCCCAAGACCAACTCCCAAGCCCAAGACCAACTCCCAAGCCCAAGACCAACTCCCAAGCCCAAGACCAACTCCCAAGCCCAAGACCAACTCCCAAGCCCAAGACCAACTCCCAAGCCCAAGACCAACTCCCAAGCCCAAGACCAACTCCAAGCCCAAGACCAACTCCCAAGCCCAAGACCAACTCCCAAGCCCAAGACCAACTCCCAAGCCCAAGACCAACTCCCAAGCCCAAGACCAACTCCCAAGCCCAAGACCAACTCCCAAGCCCAAGACCAACTCCCAAGCCCAAGACCAACTCCCAAGCCCAAGACCAACTCCCAAGCCCAAGACCAACTCCCAAGCCCAAGACCAACTCCCAAGCCCAAGACCAACTCCCAAGCCCAAGACCAACTCCCAAGCCCAAGACCAACTCCCAAGCCCAAGACCAACTCCCAAGCCCAAGACCAACGCCCAAGCCCAAGACCAACTCCCAAGCCCAAGACCAACGCCCAAGCCCAAGACCAACTCCCGAGCCCAAGACCAACTCCCCAGCCCAAGACCAACTCCCAAGACCAACTCCCAAGCCCAAGACCAACTCCCAAGCCCAAGACCAACTCCCAAGCCCAAGACCAACTCCCAAGCCCAAGACCAACTCCCAAGCCCAAGACCAACTCCCGAGCCCAAGACCAACTCCCGAGCCCAAGACCAACTCCCGAGCCCAAGACCAACTCCCGAGCCCAAGACCAACTCCCGAGCCCAAGACCAACTCCCGAGCCCAAGACCAACTCCCGAGCCCAAGACCAACTCCCGAGCCCACGACCAACTCCCAAGCCCAAGACCAACTCCCAAGCCCAAGACCAACTCCCAAGCCCAAGACCAACTCCCAAGCCCAAGACCAACTCCCAAGCCCAAGACCAACTCCCAAGCCCAAGACCAACTCCCAAGCCCAAGACCAACTCCCAAGCCCAAGACCAACTCCCAAGCCCAAGACCAACTCCCAAGCCCAAGACCAACTCCCAAGCCCAAGACCAACTCCCAAGCCCAAGACCAACTCCCAAGCCCAAGACCAACTCCCAAGCCCAAGACCAACTCCCAAGCCCAAGACCAACTCCCAAGCCCAAGACCAACTCCCAAGCCCAAGACCAACTCCCAAGCCCAAGACCAACTCCCAAGCCCAAGACCAACTCCCAAGCCCAAGACCAACTCCCAAGCCCAAGACCAACTCCCAAGCCCAAGACCAACTCCCAAGCCCAAGACCAACTCCCAAGCCCAAGACCAACTCCCAAGCCCAAGACCAACTCCCAAGCCCAAGACCAACTCCCAAGCCCAAGACCAACTCCCAAGCCCAAGACCAACTCCCAAGCCCAAGACCAACTCCCAAGCCCAAGACCAACTCCCAAGCCCAAGACCAACTCCCAAGCCCAAGACCAACTCCCAAGCCCAAGACCAACTCCCAAGCCCAAGACCAACTCCCAAGCCCAAGACCAACTCCCGAGCCCAAGACCAACTCCCGAGCCCAAGACCAACTCCCGAGCCCAAGACCAACTCCCGAGCCCAAGACCAACTCCCGAGCCCAAGACCAACTCCCGAGCCCAAGACCAACTCCCGAGCCCAAGACCAACTCCCGAGCCCAAGACCAACTCCCGAGCCCAAGACCAACTCCCGAGCCCAAGACCAACTCCCGAGCCCACGACCAACTCCCAAGCCCAAGACCAACTCCCAAGCCCAAGACCAACTCCCAAGCCCAAGACCAACTCCCAAGCCCAAGACCAACTCCCAAGCCCAAGACCAACTCCCAAGCCCAAGACCAACTCCCAAGCCCAAGACCAACTCCCAAGCCCAAGACCAACTCCCAAGCCCAAGACCAACGCCCAAGCCCAAGACCAGCACCCAAGCCTAAGCGTTGAGCCTTTCTTTCCATCTCTCCCACCCACCCATCCCCTCCCAGAGCTCGTGTCCGACTCCTTCCACCTCTCCCTCGGCTGCTGCCTCCTGCTGCTCTCACTGCTCTTCACGTATTCTCTTTCCCCTCTCCATCCATCTCTCTCTATCTACCGCTCCCCACCCCTCCCCTCGCAGAGCTCGTGTCCGACTCCTTCCATCTCTCCTTCGGCTGCTGCATCCTGCTGCTCTCTCTTGCTGCCATGCTCGTGGGGAAACGCCCCGCAGATGCCACCTTCACCTACGGGTAGGCCAATTGGCACTTGCACCTTTGCACAACTTCCCCAGGTGCCACCTACCCTGGGTGCAACCTTCCCTAAGTGCTTGCTCCACCAGATGCAACTGCCGTTTCGTTCGTTTGCTTTCACCAACAAGATGTTCTACTCCTTGCGTCTCAGCCTAAGCATGCTTTGTCCTCGCCTCGCCTGGACTGCACTGCACACACCGCTGATTCATAAGCCCCTTCCCCATTCCTGCATTTTCCCCTGTCGTCTGCTGTTCTCTCTGCATTCCCGCTCCTTTCTGACCTCATTCTCTGCAATCTCCATGCCGCATCACTGTGCCCCCTCCTGACTGCGTCTCCCAGCTATGAGAGACTGGAGGTGCTAGCAGCCTTCACAAACGGGGTGAGTGGGAAAAATCACCGCTTGTGCCCTAGAAACGTGCTGCTACGCATCTCATGCATTTTGTGTGCTGATACAGATCCGCTTTGCACTTATGTTCCTCCTGTCTGCTGCTATGAGAGACTGGAGGTGCTAGCAGATTTCACCAACGGGGTGAGTGCAAGATGAGTCCACATCCCACCACGTGTGCTCTAAAGATGCGCTGTTTCCCGTTTATGTGGGATGTGGACTCATCATGTATCCAGGCACCTTGTTTGGCTTCGTTCCATCTGCTCTCCCCCCGCCACCCCCCTCCCTCCATCCCATCCTGCAGCTCTTCCTTCTCTTCCTCTCCTTCTCGCCAGTAGTCTTTTGAGTCAACGCAAAGATCACCCTGCTCTCCCCACCCCCTTCCCTACCTCCCCTCCCTCTGTCCCATCCTGCAGCTCTTCCTTCTCTTCCTCTCCTTCTCGCTAGCAGTGGAGTGCTTGCATGCTTATATCGAGGATGAGGCAGAGCACAAGTGAGCTATCTTAGCCCTCTAATTTATATCTGCTTCCTTGTCACTTTCCTCTGCTTTATGCCTTCTCTCCACTCCCTGCCTGCTTGTCGCTCCCTGCCTCCTCTTTTCTATCTTAACCACTTTCACTTTTTGTCAATGCTTTCCGCTAGTCCCCACTAACTGGTCCTTTTGATTGCCCACCTTCCCAAGTCAACATATCCACACTTGACTCTTCACGCTCTCTCGTTTCTCATCAACCTCCCCCTGCGCAGGCACTACCTGGTTCTCTCCGCGGTGGTTCATCTGCTCATCAACCTCCTCGGAGTGTTTTTCTTCAAAAGCTTTGCTCGTCGCACAATAAGTGAGTGCAGAGGTGCCTGTACGAGAGTGCAGGTCTGTGTGAGCAGGGGTGATTTTTAGGCGCCTCGAAAGTCGCACAATAAGTGAGTGCAAAGGTGCCTGTATGAGTTAGGAAGAGGGGCGTGTGAGCAGGGGTGCATAAGCAGGGTTACATGAACAGGGTTCAAGGGACATGAACCTTCATACCTTCCTTCCCCTCCATCTCCCTTTGCTCCTTCTCCTCTCTGTCACACCAGCATACCAGAGACCAAGAGACATGAACCATCATGCCATCCTTCTTCACCTGCTCTGTGACTCTATCAGAAGGTAATCACTGCGAGATAACTGTACTCTCATCAATTCATGTTCCGGAGCCCATCAGGTCATCTACTTTTCACTCATCAGGTCTAATTGCACAATCTGACAATCGAATTTATCATTCTGTTATACCTGCTTTCCTCCTTGCCTGTTGCAGTGGTGGGGTTGTCCTTGCCTCGTGGTTCATTGCAATAGGGTAAGACACTGCTTCTACACATGCAGAACGCTCAACAATATTCAAATTCCTTGCAGGTCTTGTTTGCAGGTTGGTCAACTGCTTTTAGAATCTCAATACTTTTTTTTTTCCGCACATTGCCCATGTCATCCTCTACTTCACACCCAAGTTCTCACTCCCGCCAAGCTCTTTTTCCTCACCCTACCTCTGCCCATTTTGCGTCTGCCTCGACCAGAGTGTACAGTGCAGAGGCCATCTGCCTGGGGCTCGTCTCCCTCACAGTGCTCGTCCTCGCGCTCCCATTGGTCCAGTCGTCCGGCAATCTGCTGCTGCAGATGGCTCCTGCAGGCATCTCCGAACCCGCCCTGCACAAGTGCATTCGCCATGTGGGTCTTTCATTCTCATTGATTTCATATGCATTCAATATGCGGGTCTTCGATACCCATTGGTCCAGTCGTCCGGCAATCTGCTGCTGCAGATGGCTCCTGCAGGCATCTCCGAACCCGCCCTGCACAAGTGCATTCGCCATGTGGGTCTTTCATTCTCATTGATTTCATATGCATTCAATATGCGGGTCTTCGATTCCCATTGGTCCAGTCGTCCGGCAATCTGCTGCTGCAGATGGCTCCTGCAGGCATCTCCGAACCCGCCCTGCACAAGTGCATTCGCCATGTGGGTCTTTCATTCTCATTGATTTTCTCTCGTCTGCATTCAGTATGTGGGTCTCTGTGATTCTCTCTTCACTTACCTCCACTCGCAATTCTCATGTCACTCCTGTTATTAGATGTATGCATTGGTGCTTTTTGGTTACTCACTCTGAACATAAGAGCTTCAACCTGTGTGTCTGTTGTGTCGTTCCATGTGTTGTTATGTGCTTTGTGTGTATTTGTGTGTGCACCTAACAGGTGGCGGCATATGAGGGGGTAGAGGAGTGCATAGAGCATCGCTTCTGGGCAGTGGTCCCGGGACATGTGGTGGGGACACTCACTGTTCGGGTGAGTTTCCACCACTTTTAGTTCCACGTGCCACATGTTTTGGTGAAAGTTGGGCTGAAAATTATGTGTGACATCATTCGGGAGACAATGTCTAAAGAATCTCTACATGCTGATTGTTGTTTTGCAGGTTAGAGAAGGTGTAGATGAGCAGAAGGTTCTCGAGCATGTCCATTCCATTTTCAATGACATTGGTGTCAGGGACCTCACTGTTCAGATCGAATCAACCTCGTAGGATGAATGTACTGTACCCTGTATATATCGCAGGCCTATGAATCTATGATGGGCACATGCGCTCGTATGGGGTGCAAGGCAATGTGCCTAAGTTGGAATCCTGGTTGGGTTTGACAAAAGTGAGGTTAAATTAAAACCTTACTGTAATCAGCAAAAGAGGAATCCTGACACGCCTCTTTCTCTAGAGACCCTTCTTTTTCTACCTCAATTGTGGTGGCCTTGAGAACATCCCCTTCTGAAAATCTCCCTTAGGGAGAGTAGATGTACAGGTGTAACACCTTACGTTAATTGAGTTGCAATTGTACCGATATCTTGTTCCTCCTGGGAACTACAGTAGACATCGGCTTGCAATCCTAGCTGGAAAACATGCCAGCCGGACTGCCATAATTGGTTGGATTCAATCTTTTTGTGGCCAATAACTTGCAAATTGGAAGGGGCTAGCGCCCCATGTGTCTGTAAAAGGGAGGTGGTTAAGTCGTCAGCATGAAAACTATTGGCTGCAAGTTTTCTGCGGCGGGGTGGTGGTTGTAAGCCGTGGCATGCAAATCAAATACTTGTGGTGAAGGAAGAGCTGGACAGCAACTTGAACAACTTTGCCGTTGCTCTGCTTCGCTGGAGAATTTATTTCTCTTGAGCGGTGCACAATGTAAAATTCTTGAACATGTGAACAACACTGACCTTCATCACCACCACTCCCTCAAGCGTCATGACACAGAGGTGGATATGAAATCTCGAGCCAAATTGTTCGGTCGTTCTGCCCGAACAATTTGTCTCGAGATTTCATGTTGGCTGGAAGCTTCCAAGGTGAATATCCCTGCCGCCCTCGCGTGGGAGTTTGTTCATTCAATCGCATCGCCTCGCCTCACCTCGCCAACAGACCACATCCCCTGCTGCTCCACTTCCTGACGTGATCGCGGGCAGAGCGGACTGTTTTCCGCCAAGAGCACCGCTGGCACCGCTAAGAGCCGAACCAGGCGCACATTGCTGTCCCCCTGTCACGTGTGGTCCCCACTTCCCGAGCTTCTCGACCAATCCACCCCGCCCTGATTTATCCAAGACTCGCAGCAGGCCACTCGCCACGTGTTCCTGCGACAGCTCAGCGCGTGGCTCCCGTTGCTTCCCTTCTCCGCCTGGTTCCCTTTCCCGCCTCCCGCGGGCCAATGCGCACTGTAAACTGTGGCGGGCGCAACCCGCCCAGCTTCACATTCAAACTAGCTGGAGCAAAAAGCCTTGCCCGAACCATGTTCCCAAGGTTCCTTCTCTCCAGTCCCCCGTACCGTTCCGTTCTCAAAGTTCAATGCTATGCTATCAATAGCACTGTGGGGGGGCACCGAGTGGTATCCCCTTGATCAGGTTTTATGTTCAGATACAGATCACACAGGTGCTGTTTCTGCTGTCAAGAGACGTGGTTCTTCTGTCAAGCAAAGGAAGCAGCAGCTGAGGTGGGAGGGAGAAGCGTAGTCAAGTGGTTCTGTGGTGTGTGTCCGTCCCTTATCCAGCGCTCTATGCAGCTGTCCTTGCGCTGAACGACGATATTTCTGTTTGCGCTGAGTCAATCCCTGTTAGCATGCAAAGGATCAGCAGGAATAGCTTTCTGAGTGGTCAATCGTTACGGGTGATAGAGGTCTTAAACTAGAGGCCTAGCTAAGATCTTCCCCGTTTCATTGCATCATTAGTCTGTTGTTTTTTACCACAGGCTCATTCATTGGATATGACTGCTGACGTGGAAAGCTCCCACTGTCTTTACCCTCTCCTCTCTATGGCGCATTCCTCGCCTGTCCCCGCTGATCCTGGTGCGTCCGCGTTTGCAGCGTCCTCTCTTCACAGTACAGCAATCCCTCCCTCAGAGCCGTTTAGAGAGGAAGGAGAGCAGCTTCAGTCCGTTAGGCCGTTCGATCTCTCACGCAATTCGTTTTTAACTCCTCAAGCCGCTCGGCCTTCCATAGTCATGTCAGCGATTAACGCCGCAGCGGCTACAGGCTCGGCAAACCTGGCCAATCAGCAGCATTTTCTCCAACCAAGCCCTTGCCTCCAATCGCCAGTTGACGTCAGCTTACCTATCGCCATTCCCTCCGCTCTTCGCGGGACGGCGGTAGTGGCGGTAACTGGCGCGGGGATCGAGGCGAATGCGCTGAGCCCGCATTCCACTCTGAGTGGCGGAGTAACACACAAGCTGTTCCTCAGCACGCAATCCTTCCGCAGTTTCCCCCCGAACCTCCCCCTTTCCGCGCTTGGCTCATGCTCCTCCTCGGGATCGTCCGGGGCCTCCTCCCCCTGTGGCGGAACGGCGGAACGCGGATCGCAGTCGCTTTCCGCCAAGCGACACCACGGGGGGTCGGACAACCTGCTGAAACGGATTAATTTTAGCATGTCGATGCCGAATTTGAACGGGTGGTTGAGGAATAAAGACAGGCGGTTCGATGAAGGCGCCGGAGGTTCCGCGCACGGACCGGACGAGGGGAGTGACTTGTCGGCTATTTTTGAAGTGCCTCAGATCGTGGTGCAAAGTGCGCAGCGAAACGCGGTGCAGTATGCCGTGCAAAACGCAGTGCAAAACGTGGATCATGCTGAGCCGCAGACGGGGATCATGCTGAGCCGCAGCCACAAGGAACCGGTGCGAGAGGTGTCTTGGACTGGCACGGCGGCTGTGACTGAAGAGGAGGAGACTGCAGCGAGGTCGCCAGGCGAGTCCTCGCGAGGGAAGTGGCGGATCACGCGGAGCAGCCGCAGCCATCGCGAGCATCACTCGCGAACGGGCTGGGCGACGATTGGCGACAAGATTCGCCTGTCGTCGCTGTCGTCGAGTCGGCTACTGCCGTCGAGTCGGAGGAATTTTCTGAGAAACTCTCCAGGGTCGATGAATTCGATAAGCCTCACAGGACCCTTGGGTCCCGCGGGAGGGGAGGATTTTATTTCCATGAGCCTTGCCCAATCCTGTGGTCCTCCTGCTCCAGGAAATCTGCAAAGGCCGTCGGGAGGCGCGGCGGAAGCGGCGGTCGCGGAAGGGGCGCGCGAGGGGGAGGCAGCGGAATGCGACGGTGGCGAACCGGAGCTGTTAGGACTAGAGGCGGAGGAAGGGATAGTTGTTTCCTGGTCTTTAAATAGCGACGCTGCGGGGCGGGGGAACGGCGGAGCGACGTGCGCATCCGCGGAGGGAGCGGAATGGGCGGAGGGAGTGGCGGGGGAGGACCGCATGCAGGTGGTGGCTTCCGGTAACGGCTACGTGTTTTCCGCCGTGTATGACGGATTCACCGACACGTCAGCAGCCGATTTTCTCGTCGCTAATCTGCACGCGCGGTTCGCCCAGCAATTAGTCGGCCGCGGGTTGGATTTTGGAGACGCAAACTTAAATACCTCTCTTGCTGCGGGGGACGCGTCGCAGCGGCACGAGATGGTCCTGCAGGCTCTAGCGGCGGCGCTTAGCGAAACCGAAGCGGCGTATTTCGAGTCGTTAGAGGAGCGAATGGTGGAGCGGCTGGAGCTGGCCGTGGCGGGCGCGTGCCTCGTGGTGGCCGTGGTGGCCGGGCGCGAGCTTTACGTGATGAACCTCGGGGACTGCCGCGCCGTGGTCGTAGCGGAGAACGGGCAGGCGGGGCAGGCTGGGGAGGCGGGGGAAGCGGGAGAGAAGCTGGCGGATTTGCGGGCGACTCAGCTGACGGAGGACCACAACACGAGCAACGAGAAGGTGAGAGCAATTGTATCTAGCCTTTTTATTGTTTGTTTTGCGTTTTTTGTTGTTTTTGTGGCGGTTTTCGCTACTATTTGTATACTCATTCTGACGTTTCGCCCCTCCCGCTGTTGTTGCCTGCCACTGGTGTTTGTTCCAGGAGGTGGAGAGGTTGAGGAGGGAGAGGGCGGACGATCCCGACGCCATCACAAAGATGCGAGTCAAGGGCAAGCTCAAGGCCACCAGGGCGTTTGGTGCCGCCTACCTCAAGAATGTACGCTCAATCTTTGCATTAGTCCATAGTCCACCCCCGGTCGTCATGCTCTCTCCCTTCTCGCGTTGTGCTGCCCCATTGTCTACCTCACGCATGCAAGTGCGTCAACCTGACCAGCTTTTCTCGATATATGTGTCTATTTCCGCTCACCTCTCTGCTCGCCTTCCCTCCCCTTCCGTCCGCCAGCCGCGAGTCAACGCCATGCTCCTCGGCATGCTGCGAGTGCAGTACGTGGGGTCTCAGCCCTACCTCTCCTCCTCGCCACATCTCCACCACCTCACTCTCTCCTCCTCCCACCGCTACCTCGTCCTCTCCTCCGACGGCCTTTACCAACACATGACTCCTGCCGACGCTGCTGCCTCTGTGTCCCGCGCACTGGCTGCTGTGGATAAGGCTTCTGGCGCTGGTAGCACCGATACTGAGGGTGGTTGTGGGAGCTCGTGTAAGGGCGCTTGTGGGCCGAATCTTTCGCATGCTCTGGTGCAAGAGGCGCTTGATCGAGCTGCAAGAAGAGCAGGTGGGTGCTTGGAGTTTGCTCGTGGTTTGTTCGGGATGTGCATGATGGGGTTCGTTCATGGTGGTGGTTGTTTTTCTTTACCCGTCTCCACTGACAATTATGTCTTGTTCTCTCCAGGTATGACAATTGAACAACTTCTTCAGATACGCGCGGGCGATTACCGCCGACAATTGCATGACGATTTATCCGTTACAGTTCTGGAGCTTCAATGTTAGCTCCATTCTGTCATATATACCGTAATAGCCTCCACTGTTTACCGTGGCAGTGAACATTCTGCTATGACGCAGAAGGGGGTTCAAATTCGTATGATCAGTTTTGGGATTTTGTAATTTGGAATGCTATATGCATCTAATAAGTAATCCGCTGCTGCTTATCATCAGTTAGTCATCTCTCAGCCATCCAATTTGTTCTTTTGCACTTTCAGGATCATGTTTCCCTTGTCCAATTCCATCTGTTCAAAAGCAAACATCTTCTGTGCTGGCGAAGTGCGTAAGTATGCTGGATGCTCAAGGGCAGAAGTGTAGACTATTTAGCCGTATATCGCGTCGTCCAAAATCCATGTACATTGGCCATCGCGCATTCCTTTGAGCCGTGAACGGCCAAGATTACCTCGCGGTTCGAGGAGTGCGAGCATGTCAAGGTTGGAAACCTCATCTGCTCAATGCACGCCAGCTCCTGCTTTTGGAAGCAATCCACAATCCACAAATCTCATTGCTCTCAAAGCCAGCAGGAAATCCAATTTCTGATCTTACAAGCTTTCCCTCCCTCATGCTCCTCTTTTCTTCATCTCCAAATTCTTCCTGTCCTGCAATCTCCTAGAAACCCTTGCATTGTGGGTTCCTTGCAGCTGCTCGTGTGTCCATGCACGCCTTTCGAGTCAGCTTCGCGTTTGTTCTCCAAGCCACGTCTTTGAACATCGTTCGGAGCTAAAGCTGGCTTCAGGAGAACGTGCATGGCAGGTATCAGAGCTAATGTTAACTAAAGCTAGCACTGATCATGGGAACGATACATTTCATACTTTATGTAGCTCAGTGGCCTCTTCTATTTGGCTTATCCTTGTTGTCTTATTACAGATTGCACGAATGTCTTTCTATCAGCAGAACCGCACGATTTGCCGTTGATTACGGCTTTCCATATTTGAATGCAGATTACCAGTGAACGTTGTACGTTTTTTGACTTCCTATTTCTTATTGTCAACTACTACTTTGCGTGGTGGTTTGCAGAATGGCGTCCGCTGCTAATTCCGGTGGTCCACTGAGGGAATACATGCCAGATTCTTCTGGAGGTTCAAAGGATGGCGTGAACGAGGTATTTTTTAATTTCAGTTTTCATTTATACGTTGTCAACAATATGCGACCAAAACATCCATACTAACATGTGCTGATCTTTCGTTTCCTTTGCAGGCTGCTCGTGTTAACAATGCCACCATTATCTGTACTCTTCCATCGCCTCGAACTGATGATGCTGACCATGGCGCTAAAGCGCTTGGCTTCACCACTCCTGAGCTGCATAAACTTGAGATGCCATTCAGTTGCGTTAGAGACACTTCACGAGATCCCGTCTCTCCTTCTCCGCGAAATGTGCCTTTATTTGCAACGGATGACAAATCCAGATCCACAGGGCAAACCAATGCCAATTCGGAACCATCCTCGTTCTTGGCGCTTATCCAGGCAGCAGATGTACAGAATCCGCCTTTCCGAAATGAAGGAGACGGCGCAGAAATTCAAGAAGTAGTAGGAGCGGAGCCGGTTGCACAGCCCTCTGTGACACCTCCTGCTGATGGCAGTAGGGGTCTTACTGATGGATCCGCTCCTGCAGCCCCGGAAAGCCTGAGGGGTGTGGATTTATCGGGGCTGCAAGAGGTGACAATATCGGGAGCAGATAATCTGAACGTGCGGAGAAGGCTGTTCGTTGACCCCCTCAGCAGCCCTCCAAGAGGTCGTCGCCACCGTGTGCTTTCCCCACCCTCAGGTAATAATTTATGTGGATAATGCATGAATGTTCGCTGTCTGAAAATATGCATGACTGACATACATGGTTGATTATGAATTAAATCGTGCATGTCTGAGGAGGAGATACGTTGACTGATTAATGCGTGACTGATCTGTAGACTAGTATGCACGAAATAATGACTTGGTCATTTGTGACTGATTGGCTACATGAAGCACGAGTGATTGGCTATGCTTAATATAGTAAACGGCTTGCATAAGTGACATATTTCTGCATTTTGTTGTTCTTCAGGAATTGGCACATAGCTGACCGAAGCAGCACACTTGTTGTTTTCCATGGTGATGGTGCAGGCGGTGGAGGAGGAGGAGCAGAAGAAGGACCAGCGGAGGTTACAAGGCGGCAGGCCGGGAGAAGGAAGAGGTTGTTACCGAGCGAAGAGGTATGCAAATGCTCAGATGTATTTTATCCTCAGCTGAATCTGTTCCATGCCCTCTATTTCTTCAGTGCATCTCCTCATGCATCTCATCCCAGTGATTCACCTCTCACTGCCTAACCACCCCTCTTTTTGTGCCTTTTTTTCGCCCAGGATCGTATGAGAGCGTTCGGAGAATCCATTCAGTGGCGTCTGGAAGGCATAGAGACGTCGGGTGCAGCGCACGAGCTGTGCCTAGACCTTGGATCTGACATGCGGTTTCTCAAGAAGTGGCTTACAACAAACAGGCCAAAAACTGTAAGTTTAGCTTGAGAATCTATCGACCCGTTTTACCGTTATTGCTTTGCATTAATGTTCCTTCGCCCATATCTATCGTTATGGAGGCTACATTGGTCGTTCATTTTGGCCTTGGCGGAAGGTGACGGCTGATAGTTGCTGGGGACATTTCTAATTTGATTTTTATTTTATGTGACCTTTTCCCTCAGGACATCTCCCCTGCTCATCATGGGAGGCACCTGTGGGACATCAGACGGCACGCAACACCCCCTGCTGCCGGATTCACAGACCGCTTCACCGCTCTGAACTCCTCACAAGCTCTCCCGTCACTGGGTCCTTTCCGTTCAGAGAGCGGAAGCACAGCAGCACACGTGCCTGGATTTCCCCATGGACTAGCCTCAGGAGCGGCCTATACAGGGATGTTGGAAGGCGGCCTTTCAGCATCCAATCCTGGAGGGAGGGGGTTCAGTGCTCTGAGTGAGTTTGATGCAGAGGTGGCTGCAGCAGGGGGGCAGCAGCAAGGTGGCACCATGGTGCAAGCGATGCGAGCTGCAATGGGGGAAGATCCTCTAGCTGCTCCTGGCGAATCCAGTCAGTTTCCATGGTCTTCCTTGGGGCACAGAACCCCCGGGCATGGGGCATCAGCGCTTGATTACTCATCTCGCCTGTCCGCAATGGGGATGGGGATGGGGTCAGGAGGAACTGGAGGTACAATGATTCAGGGATTGGAATCTCTTAACTACCAGCAGCTTTCCGGAAGGGCACAGGGGCAGGGGATAACACGGGCTGATGAATTTCCCGGTATGGTGGGAGCATCATCTGGGGGACTCTCTCATAGGCTGACTATGGAAGAAGGCAGGATGCTCATGGGTCAAGGAGAGGCTGGCATGGAAGGGATTGGAAGCGGCACTGGCTTGGCAGGGTACTTGCAGTACCACCACCATAGCCTGGATCAGTCGCCGCTTACCCTCACACCTTCAGGCCATATCATCATGCCATCCGGCCACGTCAGCATGATGGAGAGATCGTACCTGCAGCAGCCGGCCAACACCTCGTTCCAGAGCCTGCTCACTGCTCCGGAGGAGAGAGGTCTTACCGGCTGGCCTGAAAGGGGTCCAGCCTTTGATGCCGGCCCGTCTGGTGGTGCTGGTGCGTCCAGTGCGGGCATGACTGATGCCATGCTGTGGTCTGCTAGTCTCCACAGAGATCTCCAAGCTGCAGGCAGGCTGGGAGGAACAGTCAGGATGGGTTCTGGTGGAGCTACGGCTGCTGGGGTTCAGGCACAGCAGCAGCACGAGGGGGGTCTGGAGCAGCAACAGCGTCAGGGTGAGCCGGGAGGAGGAGGTACGGGTGGTGATGGGAAACCTGCTGCGGGAGAGGGTGGGGCGCTGGGCGCTGGTGCGGATGGGGCACAGGGGGGTGATGCAGGGGGGGTTGGTGGGGGAACACAGGGTGGAGTAGAGGGCGCTGAGGGAAAGGGGAGCGGAGGAGCAGCAGAGGGGGAGGGAGGAGATGGAGGTCTGCAGCGGTCATCACGGCTGCCTCCCTGGGCGAGGAAGCAGCTGCAGCAGTCAGGCAGGGCCCTTGGAGGCGACCCTTTCCGTGTCTCATCCCCTCGGCTCGCCTCATCTCCTCACCTCTCCTCCCAATTCTCCACCCCTCTCTCTTCTCCCCACCTGCCATCTCCCCTCTTCTCTCCCGGTCAGCCTTCTCCGTTCTCCTCCCCTTGCTTCTCCCACCTGCCCTCCCCCCGCCTGGCCGAATTCCAGCGCCTTTCCATCTCCATCCCACCCAGCCCTCCCCCCTTCGGCGCACACTCCCCCATAAGCGCGTACACCCCCATGGGCGCACCCTCCCCCTCTTCCAGAACCCCTGGCTCCTTCCCCTTTCCCACGCATTCCCCCCTCTCTGGGGGCTTTCCTTCCGCCAGCCCCACCACCCCGTCTCTGGCAAAGCTCTCCCCCAGTGTGGCCGCAAGCAACCGCAGCAAGAGGAGGCTCGCCCTGCGCGCCCACCACCCAGGGGCGCATATCCCTGGTAGAGGGCGGCACACAGGGGGGAGAGGCCCTGGGCATGGGGGATCCCTGGGGTCCCCGAGGGGGAGTGGGCGGATGGGACAGCAGAGGATGCGGGTTCAGGGGATTTCTGGAGGTTTGATTGTGGGTGGAGAAGGGATGGGAGGGATGGGGCACGAGCAGGGGGCGATGGGTGCGGGGCAGCAGATGAGTCCGGGGCAGGTGGCGGTGCGTGGGAATGTGAGTGGCAGCAGCAGTGGCGGCGGCGTCATCGGTGGCAGCAGGCTGCGTCCGCAGGCGTCACTGACCGAGTCAGAAGGCAGGTATGTCCGGTTGCCTATCCTGCATTTGCTGCTGTAAAGCCGTCTCGGAACCCGTTGTCTTGCCACGTGCATGGATGGGATGCAGTGCTGCAGAAGTAATAGACTCAACCAAAGACATGTTTGGTGGAGTTTTTGTGCTGTGTTTGTGTTATGCTTTTGTTGTGGGCTGCGTGTGCTTCCCAACATGCAGGGAAGTGAGGGCCTTGTGTTTGGAGCCGCTAACCCGCAGGGGGTCTCTGACCCGGTCGGAAGGGGAGGGCAGCGGAGGCAGTGGCGGCAGCAGGGGCACGGCACTGGCTTTCCCACGTAGGATCGCCAGCATGGAAGCCACCGGTGACGTGGCAGGGCCTGCTGACGTGGATGGCGGTGCTGACGTGGACTCCAAGTCGGGCGGGTCTGCTGGCAGTACGCCGAAGCAGCTGCAAGGCGTGTCCAGTCAGGATCTCTCTCCATCCACAGGCACTGGCTTTCGTGGCTATGGCTCCAAGGTAAGGAGGGCTACGGCTCACGTCCAAAGTGCGCGACACAGCTATTGTATGCTTTTATACATTTCTCAAAGTAACCTGATTGTTTTCTTTTTATTTTTCCTCCAAGTTGCCAGGTTCATCTGGGAAGGATGGTGCTGCTCAAGCTGATGAAATGTCCTTCTGGCGCCTGTTCCTTCCCCTTCCCCCCCCCTCATTTCCTCCTTTTTTCACAACGTACCACCTTCAAAACGAGGGGATAGGCGTGCTGTTTGAGAAGCTGCTGACGGCAAGTGACGCGAGCCACCTGGGTCGTGTCGTGCTGCCCAAGCCGGCAGAGCGCTTCCTGAGACGCCTCTTCCTTCCCATCACCTTATCCTCCCCACTACCCTCTGAACTGCCGTCTTTTCCCCATCGTCCCACCTCCAGAGCAAGTCAATAGGCGTGTTGTTTGAAAAGCTGCTGACAGCGAGCGATACAAGCCACCTCGGGCGTGTCGTGCTGCCCAAGGTGCCGGCAGAGCGCTTCCTGCCGCACGTGGAGAGCAAGGAGGGCATTCTTATCATCGTGGAAGACTCTATCGGCGGCCAGTGGTGCTTTCGCTACAGGTGTGTGCGCTGCTCGTACTGAACTGGTGCCTCCTTGGTTTTTTCCTCCATTGTCCCACCCTCAGAGCAAGTCAATAGGCGTGCTGTTTGAGAAGCTGCTGACAGCAAGCGACACGAACCACCTGGGGCGGGTGGTGCTGCCCAAGAAGCCGGCAGAGCGCTTCCTGCCTCAGATGGAGAGCAAGGAGGGCATTCTCATCATCGTGGAAGACTCTATCGGCGGCCAGTGGTGCTTTCGATACAGGTGTGATGCTCCGATAGTGGTAATATGTGTGGTATGAGTGTTCTTGGTGGCCGTATCTGTGCTTCCTGCCGCACGTGGAGAGCAAGGAGGGCATAGGAGAGAATTCTATTGACAGCCAGTGGTGCTTCTGATACAGGTGCATTGCTCCGATGGTGATGGTGCATGGTGCCTCTGCTGCTGGTGTGGGCGGTGGTAGTGCTCTTGGCAGATGTGTGGATGGTGGCGTGGGCCTGACTGACACTGTGCCTTGATTCCTGTGTGCGCCTCTCTCGGCAGGTTTTGGCCCAACAACCGGAGCAGGATGTATGTGCTGGAGCATGCAGGTGAGCACGGCTGCTGGAACTCATTCATGCCTAGATACCAAAATGCGGATACACGCAGTATGTGGAACTTGTACTAAGTCTTGAATTGCTGTTACCATGGCGCAGGCGACTATATTCGCAAGTATGGTCTTACAGCAGGCGACACCATCAGCTTCTTGCGCTCTGAATTCGGCCACCTGGTGAGGCTGGTACCCCTTCCTCTCACCACCTTCCCTGCACCTATCCTTCCTTTTCCTTCCGAATGGGAAATTTACCGACACTTATGATCTTGTGATCATCTCACCTCTTATCATCCCCTGTCTCTTTCATTTTCTTATTTGTGAAACTGCTAATCAAGCAGATGCTTAAGGAGCAGAAAGCGCCACCAGCAGTGCTCGCCGCCCCTCCCACCGTCGCCAGCCCATCCATCCTCGCTGCTCCCACCACTCCCGCACCGGTCCTCGCCCTCTCCACGCACCCTGTCCCACTCTCTGCCGTACCCATCACTCCCCGAAACACGCTCCCTGCTACCGTCCCTATGACCCTTTCACGAGCCCCGCTCTCTGCTCTCCCTACTGTCTCCAGCATAACGCAGGACATCCTACCCCAGTTCCCACCTCCCCCCACCACCGCCTCCTTCGGTTTCCTCCAGCACAGGCCAGACCTGCGTCCTCAGCCACACTCCCTCCCTTCCCCACAGTCGCTCCTCCTTTCTCACTCACTGCCTCACACCCGCTCCATCGATCGCTTTCAGGGGAGTATCATGCAGGGAGGCGAGCAGATAGAAAACGTCCCTCCTACCCAAGACCCACTTCAGATGGACACTCAGATAACCTCCTCTGAGAGGCACACACTGCGACCTCTCAGGCTGCTCTCTGTTCCTTCCCTTCCTAGGACCCCCACACTCCCACCTGAGACTGATGGGTCGTCTGCTGCTGGTGCGTCCGCAACTGCTACTGCTGCTCCTGCTGCTGCCACCGCCGCCGGTGCCACCACTGCCACCGCCTCTGCTCCCACTGGTGGTGGTGATGACGCTGGTGCTGGTAAGAATGGGGGTATACAGGAGGGTTTCAGGCCTGATTCGGTGCAGAATGCGGTTGGTGAAACAGGGGGAGGTACGGGTGGGGGACAGGAGCAGGCACAAAAGGTATCAGAGGGAGGAGCGGCAGAAGCGGGTATGAATGTTGCTGGAAATGTGGACTTGAAGGGGAATTTCGAAGGAAGCTGGCAAACGGCTGTCGCTATGGCGCTGCTCCCTGGCGACCGGGACTATGAGGAATCCACTCGCGGTTTTGGGCAGCCAAGCAGTGCGTTTGAGGACCCTAGCCGCAGCTATCATGTGCCGAGTGGCCGTATTGAGCAGGACCAGGAGAATTCCATTGTTGGGCAGTTGCAGTATTATGGCGATTTGGTGGGGGGAATGGCAAGGGGGGACGAGAAGGCCATGGAGAAAGGTGGGAGGGTGATGGAAGAGGAGGGGTTTGAAGCGATGGGTGCTGGGCTGGGAGAGACGGAAGCAGACCGGCCTGCACACATGGGGAATCATTTGGATGCGCTCATGGAAGATGCAGAGACGGAGGCGGCTTTGGGTGAGAAAACTCCTGGTTTTGAGCTGAGATTGCATGATACTTCTCTGATTGGATTCTATATTCACGCAATATCCGAGTCCTGCTTGCTTCTTGGATGTTCTGACGTATTACTATTCTTGTTTGTGCGTACAGGTTTACACCAGCAGCCTTTGCAATGCATGGCATCGCCCTTGCCGACAACGGGAATGGCACTTGAGCGGTGCGCTAGCCTGTCAACAACGGAGAAGTGCCTCGAGATGCTGGATGCTGATAGTGCTCGTGGGCACGAAGGCGCAGCAAGGGATTGAAAGTGCACTGTGTGTGCTGGCATCAATCTTCAGCTTCTTCGATGTGTTTTTTGACAACGAGTTGGTAGATAGGAGATACGTAGTGTAGGAAGGACCATGTGTTGTGTTGTACTAACCATGAGATGGGCAATAATGGATAAAGGAAAAATGTCCTCCTCACCCATCACCTCTTTGAATCTCTGACAAAATCGTATTGTGTTTAGAAAATTGTGTTGCTCCAACCGTGACATGGAAAAGAAGGAAGCTTCAGGAGGAATTTTAACCTGCCTTTTTATCCCCTATCTAGTGTAGGTCCCTCTGATGCAACATAGATTATCCCCGACACTGTCCACTAGCCTTTGGCTCTTCGTGAATTCAGGGCGTCACTCGCCACTTGGGATTGTCTCGCATCCCTCTGAGACTCCAGCAGGTATTCAGGTCTCCTGCCTGTCATTCTGTCATTTCTTCCTCTTCTTCCCTCAGTCTCTTTTCTGTCAACCTAGTCATGGCTTGCCGAGTTATGGCTATGAGCCAGGTCGGACACTCGTGCCAGTCGCACGCGCTTATTCTGGCAGCACGCTTGTCGCATAATGTCGCGCAGCTGTCATCGTGCGTCGCAGAGCAATCTGTCTGCGATCGCTGGTGTCTGTTGCAGGATCGCACGTCATACCGCTCTTCCTCGCATCCGCCTGTTTCCCGTCGTCGAGCTGTCGCACATCATTCTGTCGCTCGTACTGTCGCCGTATCATGAGCTGAGTGGCGACTAAGAGTCGCTTAGCGATGTGTCAGTCACTGCGTCGGACGCGGATCGCACAGATCGCACAGATCTCACTGCTCGCACAGATCGCACGGCTCGTTGCGAGTGACCTCAGACCTGACAGGCTCGAAACAGCTTTCGTTCAAGGAAAGGTATACCAAAAGAGGCATCCACCCGAACCGCGAATTCGGCCTTCACTGATCCCCTAAGCTTTCACAAGCTGCCAGTCGCGATGTCGATGCGCGTCGACAGGAGATCCCAAGGTCGTCGGTGCGAGGAGGAGGGTGTACTGACCCGTCCACGTGGACAACCAGCGGTCCGTACGGTGCTGAGCTGGACCGTACCGTGCCGAGCTGTGCCGATCTCTGCTTAGCTGGTCCTGATATTTTGCTTTAAATATTCCTGTGTTACGACGTCTCAGAATGCGACCACTCAAGATTCTTCAAGTGGTATCATCGACAGAGCATCAGGATCAACAGGAATCCAGCGCACCGGTTTACTCCTTTCAGCACGGTTGTTGAGCTGGCATAAGCATCTGCTGTCAGCATAAGTTGCATGTCAGTACTTGCTACGCTGGCGTTGCGACATCTTGTCCGTACTGTCCCAACTATCTGATCGCGCCAGTCAGATGTCGCCTTAGACTGTCCGGATTCTCCCCTCGTTGCACGCGCCACTCCTCGCGAACTCTCCTCTGGCTCGCGACGCTTGGCTCGTAAATCCCAAGGTCGACTCAACAGTCGCACATATCAAACGATCAAGCCGGTCGACCGTCGGCCGTCAACTGATTCGCGTCTGATTGGCTGCTGATAGACGCGCTGTCCGTCGTTTCGTCGCGCGGCAGTCAGACGTGCGACCCTTGGGATTGTCGAGCCCGTCTGATTCCTGAAGCGCCTTAAAAGAGCGGTTGCACAAGTCGCGAGCGCCGTTATCCGTCGCAAGTCGCCGTTCTCCGTCACATTCCATCATTGCTGCCGCTGCGTACGCCGTGTGCCTGTCAGCTTCCTCGTTCGCTGCTGCGGCTCGCATCACACGCCTTGTCGAGTTGTCAACGCCGATGCGGGTTGCAAGTGGTGGGAGTGACAGGGGGAGAAGGAGAATAGCGTGTGGGACAAGGGACGTGAGAAGCAGGCGACAGCAGACAGCGGTGGGAGAAAGCAGACGGAAGGGAGCAACAGCAGCAGCAACAGCAGCGTGGTTGACAGGTGCGAACCCTTTCGGTCTACTTTTGAGGCGTCGGAAAATAGCCTGACATTTGCAGGCTCGTGGAAAGAGCGTCTCGTGCTCACAGAATCTGACCTCCTTTTTTGAATCTGCCCGTTTTTCCCTACACCAGCGATCGTTCTTCCAGAAGCACCCGTCCCTAGGGAATCACGAGTACCATAGCCTCCAACTGCTAGCTGCTAACCGTTGCTACAGACGGCTGAACTTTGTGGTTCACAGGGCACGGCAACAAGTGGTGTGGATCGAGTCGGGGTCTTGAGCAGGGGCTGGAGGGACAGGCGAGGTGGGAGCGAGAGGAGGGAGCAGGCAAAGGAGCGAGTTTGAGCAGAGAGAGGAGCGAGGTCTGGGAGAATAAAGGTGGCAGGGGACGAGCCGAAGGGCGAGTTCACGCATTAGCTCATTCACTCTACGCGCTTGTCTCAGCGATAGGCAGCAGCTGCACAGGTTTCTCTTCTTTCCAGTGCTTACCTCGCTCCTTTCCAAGCCCAGCAGCAGCAGCAGCAGCAGTCCTGGACCCTCCCAGCGCGGTAGCCTGTTACTTAAAAGCCTTTTAACCTTTAAGACGCTGACGTACGCGTTTCCGTCGTCTTCCAGCAATCCCGCCAGCAGCAGCGGCAACTCACCTATCACGCGGTATCCTCCTTCAAAGCCCCTTGTAATCCCGCAAGGCGCGGACGTACGAGTTTACGTGTTTTGCCAGCGAGGCTGCCAGCATGCTTCTGTTTGGAGCTCGCCTCGGTCAACATAGTCAAGAGAGTCAACCCGGCCAAGCAAACCGGGACAAGTACCACAGCCGCCCCTCCCAGCAGCAGCACTTTCAGGAGCAGCACCCCCAGGAGCACCCCGACCAGCACCACTCCCAGCAGCAACAGCAGAGCTTTAGAGGCCAGAGTTGTCACGGTGTGGCTGGGGCCACCACCACTGCCCTGCGGGGTCCTTATCGCCCCAGGATCGTGTTTGGGCGCCACTTCACTCAGCAATCCCAGCAGCAGCACTCCCAGCAGCACCACCCCCAGCAGCAGCACTCCCAGCAGCAGCACTCCCAGCAGCAGCACTCCCAGCAGCACCACCCCCAGCAGCAGCAATACTGCAGCTGCAATAGTCCCGAAAGAGGCAGGGAGAGCACCCGGTCTGGGGGATGCGGCGCCCGTGTTACGTCTCTTGCCACAGATTCCCCTGCAGCTGCAGTGTGCACGGAGATCGGCCTGGCTCTGCTCCCAACGACCTCCCCACCAGCCCCAGCACCCAGACAGTCATCGCCACTGCACATCAGCACGGGCAGAGGCAGCGAGAATGGTGGTGGGAGAGCGGATGCACACAGCAGGATTCACAGAGGCAGCAATGGCTCTCCACCCTGCCCTGCTCGTCCTGACGCAGCAGTGAAGGACGTCATTCATTCCTTCTCCCGCTCTGCTCGTCCTGTTCCTGCTTCCACCGTTCCTTCTGCTCCGCTCCTGCCTCCCATGCGTTCTTCGCTGCCCCCCGCCGCTCCTACCCTCTCCCCGCTCCGCTCGCCTTCCCCCAACCATTCCCCTGTCTCCCCTCTCTCCCTGCCCGGCCCCGCTTCCCAGTCTCCTCCTCCTGCTCCTCTCTCCCCTCCCCTTGCTCGCCTCTCCCCTCATACCACTCCTCTGGATCCCCTCTCTCCGCTGCCTCCTCCATCTGGCTACCCCTGCCGTGTGTGTGGAGCGATTTTCGCCTCGGGACCTGCCCTGGGGGGCCATATGAGGAGGCACCTGAGTGGGGGGTTCGAGGCAGGGGGGAAGGCGGACGGGGGGAGATGGCTGGATGAGTCAGGGGGCTGGGAAAATTATTTACTTGCTGGGGCAGGAAGGGCAGCACGGGCAGTACAGGCTGAGGGGAGATCTAGTCTGGGTGGGAGGGAAGAGCAGCAGCAGGTGGGTTGTGAGTGGAGTGGCAGGGTGGGGGCAGCTGCAGGTACAAGTGCAGTGAATGTGGCACCAGTGCCTTTCAGAAACCGGCTGCTGCTGCAGCGGTGCAGTGCCGACGCGGATCGCATGGCCATGCTGGCTCGGGAGATTCCCGAGGCGCCTCGGAGAGCAGGTGTGGATGGCGTGGGCAAGCTCGCTCAGGAGTGTGGTTTTGGTGGTGTGCCTGCTGTCTCACTCTCCCGCACGCCTTCCCTTGTGCTTGCTAGGGGCCTCTCGTTGACTCGTGCTGATTTGGCATGCGCTCAGCAGCAGCAGCAGCAGCAGAAGCAGCAGCACCAGCGGCAACACCACCAGCAGCCGCAGCAGCAGCAGCCTCAGCGGGTAGTGAGTGCCATGCTGAGCCAAGTGCAGGCAGCGCAGCGCAAGAGGGCTTATTCTGATGCAATGCGATGGATTGATGTGGATAAGCAGACGCAGGAGAGGGAGGAAGCAGCCAAAGAGGGGTGTAAGAAGCGCGCACAAGTGCTATGTAACCCATCAGTGTTGCCTCAACTCGTTTCTACACGAGTTGGGTCTACCAAGGTTGCTCTTGCCAAGCAAGCCTCGCTGGTTGCTGCTTGTGTTTCGCTTGAGCGCAGGCATAGCCTGCCAGCCATACAGACAAAGGCGCACCAAGTTAATTCCTCGTGCAGGGCCACTGCCATGCAAGATATTGACCTGTCATTGCATCTTTAAGCTGTGGTATATTGTGTGTATAGTTGATGAAACGGCGGTTTGCACATATTGATTTTCACAATTTTGGATATTCCACACGGAGTGCTTTTGAATCGCGTATGTGTGGAAGTCCACGTGGAGAAAGATGTTTCGCTGATGCCTTTTCGGGAAAAAGCGAGACATCAGGATTCTCACTGACCATTAGTGCCCGTCATCGACACAAATTTCGCCAGCTGCCATTCTAGTTACCCCTTCACGGCCAGTATTTGCCACTGCGACGGGTCTATCTCGCAGGCTTTGTTCGCGTGGCACAGTCGTCAAGTCTCGTTCATGAACGGAATCCCCTCCCTGCTCTCCCATTTGCTGGCACTCCACTGACCGTCCCTCTCCCTCAGCCACAGATGTGAGAGAGGCTCCTCCACCTAGGCTTCAAGGATAGTACTGACTGTTGTGTAGCTCTTCTTGCCTGCTGCCTTGTTGTTCAGTGTCTTCTCGCCATTCAACGAAACAGTCAGTTGCTGATTGCAGTGCATTAGCCTTGCACTTCGAATTACCTCTGCGTGTGTTAGCAATCACTGTAAGGTTTCTGCCTGCTTCAGGTCGATCAGCACCCGCGTAATTCGTTTTAAGCTCATACCCTGGACATGGCTGCTCTTGCCACCACCACCCTTGTCAGCGCATCGCTTTTCAGTGCTCCACGACAGCATGCAACCTTGAAGGCCCAGTCTGCTAGCGCGAAGATCGTTAGCAATTCCGTAGCCTTCCAATCTCAGAAACGCCTCTCTGCCGTTCGATGCAGCGCTGGAGGTAGGCATTTTCTGCTATATTCATCCGCACGAACCGGTCTCCCATGAACACACGTATCCTCATCCCGTTAATAGCTTCCTTGATGGTTTTCTGATATATCATTCCTGAATTGTTCCGTTGCAGGAGCGACGGCAGCACCGGCGGCTCCGTCTGTGGTCCCGGCGATTACGTTATCTGAGAAGGCCCTGGCGCATCTGACCAAGATGCGCGCCGAGCTGAACAAGGATCTGCTGCTGCGCATTGGCGTCAGACAGGGAGGCTGCTCAGGCTTCTCGTATGTCATGGACTTCGAGGAGCGAGCCAACATTCAGGAAGGTGACTCGATTGTCGACTACCAAGGCTTCTCTATGGGTGCGTACCACCTTTCTCCGTCCCGTTTGGCGCCTTTGTTGCTTGTCGTTTGATGCTACCCGCTTTCTTCAAATGAGTTATTATTAGTGATTATCTCCTATGCGAATCGTTAAACATTCTTCTGTTTGCATTCACTCTTGCAGTGTGCGATCCCAAGAGCCTTCTCTTCCTGTTCGGTATGCGGCTAGACTACAGTGACGCTCTTATTGGTGGTGGCTTCTCATTCAGCAACCCTAATGCTTCCTCTACCTGTGGATGTGGCAAATCATTTGCTGCCTAGATCTAGATCCCAACATGTAAATATTTGAGTATAATGTACCGATTTATTGTTGAGTATGTCTCATGAACTTTCCCTGAAGTTCCATTTGATTATGTCTCAGAATCACCTATCGTCCATTCGCTTTGACGAGCGAGCATCTTAGTCACGATGCTCGTGATCACGATGCTCGTGGTCACGATGCTTGTGGTCACCATGCTCGTGATCACGATGCTCGTGGTCACGATGCTCGTGATCACGACGCTCGTGATCACGATGCTCGTGGTCACGATGCTCGTGCTCACGATGCTCGTGCTCACGATGCTCGTGCTCACGATGCTCGTGCTCACGATGCTCGTGATCACGATGCTCGAGGTCACGATGCTCGTGATCACGATGCTCGCGATCACGATGCTCGAGGTTAGGATGCTCGTGATCACAATGCTCGTGCTCACGATGCTCGCGATCACTATGCTCGCGATCACGATGCTCGCGATCACGATGCTCGCGATCACGATGCTCGCGATCACGATGCTCGCGATCACGATGCTCGTGGTCACGATCCTCGTGATCACGATGCTCGAGGTCACGATGCTCGTGCTCACGATGCTCGTGATCACGATGCTCGAGGTCACGATGATTGTGATCACGATGCTCGAGGTCACGATGCTCGTGCTCACGATGCTCGAGGTCACGATGCTCGTGGTCACGATGCTCGTGCTCACGATGCTCGTGCTCACGATGCTCGAGGTCACGATGCTCGTGATCACGATGCTCGAGGTCACGATGCTCGTGCTCACGATGCTCGTGCTCACGATGCTCGTGCTCACGATGCTCGTGATCACGATGCTCGAGGTCACGATGCTCGTGATCACGATGCTCGCGATCACGATGCTCGCGATCACGATGCTCGAGGTTAGGATGCTCGTGATCACAATGCTCGTGCTCACGATGCTCGCGATCACAATGCTCGCGATCACGATGCTCGCGATCACGATGCTCGCGATCACGATGCTCGCGATCACGATGCTCGCGATCACGATCCTCGTGATCACGATGCTCGAGGTCACGATGCTCGTGCTCACGATGCTCGTGCTCACGATGCTCGTGCTCACGATGCTCGTGATCACGATGCTCGAGGTCACGATGCTCGTGATCACGATGCTCGAGGTCACGATGCTCGCGATCACGATGCTCGCGATCACGATGCTCGTGGTCACGATCCTCGTGATCATGATGCTCACGATCACGATGCTCGAGGTCACGATGCTCGTGATCACGATGCTCAAAATCACGATGCTCGAGGTCACGATGCTCGTGGTCACGATGCTCGTGCTCACGATGCTCGTGGTCACGATGCTCGTGATCACGATGCTCGTGGTCACGATGCTCGTGATCACGATGCTCGAGGTTACGATGCTCGTGATCACGATGCTCGTGTCAAAATATGTTCTTCATATTTCATATAATTGTGTGTAGTGTTATTGTAGTTGCCTCATGTTTGATGATGGTGCACCTCCTTGTCTTGCTCATCCTATTTGTACCTGCCTTTCCATAGTGAACCCCTCCTTTCTTTGGCCAACCCTTATGTTCTATCCTAAAACCATAGGCTCCTAGTCCTAGGTTATGCTTAGTATTCTGACATGCTATCAGAGAGATGTTTCTCCTAGGACCTGTCTCATAGGGCCCACCACTACGCTTCCGCTCATGGGCCTCTCTGCTGCCCGTCGCACGCCCGGGACGCGCGTCGGTTTCCTGCCCGCCACGCGCCCCGGGCGCGAGTCGATTTTTTCTGCTCGTCGCGCGCCCTGGGCGTGCGGCGATTTCGTCCCCGTCGCGCGCCCCGGGCGTGCGACGGTTTCGGCCCGTCGCGCGCCCTGGACGCGCGACGGGTTCTGCCCGCCAGCGCGCCCTGCTGTCGCCCGCGCACCTCCTACCCCGCCCCCCCCGCCCTCCCCTTCCCCTTCATCTCCCTGCTGCGCGTGCGGCAGTGGGGGGGAGGGTATGGGGGTGGCGGGTGTGAGTGATCTGCTGCCGCCCCTCCTCCTCTCTCTCCCACTGCTGCACTTGCTGCTGGGGGGTGGGGAGGGTGTGGGGGAAACGAGGGAGTGGCGTTAGAGATGCAGAAGGGGATGTGGAAAGGGGGTGTGGGACAATGGGGGGAGGTTGACAGGAGGTAGCCGTCGTGACGCCAGCAGCGCCAGTAGTCCGGAGCCGGCGTGCTCCGGTAGCCAGTGAGCCCGTTGCACCAGTCGCCCGTGGGTCAGTTGCTCCAGCCGCTCGGCGTAGCTGCGGAGCCAGTTACTCCCGTAGTCTGGTGCCGTCGTGCTCCGGTAGCCAGTGTGCCTGTTGCTCCAATCGCCCGTGTGCCAGCAGCTTCAGCCGCCGCTTCCTACCTCCTCTCCTCGCATAGTCCCTCCTCCTCTTCGCTTGCCCTCTTCTTCTGCTACACACTGCATGGTGTACCCCTTCAGGAGGCGTTGCTGCACTTATCCATGCAAACAATTATGGGGTTGTGTCAAAATATGTTCTTCATATTTCATATAATTGTCTGTAGTGTTAGTGTAGTTGCCTCATGTTTGATGGTGGTGCACCTCGTTGTCTTGCTCATCCTATTTGTACCTGCCTTTCCATGGTGAACCCCTTCTTTCTTTGGCCAACCCTTGTGTTCTATCCTAAAACCCTAGACTCCTAGTCTTGGGTTATGTTTAGTATTCTGACAACTCGAGATCACGATGCTCGAGATCACGATGCTCGAGGTCACGATGCTCGAGGTCACGATGCTCGTGATCGCGATGCTCGTGGTCACGATGCTCGAAATCACGATGCTTGTGATCACGATGCTCGAGGTCACGATGCTCGTGATCACGATGCTCGAAATCACGATGCTCGTGATCACGATGCTCGAGGTCACGATGCTTGTGATCACGATACTCATGATCATGATGCTCAAGGTCACGATGCTCGTGATCACGATGCTCCTGGTCACGATGCTCGAGGTTACGATGCTCGTGATCGCCATGCTCGTGGTCACGATGCTCGTGGTCACGATGCTCGTGATCACGATTCTCGAGGTGACGATGCTCGTGATCGCGATGCTCGTGGTCACGATGCTCGAAATAACGATGCACGTGATCACGATGCTCGAGGTCACGATGCTCGTGATCACGATGCTCGAGGTCACGATGGTCGTGATCACGATGCTCGTGATCACGATGCTCGAGGTTACGATGCACGAAGTCACGATGTTCATGATCACGATGCTCGAGGTCACGATACTCCTGATCTCGATGCTCGAGGTCACGATGCTCGTGGTCACGCTGCTTGAGGTCACGATACTCGTGATCACGCTGCTCGAAATCGCGATGCTCATAATCACGATGCTCGTGGTCACGATGCTCGAAGTCACGAAGTCACGATGCACGAGGTCACGATGCTCGAGGTCACGATGCTCGAGGTCACGATGCTCGAAGTCACGATGCTTCAGATCCCGATGCACGAAGTCACGATGCTCGAGATTACGATGCTTGAGGTCACGATGCTAAAGGTCTCGATGCTCGTGATCACGATGCGCCTGATCACGATGCTCGAGGTCACGATGCTTGTTGCACCGTTGTGCCCTCCTGCGGTTGCGCCGTTAAAAAGTAGTTGATTCAAATTGTAGGTGATTCAAAAAGTAGGTGATTCTGCATCTTACTAAACCGCAGTGAACTGAAACTCTGACGTTTGCCTGCCTTCTGGAGACCTCCAGAGTAGCTGTCCAGCATAAAATGCTCAGAAGTCTACACGTGTACAATCCACGTACACACGCCCCGTCTGACATGGACTGACATCCCACGATTCCTTGAGCCTCACGCATCTTGAGAATTCCGGAATTTCTGCAAATTCCTTCGCGCAATCACATCAGTTCCGAGTGCCCTTCATTTATGATTCATAAAGCTCGGTTCAGTAGGTTAGATCGCGATTAGGAGCGGTGATTGGTCGTCACCGTTCTGAACCATTGCGCAACGAAATAAAAACTAGTACAAACTGATCTGCAGACGGACACACACCCTTGGTCTTTTTTCTCAAGTCACCAGCACCTTCAAAACGTGTCCATCACACCTCCCATTTTCACTCGCAGCATCTGTGCAACGCTCGAGAGAGCCTGACAGGTCGACAGCTCTCCCTCTTGGTCAATTATCAGGTATCAGTGAGCACGATGGAACTTGGCTTATCTCAAGTCGCGTTCCGCGCTGCTCCCCCTGGGTCGTGCGTTCAGCATTCGCCTTTTTCACGACAACCCAAGCTCAGCTCTCCAGTTTCCTTGTGTGCTTCCCTTATTCAACGCTCATCCACGTCGCACCATGGCAGCTCAGCCAACCTCCGCGTCCTGCCTTCTGGCAAGAACGCATTGCTTACAAAAAGCTTAGCGGCCTTTAGAGGCGTAGGCGTCCGCGGTGTCCGCGGCACTGCGTCCCCGCGTCGCCTCGCCACGGTCTATGCGACCAGCTCCCCGCGTCCCACTGTCAGCAGCAGCGTAGCTTCTAATGAGGATGGACTCGTTAATGGTCGGAGGTCAGACGACGAGACCAAAGCGCACGACGAGGCGATCTTTCCGCGGAACCCGTGCTGCAAGTCACTCGATCAACTCGACCGGAATCTCTCATCATTGTCACCATCAGAAGCCCCGTGGACGGTCCTGATCCACCGCCTCGCCCTCTGGCGGTCGCATCTAAGCCATCAATTCCACCTCCCGGAACCGTCCGACATCCTCAGAGAAGCCGGCCGGCTGTTCGTGTCGCTGGCCGTCAGCGCCGTGCTGCTGACGTCCGTCAGCGCGCCGGCGACGGCCATCGTGCAGGCGCCTCCTCGCAAGCTGATGCCGGACGAGCAGGCGACGGTTCAACTTTTCAACGAAACGACCCCGAGTGTCGTGTATATCACGAATCTGGCCGTTCGGAGGGACGTGTTTACACTTGACGTGATGGAGGTGCCGCAGGGGTCCGGGTCGGGATTCATTTGGGACCGCGAAGGCCACGTGGTGACGAATTACCACGTCATTCGCAACTCCAGCGACCTGCGGTGAGTCTAGTCGTGTCAAGTCAGGTTGAAGGAGTCAGGTGAGCGCGGGCCCGTTTGTGTGTCTCCACATTGGTTCTTGGAACTCGGAACAGTTGAGGAGGAAAGTGTGAAGTAAGTCTAATGTGAACTTGAACGTCAACCACCAGAGAGACCTGGAACGTCAATCAAAGTATGTTGAACGACAACTGCTAGTATGACGTCCCCTCCCAGGCACCGCGCCAAGATCATGCGATACATGCCATAGCATGCCCATCGCTGGCGACACATTGCATGTTCACCACTCCCGCCTGCTGCTTCCACCATTGCCAACAGAGTAACACTGGCGGACCAATCAGTGTACGCGGCTGACGTGGTGGGGTACGACCGTGACAAGGACGTGGCAGTGCTGCACATCGACGCGCCCAGGAGCAAGCTGCGCCCGCTGCGAGTGGGCAGCTCCTTCGACCTGCAAGTGGGGCAGCGGGTCTACGCCATTGGGAACCCCGTGAGTGTGCTGTGCATGTGGTAACCAGGTAACCTGGTGAATGGAGAAAGGTGAGGTTGCTGCGAGTTGGCAGCTCGTTTGACCTGCAAGTGGGGCAGCGCGTCTATGCCATCGGGAACCCCGTGAGTGTGCTGTGTGCGGTTACCAGGTAACCAGGTGAAGAGTGCAACGAGTAACCTGAGTGTGCTGTGTGGTAACCAGGTGAGAATGGTAAATAGCTATGCGATGTCCAGGTTGATATGGTACCGTGCCTTGTCGGATGGGCATGTGTGCCCGCTCCCTTCCCCCTTCCTGTGTGGCCTTACCGCCTGCCATGGCATGATGGGGACATCTTGTTTAAGCGCTTGTGCTTATGAAGCAAGCTTTGATTTGACTCAAAATGCACCCTGTGCCACATGGCATGGCACGATGGAGGCATCATGCATGTCGTCATGTGCTCATCATCACCACTCCACTATGCTTCCTCCCGTTGCCCCCTTCCCTCCCAACGCATGCTCGCTTGTGCAGTTCGGTTTGGACCATACCCTCACCACAGGCGTGATCAGGTACGTTTAACACATATGGCATGGAATGCATCACAACCGTCCACCCTGCTGCAGCCATGAACTCGGTCCTTTGTCTGCCTGCCTGTCTGTTTGTCTGTTTGTTTCCCCGTTTCATTGCTTCTTGGTGTGTTCATGTTCATTGCGAAACAGCAATGCGACTCTGACAAATGCAGCAACCATTCCAGCTCCTCTCTTTCCTCACATACCCAAACATCTCCTCCCGTCCTCACAGCGGGCTGAGGAGGGAGATAAGCAGTGCAGCAACAGGCCGGCCCATCCAGGACGTGATACAGACAGACGCGGCTATCTACTTATGCAACAGCTGCTCTGCCCGTTGCAACAACCATGTGCTTGTTTTTGATGCATTCCCCATTCCCACTCCTCCCGTTCCCCATTCCACAGTGGGCTGAGGAGGGAGATCAGCAGTGCAGCAACGGGGCGGCCCATCCAGGACGTGATACAGACGGATGCGGCCATCAACCCGGGCAACAGCGGGGGGCCGCTGCTGGACTCCAATGGCAACCTCATCGGCATCAACACCGCCATCTACTCGCCCTCTGGGGCCTCCTCTGGCGTCGGCTTCTCCATTCCCGCTGATACGGTCAGTCACTGCAGTGCCTTGAGTGCCTTGTGTGCTATGTGCGGCCCAGATAGCATAGTGGAGCAGATAATCAAGTATGGCCAGGTCACGCGCCCAGTGCTGGGCATCTCTTGAGTCGACTCAAAATTTCCTCCTTTTCCCCCTTCGCCCCTCCCCCTGCTTCCACGCTCGGCAGGTAGCAGGCATAGTGGAGCAGATAATTAAGTACGGGCAGGTCACGCGGCCAGTGCTGGGCATCTCCTTCGCCCCCGAGCAGTCTCTCGAGCAGCTGGGAGTGGCTGGGGTGCTTGTGCTCGATGCTCCCCCCTCCGGCCCCGCAGGGAAAGCGGTGAGTACATTACATCAATCAGCGCACATTGAGTTTCTCTAGGCACCTGAGGCACGCGGCGAGTGCTGTGCATCTCCATCGCCCCGAAGGGCCTCGTGCTTCAAGAAAATACACAACGCCAGAGTGGTTGTGGCCGGTACTGGCAGCATTGCCACTGCGAAGTGTCCTAAGCTCAACTGATGGAGGGCCTTCTGGGGTGTGTGTGTGTGTGTGTGTGTGTGTGTGTGTGTGTGTGTGTGTGTGCGGTGGTGTGTGCAGGGCATCCGGCCGACGACTCGGGACAGCTACGGGCGGCTGGTGTTGGGGGACATCATCACGGGCATTGATGGCAACACCGTTCGCAACGGCTCGGACCTCTACCGCATCCTCGACCGCTGCAAGGTTGGCCAGAAGGTGAGCTGCCCGGAAACTCCAGCACTGAGTTCAAACTTGTTGCAATTCTAGTTTTTATACGTACATTGTATAACAAATATTGTTTCTAATGTTTGTCACTTTTGCTGTGGGTGCAGGTGGAGGCACGCGTGTTGAGAGGAGACAACGAAGTTACAATCACAATTACCTTGGAAGGGAAGAGCTGAGACTGTTTCTTACCGCATATAAGCTGTATTCTGCAATGTAGTATATGCTATAAAACAGACGTAGATGTCCCTTCAGCAGTTTCTATTGTATATCAGGTCACCTGTTTTTGAAATCATTGCCCTTTGAAGAACCAGTTTTGATTCGTCGAACCGTAACGGACACCGTTTGTATCGGATGTTCTGACGCAAAGCAAGCCACAAGCAACTTGTGCTGTGTCAAGTGAAGCAAGCAACACTCCAGCCCAAACAAGTAGCAGAACAGAGCCATGGAATTGCAATTGCACAGCTTCCGTTTACTGCGCGAGCACCTTCACGGAGACTACTGAATATGGATTCTCACAGTAACGTTGCGTAGAGATTTGAATTAGACCGAATTGCTCGTCGCTCGCGCGTGTAGGAACGGACCGATGGTGCTCATGATCCAGATTATCAGTTAAACTTACTGATGCTCCTTCACTCACAGCCAGCATGAATCAGGATTCGTCCTACGTCACATGGATCGACCGTCGTTCGATCCTCCTCTTTGTCGCCGCCGTCTCCGCCGGCGTCGCTGCCGGCGCGACGGCAGCGGTGACGGCGACGGTGTTTCCGTACTCGCTGGGGCTACTGATCGGCATGCTCCGCACCAATGACGGAAAGAAAGACGCTAAGACTACTAAGACTAAAGAGAAGACGACTAAAAAGGCCGGCACGAGCAGTAGTAGTTTCATCAGCGGCGGCGGGAATATCACCGCGAGCGGCGGATACGGCGTGGGGCCGCTGACGAAGGAAGGGCAGTTGCGAGATGTGGTCATGAGCGCTGTTATCGAATCATCCGCGTTACAAGTCTCCTTCGACTCGTTTCCGTACTATCTCAGGTCTGCTCGCAGACCCGCGCAAGCGAGGGAAGGGAGGGAATTCAGGGTTATTATTCACCACCACCCTGCCGTGCTACATGTGGTTCTGACCGTTGCTGCAAGGGTCACTCCTCCCTGACCATCGCGGATCGTTCCTGGCCGTTGCAGCGAGGTCAGACTGCCAGTAGTAGGAGTGGCCTCTCGCCTACGGAGGTCTTTGACTGGTAGAATTCTGTCAGTTTGCCCTCGCGCGCTGTTCGTGCTGGCCTCGTGCTTCATCCGCCCTCCCCTGCCGATCTCCCCCGTTCCCCCATTCCCCCGTTTCCTTCCCCCCCCCCCCCCCCCCCCACCCCCCGCCTCTCACCCCCCGTGGCAGCGATGCCACGCGCAACGCGCTGGTGGACGCGTGTTTCATCCGCCTGCGCCGCCCCGAGTTCCTGCGCTTCACCGCTGACCTCCCATCACTCTCCGCGCGCATCCTGCTCTCCGGCCCCCCAGGTCCTTCCTCTCCCCCTAGATTCCTTTGTCCGCCCCCAGCTCTCACACTCGTAGTTTCCCTGTCTGTAATGCGTTCAGCGAGGACAATTGTATGAGCTTATGTGTGTGTGATCTATCACTCTCGTGCCTGGTCTGGGTGACTTTCGAGTCAACTCAAAAGTCACCACTATCACTTTCCTGCCTGGTCTGGTTATTGTGTATCATACATAACGAGTTGGTCAAGGTGACTTTTGAGTCGACTCAAGAGTTGGTCCATCCAGCTGTTTCATTTCCGTGCCTGCGCCTGTGTGCGAGGCAAACCGCATGACTGCCCATCACTCACAACGCTGACCCTGCCTTGTTTGTTCCCGCGCACTACCGAACCTGTTGCAGGCTCGGAGCGGTACCAGGAGCAGCTGGTTCGGGCGTTGGCTCGGCACCTGGATGCCAAGCTTCTGATCTTTGATCTTCCCAACATGCTGCTGCAGGTATGAGATGCATGCTGCTGCTGGTGCAGGTATGGCTGGTGCAGGTATGGCTGGTGCAGGTATGGCTGGTCCAGGTATGTCTGGTCGAAATACGGTGCGGCTGGTGCAGGTATGGCTGGTGCAGGTATGGCTGGTGCAGGTATGGCTGGTCTACGTATGGTTGGTGCAGTTACAGCTTTTACAGGTGCCTAACGGATTGGCTTGTATCTCATGCTCCGTGCAACACAGGTGGCTCTGGCAACCAAGTCAGGCGGTGCTTTGCCTCAAGCCCTCACCAGTGGAGCAACATTGGCATTGGCATCAGAACCAGCGCCCGCATCAGAATCGGCATCAGCATCCACATCAGCAGCAGGAGTGGCGGCAACAGCAGCAGCGGCGCAGGAGGCAGCTGATACGGGGACAGGGTCCGGTGTGAGTGCTGAGACTGGGCACGCAACAGGAGCAGGAGTAGGGGAGGAGGGGGAAGGTGGAGGAGATGGCACAGAGGGAGGTGCGGGGGAGAGGGGTGCTGAGGATGCAGCAGAGGCAAGTCAGGGAGAGGAGGCGGAGGAGGAAGAGGAGGCCGAGGGCGAGGAGGGGAGGCAAGGAGAGGGCGGTGCAGTGAGTGGGGAGGGGGCGGGAGAGACAGGGGCGCCAGGGGAGGCACAAGTCGCTGGTCCCACGAGTGAGGCTGCAGGGGGGGAACAAGTATCCGGGGGGGGGGATGGGGGAGGTGGTGACGGGGAAGGGGGTGATGGGGGAGAGGGGGAATCCGCCCTGGCTGCTGATGTGGAGATCGATGGGCCTGCTGACGTGGCGTCAGGGGAGCTGGAGCTGGCAGATGGAATGGATGAGGGACAGGGGGGAGAGAGGGCGGAGGCGCAGGGGGAGGGGGAGAGGGTGGAGAGAGAAGGGGAAGGCGCGGAGAGGGAAGAAGCTGAGAGGGAGGGCGGGGGAGCTGCGGGGGAGGCAGGAGGGCTGCAGAGTGTGCCGTGTGTGCACGGGGCAGGTGGTGTTTGCACTGATCTGCCTGCCAATGGTTGCAGCAGCAGCAACATCGCTGCCAGTGCTGTCATTGCTGCGTGCAGCACAATTTCCCATCCTCCTGATCCGGCTGCTCCTGGCGCCACTCCGCCTGCTGCCCCCTCGTCTGCTCTTTCTGTGTCTACTGCTGCTAGCAGCTCGTGCGAGGAGGCGGAGCAGAGCACTGCTGCTGGTAATCCTTCTGCCTGCACCCAGCCGGACAGCATACCGCCCCCCAGCACCGCACACACTGGCAGTATCCACACCAGCACTGCCGCTGCTGGTGACGGTGCCAAGCCTAACAGGCCCGAGCAGGAGGAAGAGGGGCAGCAGGGCAGCAGCACCGTGAGTAAACGCGGCAGTGGGGGTGCGGGAGGAGGGAAAGGCGGTGTGGATCTGCGAGCAGTGAAGCTGAAGGAGCTCTCCTCCTCGCTCATCCCCCGCTCCCACCACTCCAAGTCCTCTTCATCCTCCTCGTCCTCCCATAAGAAGAAGGGCAGCAGCAAGGGATCAAAGAGCGCAGCGAAGGAGGGAGGGGGTGAGGGGGAGGGTGTCGGGAAGGGCGGGAGCAAAGAGGAGGTGGGGATTGGGGCAGCGGTGGCAAGTACAGGGCACAAGGCGAAGAGCAAGGGGGAGAAGGAGAAGGAGGGTGCTGGAAGCGAGGGGAAGAAGAGCAGCGAGAGTGTGGAGGGGTCAAAGAAGGGCTTTAAGAAAGGTACACTGAAAGAGCGCCCTATGTATGTATGTTCAAGGCAGTAGTGTCCTTCTGCCCCCTTGCTCCCTCTGCTACATGGGCCCGCCCTTGCTCCCTCTGCTGCACCCCCACTCCCCCCTCTCTCTCCCTCCCTGCGCTCTTGCCTCATCCCCACCATTTCCGCCCCCAGGCGACAGAGTGCGCTACATGGGCCCGCCCTCGCTCTCCTCTGCTGCACCCCCACCGCCATCGGCCTCGCTTCTGCCACCCTCCATGTCAGTATTCGAGCTATTTGAGCCTCTTGCACACTGCCCCTCGCTCTCCCCCTTGCTCCTCCCGTTCCTTTGCTTCATCAGTCACCAGTTCCTCCTCCCTCTCGCACATCTGACTCCCATGCTCATGCTCACGTGCTTGCTCTTCTGTTTGCGCTGCGCTATTCGGCCAACCCGTCCCCTCCTGTTCGCCCACCGCTGCCCCTATGCTCCTCCACACCGAGCAGCCGAGCGCTTTGGCAAGTCCATCATCCCTGTGCGTCTCTCCAAGCCCCCTCGCAATACACTCCCTTCCCTTAACTCATTTCAGGCGTGGCCCACCAGTGGGGTTGAAGGGGCGTGTGGTGGTGTTGGAAGAAAACCCCCACCGAGTGGGAGTGCGCTTGGACAAGCCCAAGACCCCCACCAACCTCTGTTCAACCCTTTCCCCACTCGATTCAATCCCCCTTGCTGTGCGTCCTCATGCCAGGCGCGGCCCCCCAGTGGGGTTGAAGGGGCGTGTGGTGGTGGTGCTGGAGGAGAATCCCCACCGCGTGGGCGTGCGCTTTGACAAGCCTACTCCTCTGCCTCCCTCCCTACAAACCCCCGCAACATGATTCACTGCAGGCGCGGCCCCCCAGTGGGGTTGAAGGGGCGCGTGGTGGTGGTGCTGGAGGAGAATCCCCACCGCGTGGGCGTGCGCTTTGACAAGCCTACTCCTCTGCCTCCCTCCCTACAAACCCCTGCAACATGATTCACTGCAGGCGCGGCCCCCCAGTGGGGTTGAAGGGGCGCGTGGTGGTGGTGCTGGAGGAGAATCCCCACCGCGTGGGCGTGCGCTTTGACAAGCCTACTCCTCTGCCTCCCTCCCTACAAACCCCCGCAACATGATTCACTGCAGGCGCGGCCCCCCAGTGGGGTTGAAGGGGCGCGTGGTGGTGGTGCTGGAGGAGAATCCCCACCGCGTGGGCGTGCGCTTTGACAAGCCTACTCCTCTGCCTCCCTCCCTACAAACCCCCGCAACATGATTCACTGCAGGCGCGGCCCCCCAGTGGGGTTGAAGGGGCGCGTGGTGGTGGTGCTGGAGGAGAATCCCCACCGCGTGGGCGTGCGTTTCGACAAGCCCATCCCGGGCGGCAACAGTCTCGTGGACGTGTGCGACGATGGGCATGGCGCTTGGTGCCACGGTAGGTAGGCTTGTGTTGTGAGGCGCCTCAAAGATAGGTTCTGGCGCACATGTGATTGGCTCATGGTGTCATGGTGGATTCAGCAAGCCCATCCCGGGTGGCAGCAGTCTGGTGGACGTGTGCGACGAGGGGCGCGGGGCGTGGTGCCACGGTAGGTAGCAGGTGCACGGGTCATGGTGCCATACTATGGTGGATTCGACACGCCCATCCCGGGCGGCAGCAGCCTCGTGGACGTGTGTGACGAGGGGCACGGCGCGTAACGCCACTGTGGGTTGCCTGGCCTTTGAGGTGCCTCGGAGGTAGATATGGGCAAACAAGTGCACGGCTGGTGGTGTCACTGTCACGGTAGGTTCAGCAAGCCCATCCCTGGTGGCAGCAGTCTCGTGGACGTGTGTGAGGAGGGGCATGGGGCATGGTGCCATGGTAGGTTGCCTTCCCTGTCCCCTTCCCCTCCGTCCCAGGTTTGAGGCGACTCAAGAGGCGCCTTATGATTTGCACCATCCCGTCCCCCCTTCTCCCCATGCCCTTGGGTAGCGTCGGAGCTGAGGCTAGAGGGGGCGCCCTTTAAGGCGACTCAAGAGTCTCCTTGCACGACACCCACCACACTCAAGAGGTGCCTTATGATTTGCACCATCCCGCCCCCCTTCTCCCCATGCCCTTGGGCATTGTCTTAGCTGCGGTCGGAGGGGGCGGCGTTGAAGGCTGCTACTCAAGAGCCTCTTTGCGCGCCACCCACCACTCTTCCCCCCTTTCTCTCCTCCTCCCCCGCTTTCCTTTCCCCATAACCTTGGGCAGTGTCGGAGCTGCGGCTGGAGGGGGCGGCAGCAGACGACGTGGAGAAGCAGCTGGTGGACCATTGCATGGCGGTGAGTGGGAGCATGGGGGTCAGTGGGAGCATGGGGGTCAGTGGGAGCATGGGGGTCAGTGGGAGCATGGGGGTCAGTGGGAGCATGGGGGTCAGTGGGAGCATGGGGGTCAGTGGGAGCATGGGGGTCAGTGGAAGGATGGGGGTCAGTGGGAGCATGGGGGTCAGTGGGAGCATGGGGGTCAGTGGGAGCATGGGGGTCAGTGGGAGCATGGGGGTCAGTGGGAGCATGGGGGTCAGTGGGAGCATGGGGGTCAGTGGGAGCATGGGGGTCAGTGGGAGCATGGGGGTCAGTGGGAGCATGGGGGTCAGTGGGAGCATGGGGGTCAGTGGGAGCATGGGGGTCAGTGGAAGGATGGGGGTCAGTGGGAGCATGGGGGCCAGTGGGAGCATGGGGGTCAGTGGAAGGATGGGGGTCAGTGGGAGCATGGGGGTCAGTGGGAGCATGGGGGTCAGTGGGAGCATGGGGGTCAGTGGGAGCATGGGGGTCAGTGGGTGGGAGCATCTGGGCGGGTGAGTGCGAGCATCGTGGCGTGAAGGCAGTGGGTGATGTGCAGAGGAGTCTGTTATGGGGGTGCCGCACGAGGAGTCTGTTATGGGGGTGCCGCACGAGGAGTCTGTTATGGGGGTGCCGCACGAGGAGTCTGTTATGGGGGTGCCGCACGAGGAGTCTGTTATGGGGGTGCCGCACGAGCAGAGCAGATGATGTGACGTGGAGAAGCAACTGGTGGACCACTGCATGGCGGTGAGTGGGTGGGGTGGGGGTCAGTGAGTGAGGGGGTGGGCGGGAGCATGTTGGCATGATGGCAGTGGCTGGTGTTCACTGGATTCCACAAGCAGATGACGTGGAGAAGCAGCTGGTACACCACTGCATGGTGGTGAGTGGGGGTGAGCATGATGTCATATGAATCGTCTCAAAAAGTATATGCCACACAGTAGTAGCAGGGACTTACCATAAGAGTCCCCTTTGTCTTATCACTTCTCCTCCGCCCCTCCCTCCCTGCCTTTCCTCTTATGCCTTGTACTGCCAGCCACGTGCCAGCAACCATATCAGCGTCAACTGTGCTCACCGTGTTCATCCCTGGCGCACACAGAGAGGCAGCGGCCTTGCGCTTCATTTGAAAGCTATACCTCCGCTCATTGTGCTCATTACACTATCCCCTTCAATTCTCGTGTGTTTTCTTCTTCCCCTTCTCCTCCCTCCTCCCGTTTTCAACAGATGCGTTGTACTGCCAGGTGGCAGCAACGGTAGCGGCCACAACCCCTCTCATTGTGTTCATCCCGGGCGCAGATAGAATCGCAGCTGCACACTATGAGAGGCCCCTCCCTCAATGTGTCATTGCCCCCATGCGTTGTACTCTCAGGTGGCAGCAACCGTAGCGGCCACATCTCCGCTCATTGTGTTCATCCCGGGCGCAGACAGAATCGCAGCAGCGCATTACGAGCGGCTCGTGAGGCTAGAGCGCATGGAGCGCTTGGGTGTTGTTGGGGAGAGAGGTGCGGAGAAGGGGGAGAAGGGAGAGAAAGGGGAGAAGGTGAAGGAGAGGAAGGAAGGAAAGGAGGTGAAGGAGAAGAGTGAGCCGCTGCGGCTGGTGGTGATTGGTTCTCACACAGTGCCGCCCAAGAAGGACAAGGTGGGTGGCAGGCATGCATGATGGGGCAAGGGTGGGTGGCAGGCATGCATGATGGGGCAAGGGTGGGTGGCAGGCATGCATGATGGGGCAAGGGTGGGTGGCAGGCATGCATGATGGGGCAAGGGTGGGTGGCAGGCATGCATGATGGGGCAAGGGCCGTCAGCAGCATGGCTCCCACCTCACACCTCCTGTCCCTAACCCCTTAACCTCATCCCCTTCCCTTTCTCTTCCTCTGTTCAATTAGCCCTGCTCTCTGAAATCCGTCCCTCCCATATCACCACGTCTCCTTGCCATGCCCGTCCACTGCACCAGGCGCCAGCAGCGGCAGCAGCCCCCAAGACCACGGACAAGCTCTCTGCTCTGCTCGACCTCTCCTTCCTGGTACGCATTGCTTCCACTTGTGACGAGCTCTCTGCGCTCCTGCTCACTTGTGACTCCACAAAAATGTCAATCGTGTGCCAACTATCTTTCCTTCTTTCCTTCAACGCCCACATATCTGGTGAATTCAGTCTCAACTGAGAAGGTCACCTTGTTTCAAAGTTGCTGAGAAACACTCGTTCCCCTTATGAATCCCCGAAAGGGTGGGCGGGCAAAGCGTGCAGCAGCGTGATGTCACGCCCTGTTGGTTGAGGGGCAGTGGGCCTATACCTTAAACCTCCCCTCAAACCTGCACCTCAAACTTGCACCTCAAACCTGCACCTCAAACCTGCACCTCAAACTTGCACCTCAAACCTGCACCTCAAACTTGCACCTCAAACCTGCACCTCAAACTTGCACCTCAAACCTGCACCTCAAACCTGCACCTCAAACCTGCACCTCAAACCTGCACCTCAAACCTGCACCTCAAACCTGCACCTCAAACCTGCACCTCAAACTTGCACCTCAAACCTGCACCTCAAACTTGCACCTCAAACCTGCACCTCAAACCTGCACCTCAAACCTGCACCTCAAACCTGCACCTCAAACCTGCACCTCAAACCTGCACCTCAAACCTGCACCTCAAACCTGCACCTCAAACTTGCACCTCAAACCTGCACCTCAAACCTGCACCTCAAACTTGCACCTCAAACCTGCACCTCAAACTTGCACCTCAAACCTGCACCTCAAACCTGCACCTCAAACTTGCACCTCAAACCTGCACCTCCAACCTGCACCTCCAACCTGCACCTCAAACCTGCACCTCAAACCTGCACCTCAAACCTGCACCTCAAACCTGCACCTCAAACCTGCACCTCAAACCTGCACCTCAAACCTGCACCTCAAACCTGCACCTCAAACCTGCACCTCAAACCTGCACCTCAAACCTGCACCTCAAACCTGCACCTCCAACCTGCACCTCAAACCTGCACCTCAAACCTGCACCTCAAACCTGCACCTCAAACCTGCACCTCAAACCTGCACCTCAAACCTGCACCTCCAACCTGCACCTCCAACCTGCACCTCAAACCTGCACCTCAAACCTGCACCTCAAACCTGCACCTCAAACCTGCACCTCAAACCTGCACGTCAAACCTGCACCTCAAACCTGCACCTCAAACCTGCACCTCAAACCTGCACCTCAAACCTGCACCTCAAACCTGCACCTCAAACCTGCACCTCCAACCTGCACCTCAAACCTGCACCTCAAACCTGCACCTCAAACCTGCACCTCAAACCTGCACCTCAAACCTGCACCTCAAACCTGCACCTCCAACCTGCACCTTAAACCTGCACCTCAAACCTGCACCTCAAACCTGCACCTCAAACCTGCACCTCAAACCTGCACCTCAAACCTGCACCTCAAACCTGCACCTCAAACCTGCACCTCAAACCTGCACCTCAAACCTGCACCTCAAACCTGCACCTCAAACCTGCACCTCACACCTGCACCTCAAACCTGCACCTCAAACCTGCACCTCACACCTGCACCTCAAACCTGCACCTCACACCTGCACCTCAAACCTGCACCTCAAACCTGCACGTCAAACCTGCACCTCAAACCTGCACCTCAAACCTGCACCTCACACCTGCACCTCAAACCTGCACCTCACACCTGCACCTCAAACCTGCACCTCACACCTGCACCTCACACCTGCACCTCACATCTGCATCTCACACCTGCACCTCCTACTCTTCCTTCCAGCTCTCAGGATCAGCTGTCCTCAGTCCACGATTTCATACTCGTGTCATGATCAGCTCTCTTCACGGCTAGAGGATGGATGTGGGGGGGAGGGTGGGCGGTTCCAAGGCGGGCAGCGCAGCGGTGCCTTGCCTCTTTGGTTGGGGAGCCGCTTTTCTCCACCTCATCCTCCTTCCACCTTCCGTCCATCAAGACAACCAGGGTGCTGTTGGGAGTGTTTTTAATCCCTCAGACTCCTTTCCAGCTCTCGGGATCAGCTGTCCTCATGCCAGAGTGGCTTTGGGTGTTTTTTAGTACCTCATACTACCTCCCATGCCTCCCCTCAGGACCAGCTGTCATCGCGACTAGAGGGCGGGTGTTGGGATGGCGGCGGGGCCAAAGGGGGCGGCAGGGCGGTGACTGGCCTCTTTGGTTGAGAGGCTGTTTGCTTCCACCTCATGCGCCCTCCTCCTCCCATCCCTCAGGACCAGCTCTCCTCACGGCTAGAGGACGGACGGGGGGATGGTGGAGGGGGCAAGGCGGGCGGCAGGGCGGTGTCTCGCATCTTCCCCACCTCCATCCCGGTGCTGCCGCCCGCACAAGACGATGACGTGGCGCAGCGTGATTGGGCGAGGCAGCTGGAGGGTGACGTGGAGCTGATGCGTGCTGAGAGCAACCGCCGCCTGCTTAGATCGGTGGGTGGAGTGCGGTGGTGAATGGTGGGGTGTGGCGCGGGCGGTGATGGGTGGTGGGGTGTGGTGATGGCTGGTGGGGTGTGGTGATGGGTGGTGGGGTGTGGTGATGGGTGGTGGGGTGTGGTCAATGGTGTGTGGCCAGCTAACCATATGGCCGGTTTACCTCCGTCTCCTCCGTCCACTGCTACCCGATCCAAAATACATGATCCAATCGCATGCATTTGACTTTTGAGTTGACCCAAAAGTCCCCTCCATTCAGAGCAACCAGATCCGAAACACCTGATTCATTCGCATGCATTTGACCCTGCTGTATGAATGCACATTTTGTACATGTGAGCAGGTGATGTGCACAGCAGGAGTGGAGTGTGCAGACATTGACAGGCTCTCAATCGCCTCCCACTCTCTTCCCCAGGAGGGTAAGTCAATTTGCACACCCTTCTTTTCATTCCATATGCTGAGTATCGGAAGAGGATCTCACATTCTCTTTGTTTTCAACTCATAAGTCTGCTCAATTGCCTTTGCACCCATCATCAGGAGCGGAGCGCATGGTGGGGTGGGCCATCAGCCACCAGCTATAATGGATCATGCATGTGCGTGCTTGCCTTTATTCCATGTCTACACACCCAATCTGCTCGTGCATGCGTTATCCCATGATCAGGAGCGGAGCGCATGGTGGGGTGGGCCATCAGTCACCAGCTACAGCACAGCCAACAAGCCGACACGCCTCCTGCCCGCCTCCCGCTCTCTCTCTCCAGGTCTGCTTCATGTCACTCCCTTACCCTCTCACCCTGTTCTGCTCTAACCCCCTCACCCACTTGCATTCTCACTTTCTCACCCCCTCACCCCAACCAATGGCACTTGCATGCACCTTGCTTTCAGTTCAGCAGTGCCCATGTATCATATCAACCGATAATAGCACCTCTTGCTGTTGTCACATTCGCCGACCTGCTCATTGTGTGTTGCTGCTACCCATTCACCTTCTCTCTTTTGCAATCACCACTGGGCGGCAGTATTCGGCATGGAGTGGAGGTGGTGGAGGGAGCATCTCAGCAGCAGCCAGCCACACAGCGCAAGGCACTTAAGGTGGGCTTCAGAGTGGGCTCTAGCAGGAGCTGTCAGGATAGCAGCTTGCAGTATAGGAACTGCCAGGCTCGACCCTCAGTGTTTTAAACAACGATGAGTGTGAACTGTCAGGCTCGACCCTCAGTGTTTTAAACAACGATGTGTGTGAACTGTCAGGCTTGACCCTCAGTGTTTTAAACAACGATGTGTGTGAACTGTCAGGCTTGACCCTCAGTGTTTTAAACAACGATGTGTGTGAACTGTCAGGCTCGACTCACCACAGTGCGGCCTGCTGGCCCCACCTGCTGCCTAGGTCTGTTGAACGCATGCGCAATTACAGTTTTTTTTCTCTTGCACGCGTGCGCTTTGAGCACATACTTTGTTTTGTTGTCCCATACCCCTACTCTCGCACCCCCCCCAAACCCCCCGCAGGACGTGACGTGCGACAACGACTTTGAGAGGCTGCTACTGGGGGAGGTGATACCTGCGGAGGAGCTGGGCGTGCGTTTTGAGCACATCGGCGCGTTGGAGGGCGTCAAGGAGGCTCTAAGAGAGGTCGTCATGCTGCCACTTCAGCGACCAGAGCTGTTTCAAACGGGCCAGCTCACTAAGGTATTTCTGTACAGTGGTGGAGTTTTTCTTCAGATTTTGCCCTATGTTGATCACGCAGTCGGTGTGCTGGAGGGCGTGAAGGAGGCTTTAAGTGAGGTGGTCATGCTGCCGCTGCAACGTGCTGAGTTCTTCCAAACGGGGCAACTCACCAAGGTATTCTTCATATGGCTGTGCTGCACTTTCGTTCCCCCTTTTTCCCGCATGTTCCTAGACGTGCATTCCCCCCCTCCCAACCCAACCTCCCGGCTCACTCCTCCCTTCCCTGCCTCCCATTGTCCCAACTAGTCGCTCACGCCGCCCATCTCGCATTCCCATACCCCACTGCCACTATAATACAGGCTACTGGTTTTCCACTGGGTTCATCGCGTCGCCTCATTCACTGTGCCCCTCTCCCATTCGCCCACCTCCCCAATCACCCTCCTCCCCAATCACCCTCCTCCCCAATCGCCCACCTCCCCAATCACCCACCTCCCCAATCACCCTCCTCCCCAATCACCCTCCTCCCCAATCACCCACCTCCCCAATCACCCTCCTCCCCAATCACCCACCTCCCCAATCACCCACCTCCCCAATCACCCTCCTCCCCAATCACCCTCCTCCCCAATCACCCTCCTCCCCAATCACCCTCCTCCCCAATCACCCTCCTCCCCAATCACCCTCCTCCCCAATCACCCTCCTCCCCAATCACCCTCCTCCCCAATCGCCCTCCTCCCCAATCACCCACCTCCCCAATCGCCCTCCTCCCCAATCACCCACCTCCCCAATCACCCTCCTCCCCAATCACCCTCCTCCCCAATCACCCTCCTCCCCAATCACCCTCCTCCCCAATCACCCTCCTCCCCAATCACCCTCCTCCCCAATCACCCTCCTCCCCAATCACCCTCCTCCCCAATCACCCACCTCCCCAATCACCCTCCTCCCCAATCACCCTCCTCCCCAATCACCCTCCTCCCCAATCACCCTCCTCCCCAATCACCCTCCTCCCCAATCACCCTCCTCCCCTCCAAACCGCCCCCCACGAACCCCGCCCCTCACCAACCCCACCCACAGCCGGTGCGCGGGCTGCTGCCGTTTGGTCCACCGGGCACGGGCAAGACGATGTTGGGCAAGGCGGTTGCTACCGAGTCAGGGAGGTGGGACCGTGGGGAGGTGATACCCCGCCACTCTTGCATTACCCAACCGTCCTCCTACCCTCCCCACCTACTCTCCCCCCTCCTTTCACAGCCGGTACGGGGGCTGCTGCTGTTTGGTCCACCGGGCACGGGCAAGACGATGCTGGGCAAGGCGGTTGCTACGGAGTCAGGGGCGAACTTCATCAGCCTCTCCATGGCCTCCGTTGCATCAAAGGTTCGTACCTCCCCTATCCTCCATGGGCTCTCTTCCTTCTCTCTGTTTATCTCCTTGTATACGTGTTAGTATAGCTTGTACATGGTCAAAGTGACGAGTCGAGCAATACTCGACTCGTCCATGGTCTTGCTCGACGAGCTTTTGCTCCGAGTCGAGCAAAACTCTGACGAGCAATTTTCAACATTTTGCATACTCGGGACTCGTCGTTTTAGGGCATGCTCGGGCGAGTTTAGGGGAAAGCTCGTCCGAGCACAAGACATGCTCGACTCGCCACTCGCAAGCACTAAGCTACCACGGACGCGTCCAGCTAGCTAAGTGGGGATTATTGGAGTAGACTAGCGGGGGAGGGAAGGAGGTTGTGCGATGGGCCATAGGCTGGCAAGCGCAAGGAACGATGTGGCTTTCTGAAGTGACGGGATCTGAATCTGGATCTTGAATCTGGATCTGGTGGTTGGGTTTTGTAGATTCAGTGCGGTGAAGATAGGTAAGTGGTGGCGAATTGGTTGGGAAATCAAGTGGCAATTTAGTTGGAAAGGCATATTCGTTTTGCTCGACCAAAAGAGAGATCTGAGCGTAGTGATTGCCACGACCAGTGGCAGACTCCGCAGCGCACTTGCCGGCGAACCCCGCTGATTGACGGGCGAAATCGCCGATCCGCGCGGATTGACGGGCGAAATCGCCGATCCGCGCGGATTGACGGGCGAAATCGCCGATCCGCGCGGATTGACGGGCGAAATCGCCGATCCGCGCGGATTGACGGGCGAAATCGCCCGCGAGTTAAAAAAACTCGTCGAGCACGTAATCTCCACGAAATTGCTCGTCCCCCAAGGCGAGCATGCGACGAGTAGATAAAACTCGTCGAGTAAAACTCGCCTCGCCTCGGGCGAGTTTTTTTCCCAAAAAATCAGGCTCGTCACTCGTCCCCCAACGAGCATTTCGAACGAGTCGAGCAAAAACCCTACACTCGTTGCCCATGTATAGTATAGCTGCTAATCTGATACATTCGCCCGACCTGCTAATTGTGCCACATTCCCTTGCCTTGCTTCTGTCTTCCCTTGAATGCCACGTCTCCGTCACACCTCTGTTCTCTGATTCACGCTTCACCCTTTCCCCCTTCCCCCTTTTTCTCCCCCTTCCCCCTCTCACACCACCAGTGGTTTGGAGAGGCAGAGAAGTATGTGAAGGCCGTGTTCACGCTGGCCAGTAAAATTGCGCCATGTGTCATCTTCGTGGACGAGGTGAGTGAGTGAGTGGTTGAGAGAGTGAGTGGGTGGTTGGGTGAGCGAGAGAGTGAGTGAGTGAGAGAATGTGTGGTTGGGTGAGTGAGTGAGTGAGTGGGTGGTTGGGTGAATGAGTGAGTGGGTGGTTGGGTGAGTGAGTGAGTGGGTGGTTGGGTGAGCGAGAGAGTGAGTGAGTGAGAGAATGTGTGGTTGGGTGAGTGAGTGAGTGAGTGGGTGGTTGGGTGAATGAGTGAGTGGGTGGTTGGGTGAGTGAGTGAGTGGGTGGTTGGGTGAGTGAGTGGGTGGTTGGGTGAGTGAGTGAGTGGGTGGTTGCGTGAGTGGGTGAGTGGGTGGTTGGGTGAGTGAGTGAGTGGGTGGTCTGGTGAGTGAGTGAGTGGGCAAGACGAGGAAGCTCAGGACTGAGTTCATTACGGCATGGGACGAACTGCGCGCCAAACCGGCCCACTGTTTCCGTGTTGCCAGTTCAGCACTGCACTTCACCCCTTGTCACCGCTCCATTACTGCGTGGCTGCTGTGTGCCTGCTGTGTCTCTCCTGTGTCCCTCCTGTGCCCCCATCACCAGGTGGACAGCATGTTGGGGCGGAGAGGCAGGGACTCGGAGCACAGTGCAATGAGGAAGCTCAAGAACGAGTTCATGGCCGCATGGGACAGGCTGTGGCACCGCACTTCACCCCTTGTCACCGCTCTACTGCTGTGTGTGCCTGCTGTGTGCTTACCAGGTGGACAGCATGTTGGGGCGGAGAGGCGGCGACTCGGAGCACAGTGCAATGAGGAAGCTGAAGAACGAGTTCATGGCGGCATGGGACGGGCTGCGCTCCAAGCAAGCCGAGCGCATCCTCGTGCTCGGCGCCACCAACCGCCCGCATGACCTCGATGATGCCGTCATTAGACGGTTCCCCAGAAGGTGCGTGGTGGGCTGAGGTCTCTTGAAGCACTCGCTTGCCATGCATACCTGTTGGCCGCCTCTAATCATTCTCGTGCTCGGCGCCACGAACCGCCCGCACGACCTTGATGATGCCGTCACCAGGCGCTTTCCTAGAAGGTGGGTGCTAGCTCATGCGTGCATGCCTTGCCATGCATACCTGTTGGCCGCCTCTAATCATTCTCGTGCTCGGCGCCACGAACCGCCCGCACGACCTTGATGATGCCGTCACCAGGCGCTTTCCTAGAAGGTGGGTGCTAGCTCATGCGTGCATGCCTTGCCATGCATACCTGTTGGCCGCCTCTGATCGTTCTCGTGCTCGGCGCCACCAACCGTCCTCACGACCTTGACGCCGCCGTCACCAGGCGGTTTCCTAAAAGGTGTGTGCGTTGCTGGACGATGCCAGTTGGGCTGAATCCAGCAAGTTTCGACGCCAAGCCTCCCTCTCTCTCTGCCACACCCCATCCACCGTCTGCCCCTGCAGGGCTTCCTTACCCCTCATTCTTGTGCGTCCCCGTCTGTGTACCGCCAGGCTGTTTGTGGACCTTCCTGACTGCACAAACAATCGCTCCTCTCGCTTCAACAACCCTCCCCTCCCTCTTCTCCTCCCTTCCACCGCCCTCTCTGCCCACAGGCTGTTCGTGGATCTGCCTGACTGCACCAACCGAGCCAAGATTCTGAAAGTCATTCTAAAGGATGAGGACGTGGAGCCAGGCTTCAGCACCGATGAGCTCGCTGCTGCCACCGATGGCTACTCTGGTAGCGACCTCAAGGTGAGGGGGCCATTGAGTCTACTTTTGAGGCGCCACAAAAGCAGAGGGCTTTTGAGCGACCTCAAGGGAACCTGATTGATTGTCTTTGTCAAGGATGAGGACGTGGAGCCGGGCTTTAGCACCGATGAGCTCTCTGCTGCCACTGATGGCTACTCTGGTAGCGACCTCAAGGTGAGGCGCCTCAAGACAGGGTGCTGCTCGCGGGCAGGCACTAATCCTTTATGGAAATCACAAGCAGGCGCAGCTAGGCCCTGCAAGAAACACCTGTAACATGTAAATAGATCTCTGCTCTTACTGCCGTATGTTCCGCTTCTCACAAGCACGAAATCGTCCTCTCCTGCATCATCACAAGCAGGAGGGAGGGATGCCCCACCCCTTCCAACATCCCTTCCCCTCCCCTTCCCCTGTCCTCGTATTGTGTGTGAGCAGAACCTGTGTGTGACAGCAGCGTTCCTCAGAATAAAGGAGTTTCTAGATAAGGAGAAGAAGGTGAGGGGTGGGGAGAAGGTGAGGGGTGGGGAGAAGGTGAGGGGTGTGGAGAAGGTGAGGGGTGTGGAGATGGTGAGGGGTGGGGAGATGGTGAGGGGTGGGGAGATGGTGAGGGGTGGGGAGATGGTGAGGGGTGGGGAGAAGGTGAGGGGTGGGGAGAAGGTGAGGGGTGGGGAGAAGGTGAGGGGTGGGGAGAAGGTGAGGGGTGGGGAGAAGGTGAGGGGTGGGGAGAAGGTGAGGGGTGGGGAGAAGGTGAGGGGTGGGGAGAAGGTGAGGGGTGGGGAGAAGGTGAGGGGTGGGGAGAAGGTGAGGGGTGGGGAGAAGGTGAGGGGTGGGGAGAAGGTGAGGGGTGGGGAGAAGGTGAGGGGTGGGGAGAAGGTGAGGGGTGGGGAGAAGGTGAGGGGCGGGGAGAAGGTGAGGGGTGGGGAGAAGAAGTTGATGGGTGCTCGGGACATGGAAACAGTACGTGTGCGCTGCTGGCAAGGGCCAAGGTCTTTCCATCTGTTGATTTATGCCATCCCATAGCCTTGCTACCTGTCATGGGGTCACTAGAATGCCATGCAGCGCTCACTCCATTGTGCTGTGCTGTGCATCACACCGAGTGCCTCTCACGTCCCATCACCCGAACTTCCACCATTTTCTTTGAGGGTGTGCGTGCAGGAGAAGGAGGAGGCGGAGAGGAGCGAGGGAGGTGCGGAGGGCAGCAGTGGAAGCAGCAGCGCAGCAGCAAGTGGCAGCCGGGAGGGCGACGCTGGTGCTGCTGACTATGCCTCTCAAGGCTCGGCTTCCCCTGCTGCTGCACCATGCCTGCGGCCAATCAGCATGAAGGACATGCGGAAGGCAATGGAGAAGGTAGGCCCTGCTGCGGTGCTGCTGTGCTGTGTTGCTGCCATGCTGCCATGACTCTCCCAACTCTCTTGCCGCTGCTTCCCCTGCCGCTGCATCATGCCTGCGGCCAATCAGCATGGAGGACATGCGGAAGGCAATGGAGAAGGTAGGCCCTGCTGCGGTGCTGCTGTGCTGTGTTGCTGCCATGCTGCCATGACTCTCCCAACTCTCTTGCCGCTGCTTCCCCTGCCGCTGCACCATGCCTGCGGCCAATCAGCATGGAGGACATGCGGAAGGCAATGGAGAAGGTGAGTCATGTTGCTGTGCTGCTGTGTTGCCGTGCTGCCGTGTTGCCGTGCTGCCATGTCATGCTGGTGGCATGATATAGTGGTTCTGCATGCCATATGATTATTGTCACATGCGACCACACACACGCTCCGGTGTTCTTCTACTCGCTGTGCCTCGCAGGTGCGTGCGAGTGTGAGCAGCGATGCCGCAGCAATGATGGAGCTGATGCAGTGGAACGAACAGTTTCACACACGCAGACACGGACATGCACTCAAACACGCATGCAATAATGTGTGTCTCCGTTTCTTTGTGCCTGGCAGGTGCGAGCGAGTGTGAGCAGCGATGCAGCAGCAATGATGGAGCTGATGCAGTGGAACGAGCAGTTCGGGGAGGGTGCCTCGCGCAAGATCACCCCCCTCTCCTACTTCATGTGACCAACCACCCTCACATGCCAGGGGAGGGCATATGGTTGCAGGGGCGTGAGGCCCTTGGGTTGGTTCTCTAGCCAGCTGGAAATGCCTTATTCTCATGCTTTTGAATCATCTGCAAATTCGGAGTACCACAAGAGTAGAATCAGAGAAAGATCACAGTGATTCCAAAGAAATGGCTCATGAGAAGTCAGCCGTGAATGAGCAAAATCAGAGGCATGTCTGCCATCCAGATTACCATGCATGCAATGCAACCATGTCCTGGCAGAGCTTGCTGTTTGCTCCTAGGCCAAGAGCATCATGCGACATGACTCGTGTCATGTGCGTGCGTGTGTCTTCTTCGAGGAGAATGCGAGAGTCATCACTCAGCACAGCCAACACGTGGTGTGTAGCTGCACACATCGTATCAATACCAGTGCACACACTCCCACTGAGAAGCCAAGCTAGTCCTTTTAGTATGTGCATATGTGCTCTGACACATGTGCATTTGTGCTCTGACACACGTGCATATGTACTCTGACACATGTGCATATGTGCTCTCTGACACATGTGCATATGTGCTCTGACACATGTGCATATGTGCTCTGATACATGTGCACATGTGCGAATTACTGGTGCTTGGCTGCACCTGCAGCTCAGGGCCCAAAATTGGTTTAGGCCTACCCTTACAAATCAGGGTTCCAGCCCCTCCTTACCCCGACCCCTAGGGTAGAATTTTCGTACCCTGTTTGCAGCAGGGTAAATCAACCACTAGCCTGATTTGAGCAGGGTAGTTTTAGGCCAACCATGTTTCAGTTACTATTTTGTGAGCTAAGTTATTTACAATGACATAATAAAGTAGCACTCACAAAGTCCATGAGCTCTTGAAGAGCACCACATTCACAACACACCTACTCAGTGCCACCCCCACTGCCTACTACCGTACTTCTACAAACTGGGTGTTGCCTCATTGGGTGAAACAACCAATGAGGCGACATGGCGTGTCGCCGACAACGACTCTTGGTTTTATGCCAGTGGTAAGAAGCGACAACGCTTGTTTGTGTGGGTGGGTGTGGCACAGTTTGTCACCAAGCGGAGTATGGCCTGATCCGCGGTAAAAAGGTTTCGGTATCAGGGTAGTCTACACCCTACCCTGATACTGTCAGGCTAACCGTAAATCCTATCAGGGTAAAAAAAAACATTTTTTTTTGCAAAAGGGTAACTTTTGTGGAATCCTGATTTTGGCAGGGTAATCCTGAAAAAGCGGCCTGCCCCCAGGGTAATCAGGGCGTTTTACCCTGATATTTTGGGCCCTGCTGCAGCTGCAAGGAGCCTGCAAGAATCGGTGCTCTGAGCATCATGGTGGTGTGGTAAATAACAGCTGTACTTAAAACGTTGCACCTGACATGGAGAATCAATATAAAGCTACGAGCGTATGTGGTTACTGCTGCCATCAAGCCACAATGGCTGTGACTCCTGCCCCTCCTCTTCCTCCCTCTCCTCCTCGCACACCACTCTCAACACTGGCGAGTTCACCCCTACAGCAGAGCTCTCGCCCCTGTTGCCACTGCCACTGTCCCTTACTCTGCTCACATCACTGCCACCAGTGCTGCTACGGTTATTGTTAGTATGGCTGTTAGTGCTGGTGTTGGTGCTGCTATTGATGCTGTTAATGGTGCTGCTGTCGAGGCAGCTGATAGTGCTGCTACTAGTGCTAACGCTGGCAAGAGCAGCAGCAGGCGGACGCGGGGCAGAGGAAGCAACAGGGGGAGGCGAGGAGAGGTGCAGGGAGGGAGGGTGGGAGCGAGGGGAGCGGGTGGGAAGGCGGGAGGCAGATGAGGAGGAGGGCCAGGGCGGAGGGGGATGAAGGTGGGGTTGGTGTAGGGGTGAGGCGTTAGGGGTGGTGGGTACGGACGTGGGAGTGATAGCAGCGCTGGGCGTGGTGGGTGTGAGGGGGGCTGCACCGCGCTGTATCCGCGGGGGACGAGACAGCCTGAGGGGAAAGGGGGGAGGAAGAGGGAAAGGGGAGAGAGGGGTGTATAGAGCAGGATGCGGGGAGACAGGAGCAGCGTTAGGCGTGGTGGGTGTGAGGGGGGCTGCACCGCGCTGTATCCGGGGGGACGAGACAGCCTGAGGGGAAAGGGGGGAGGATTGGGGGGGTTGGGGGGGGGAGGGGAAGTGGGGAGAAGGGCGTATAGAGCAGGATGCGGGGAGAAGGGAGCAGCGTTGGGCTGCAGATTGGTAAGACAGCGATGGCAGGCAGCAGTGCGGACTGGTAAGAAAGCACAAGGGGAAGTCGCTTGTTGTCCCTGCAGCAACAGCTATTGTGCCTGCAGGTGGGTACATGTGGGTGGTTACTAGTGCAGGCTGTTACCTGTGCAGGTTGAAGAGCGAGACGCCAATCATGATGATGAGCACGCCCACCAGGTTTACACGCGTGAAGCGATCCGAGAACACCAAATGGGACACCTGGGCGTAGGAGGGAGAGGGAGGGGAGCGTGGAGGGTTGCAAGTGGTTGGACGGGAGAGTGAGACGCCGACCATGATGATGAGCACGCCCACCAGGTTAACACGCGTGAAGCGATCAGAGAACACCAGATGGGACACCTGGTGGTGGAGTGGGGAGGGGCGCAGTTGAAAGTAGGCATGTAGGAGCGCAGGCGTCTGGTGGGACAACTGATGCACAAACACAAGGTGGGACACAGGGGGGGGGGTGTCATGGGGCGTTCTTGAATTCAGGGAGGTGAAGCATAGAGCAGGTGGTGCATGGCAAGGCTTGGTGGAGGAGGGATGTTAGCAATGCAGAGAAGCAACGCGGCACCTACCAGGATGGTGGCGCCTTCCTTGACAGTGTCAGCCACAGAGAAGGTGACGGCGCTGGTGTGCAGGATGATCCCTCCCTACCCCTTCACTCACCACTTACCAGTATGAGCCCTACCCCTAGGCATCGACTCACCAGGATGGTGGCGCCTTCCTTGACAGTGCCAGCTACAGAGAAGGTGACGGCGCTGGTGTGCAGAATGAGCAGAAACTCCGACATGATCTGATGGGGTGGTGGAGGGGAGAGGAAGGGAAGGAAAGGGGGGCGAAAGGGGAGGAATATAGAGTTGACTGAGAGAATGTGACTGCGTCGGTGTGCAGGATGATGAGAAATAATGGTAGTGGTAATGGTATTGGTAATGATAGTGGTCGTGGTAATGGTATTGGTATTGGTAATGATAGTGGTAGTGGTAATGGTAATGGTAATGGTAATGGTAATGGTAATGGTAATGGTAATGGTAATGGTAATGGTGATAGTAATGGTAATGGTAATGGTAATGATAGTGGTAGTGGTAATGGTAATGGTAATAATAGTGGTAGTGGTAATGGTAATGGTAATGGTAGTGGTAATGGTAATGGTAATGGTGATGGTAATGATAATGGTAATGGTAATGATAGTGGTAGTAGTAATGGTAATAGTAATAATAGTGGTAGTGGTGATGTTAATGGTAATGGTAATGGTAATGGTAATGGTAATGGTAATGATAGTGGTAATGGTAATGATACTGGTAATAATACTGGTAGTGGTAATGGTAATGGTAATGGTAATCTGATGGGGAACCTGATGGGGAACCTGATGGGGAACAGGGGGAACCTGATGGGGAACATAATTTGATGGATCTGAAAAACAAGGGGGGCAATGGGTTGAAAGGTGATGGGGAACCTGATGGGGAACCTGATGGGGAACCTGATGGGGAACCTGATGGGGAACCTGATGAGGAACCTGATGAGGAACCTGATGAGGAACCTGATGGGGAACCTGATGGGGAACCTGATGGGGAACCTGATGGGGAACCTGATGGGGAACCTGATGGGGAACCTGATGGGGAACCTGATGCGGAACCTGATGCGGAACCTGATGCGGAACCTGATGGGGAACCTGATGCGGAACCTGATGCGGAACCTGATGCGGAACCTGATGCGGAACCTGATGGGGAACCTGATGGGGAACCTGATGGGGAACCTGATGGGGAACCTGATGGGGAACCTGATGGGGAACCTGATGGGGAACCTGATGGGGAACCTGATGGGGAACCTGATGGGGAACCTGATGGGGAACCTGATGGGGAACCTGATGGGGAACCTGATGGGGAACCTGATGCGGAACCTGATGCGGAACCTGATGCGGAACCTGATGCGGAACCTGATGCGGAACCTGATGCGGAACCTGATGCGGAACCTGATGCGGAACCTGATGAACCTGATGGGGAACCTGATGGGGAACCTGATGGGGAACCTGATGGGGAACCTGATGGGGAACCTGATGGGGAACCTGATGGGGAACCTGATGGGGAACCTGATGGGGAACCTGATGCGGAACCTGATGCGGAACCTGATGCGGAACCTGATGCGGAACCTGATGCGGAACCTGATGCGGAACCTGATGCGGAACCTGATGCGGAACCTGATGCGGAACCTGATGGGGAACCTGATGGGGAACCTGATGGGGAACCTGATGGGGAACCTGATGGGGAACCTGATGGGGAACCTGATGGGGAACCTGATGCGGAACCTGATGCGGAACCTGATGGGGAACCTGATGGGGAACCTGATGCGGAACCTGATGCGGAACCTGATGCGGAACCTGATGCGGAACCTGATGCGGAACCTGATGCGGAACCTGATGCGGAACCTGATGCGGAACCTGATGGGGAACCTGATGGGGAACCTGATGCGGAACCTGATGGGGAACCTGATGGGGAACCTGATGCGGAACCTGATGGGGAACCTGATGGGGAACCTGATGGGGAACCTGATGGGGAACCTGATGGGGAACCTGATGGGGAACCTGATGGGGAACCTGATGGGGAACCTGATGGGGAACCTGATGGGGAACCTGATGCGGAACCTGATGCGGAACCTGATGCGGAACCTGATGCGGAACCTGATGGGGAGCCTGATGGGGAGCCTGATGGGGAACCTGATGGGGAACCTGATGGGGAACCTGATGGGGAACCTGATGGGGAACCTGATGGGGAACCTGATGGGGAACCTGATGCGGAACCTGATGCGGAACCTGATGCGGAACCTGATGCGGAACCTGATGCGGAACCTGATGCGGAACCTGATGCGGAACCTGATGGGGAACCTGATGGGGAACCTGATGGGGAACCTGATGGGAACCTGATGCGGAACCTGATGCGGAACCTGATGCGGAACCTGATGGGGAACCTGATGGGGAACCTGATGGGAACCTGATGGGGAACCTGATGGGGAACCTGATGGGGAACCTGATGGGGAACCTGATGGGGAACCTGATGGGGAACCTGATGGGGAACCTGATGGGGAACCTGATGGGGAACCTGATGGGGAACCTGATGGGGAACCTGATGGGGAACCTGATGGGGAACCTGATGGGGAACCTGATGGGGAACCTGATGGGGAACCTGATGGGGAACCTGATGCGGAACCTGATGCGGAACCTGATGCGGAACCTGATGCGGACCGGATGCGGAACCGATGCGGAACCGATGCGGAACCTGATGCGGAACCTGATGCGGAACCTGATGGGGAACCTGATGGGGAACCTGATGGGGAACAGGGGGAACCTGATGGGGAACATAATTTGATGGATCTGAAAAACAAGGGGGGCAATGGGTTGAGAGGTGATGGGGAACCTGATGGGGAACCTGATGGGGAACCTGATGGGGAACCTGATGGGGAACCTGATGAGGAACCTGATGGGGAACCTGATGGGGAACCTGATGGGGAACCTGATGGGGAACCTGATGGGGAACCTGATGGGGAACCTGATGGGGAACCTGATGGGGAACCTGATGGGGAACCTGATGGGGAACCTGATGGGGAACCTGATGGGGAACCTGATGGGGAACCTGATGGGGTACCTGATGGGGAACCTGATGGGGAACCTGATGGGGAACCTGATGGGGAACCTGATGGGGAACCTGATGGGGAACCTGATGGGGAACCTGATGGGGAACCTGATGCGGAACCTGATGGGGAACCTGATGGGGAACCTGATGCGGAACCTGATGGGGAACCTGATGCGGAACCTGATGCGGAACCTGATGCGGAACCTGATGCGGAACCTGATGCGGAACCTGATGCGGAACCTGATGGGGAACCTGATGGGGAACCTGATGCGGAACCTGATGCGGAACCTGATGCGGAACCTGATGGGGAACCTGATGGAGAACCTGATGGGGAACCTGATGCGGAACCTGATGGGGAACCTGATGGGGAACCTGATGGGGAACCTGATGGGGAACCTGATGGGGAACGTGATGGGGAACGTGATGGGGAACCTGATGGGGAACCTGAAGGGGAACCTGATGCGGAACCTGATGCGGAACCTGATGGGGAACCTGATGGGGAACCTGATGCGGAACCTGATGCGGAACCTGATGCGGAACCTGATGCGGAACCTGATGCGGAACCTGATGGGGAACCTGATGCGGAACCTGATGCGGAACCTGATGCGGAACCTGATGCGGAACCTGATGGGGAACCTGATGTCGAACCTGATGGGGAACCTGATGGGGAACCTGATGGGGAACCTGATGCGGAACCTGATGCGGAACCTGATGGGGAACCTGATGTCGAACCTGATGGGGAACCTGATGGGGAACCTGATGGGGAACCTGATGGGGAACCTGATGCGGAACCTGATGGGGAACCTGATGCGGAACCTGATGCGGAACCTGATGCGGAACCTGATGCGGAACCTGATGCGGAACCTGATGGGGAACCTGATGGGGAACCTGATGGGGAACCTGATGGGGAACCTGATGGGGAACCTGATGGGGAACCTGATGGGGAACCTGATGGGGAAACTGATGGGGAACCTGATGGGGAACCTGATGGGGAACCTGATGGCGAACCTGATGGGGAACGGGAACCTGATGGGGAATCTGATGGGGAACCTGATGGGGAACCTGATGGGGAACCTGATGGGGAACCTGATGGGGAACCTGATGGGGAACCTGATGGGGAACCTGATGGGGAACCTGATGCGGAACCTGATGCGGAACCTGATGCGGAACCTGATGCGGAACCTGATGGCGAACCTGATGGGGAACCTGATGCGGAACCTGATGCGGAACCTGATGCGGAACCTGATGCGGAACCTGATGGGGAACCTGATGGGGAACCTGATGGGGAACCTGATGGGGAACCTGATGCGGAACCTGATGCGGAACCTGATGCGGAACCTGATGGGGAACCTGATGGGGAACCTGATGCGGAACCTGATGGGGAGCCTGATGGGGAACCTGATGGGGAACCTGATGGGGAACCTGATGGGGAACCTGATGGGGAACCTGATGGGGAACCTGATGGGGAACCTGATGGGGAACCTGATGCGGAACCTGATGCGGAACCTGATGGGGAACCTGATGGGGAACATGATGCGGAACCTGATGCGGAACCTGATGCGGAACCTGATGGGGAACCTGATGGGGAACCTGATGGGGAACCTGATGCGGAACCTGATGCGGAACCTGATGCGGAACCTGATGGGGAACCTGATGGGGAACCTGATGGGGAACCTGATGGGGAACCTGATGGGGAACCTGATGGGGAACCTGATGGGGAACTTGATGGGGAACCTGATGGGGAACCTGATGGGGAACCTGATGGGGAACCTGATGGGGAACCTGATGGGGAACCTGATGGGGAACCTGATGCGGAACCTGATGCGGAACCTGATGGGGAACCTGATGGGGAACCTGATGGGGAACCTGATGCGGAACCTGATGCGGAACCTGATGGGGAACCTGATGGGGAACCTGATGGGGAACCTGATGCGGAACCTGATGCGGAACCTGATGGGGAACCTGATGGGGAACCTGATGGGGAACCTGATGCGGAACCTGATGCGGAACCTGATGCGGAACCTGATGCGGAACCTGATGGGGAACCTGATGGGGAACCTGATGGGGAACCTGATGGGGAACCTGATGGGGAACCTGATGGGGAACCTGATGGGGAACCTGATGGGGAACCTGATGGGGAACCTGATGGGGAACCTGATGGGGAACCTGATGGGGAACCTGATGGGGAACCTGATGGGGAACCTGATGCGGAACCTGATGCGGAACCTGATGGGGAACCTGAAGAGCATGAAGAGCAGCAGCAGCAGGAATGAGCGAGCACAATGGCCGCAAACGAGCAGGGGCAGCGAATTGCCTAAGATTTACCATGAGAAACGCGAGCACCCCTCCCAGCAGCAGAAGCAGCATGGTGGGCGCGAGGTGCGAGGGCGGGGAGAAGTAAGACGAGGAGGGCAGCGAGGCGAGTGGCTCGAGGGCGAGGGAGAAGAGACCGCAGGTGACGGCCATGGGGGGCGTGATGTATGCCAGCGAGACCAGCGGGCTGCTCAGACCTGCACAAGAGGGCGAGGGAGTGGGGAGGGTGGGATGCAGGGCATGATGGGAGTACAAGAGGCGAGTAGGAGGACCGTGCAGCACACAACACACGGGGCCATGAACAGGAGAAACGGAAGCAGGGAAATACGAGGGAAGTGCAGTAGAAAAATAGGGAAAGGAAGCGTAGCGGAGATAAAGGGCGGGCGGGGTTTGGGGATAGAGAGCATACCAAGGCGATCTTTCTGGGAGACGAGAGGGTGGGCTTGGCACAAGCCATGGCGTGGGTGATGGGGAGGGCAATGGGAAGGGCAATGGGGAGGGCAATGGGGAGGGCAGCAGAGGCACAATGAATACGGAGTCAGCGTAAAAGATTTAAGGAATATGCATAGTGGCTTATGGATGCTTCTTTAGCATGCCATGGGACGGGACACGACAATCTATAGTTCAATCCCATGGCAATTAATGACTTGGTACCATATTGTACCACAGTACACCCATGCAAAGGCACGTGCGGCAACCATGCATCAGCACCTTACCTGCAGCAGCACTTGAATGAGCACCCATCGCAGGCCAGATGCCATGGCTGAGAGCATGACGAGCACAAAGCCCCACAGGTGGAACGATGCCTCCCCCGCCACTGGCAGAGGCCCACAGGCATGCACACATGCACATGTATAGAAATACAGGAGGATAGTGAGTGATGATGAGTGCTGTGCAGGAGGAAGAGGAGATGTCGGGTGAGATGGATACGGAGGGGCTAGTGGCATGCCAAAATGAAAGGGAAGGAGGGCGTTTATAAGGAGATGAGTATCGGAGTAGTGACAGCGACAGACTGATTGGCTGACCTGTGAAGAGCACCCCCACGGAGATCACCATCATGACGCCGATGAGACGAAAGCTGATAGGCTCCAACCTGCCGCCCGTGGCGTGGGCGTGACATAGGGTGGCATGGGGGCATGGCATGAGCAGTGCAGCAAGGCGACACGTGGAGGACATTGTGAGTGGATCGGAAGCAGAGGCAGAGCAGCAGGAACACACGGGCGCGGGCCTTGCAGTAGAGAGATGCCATTTGACAGCAGCTCTGGACTTCCTTGAGAAAACTGTAAAACGCATAGAAACGAAACGCCTCGGAAGATAAGGGTACGTGCAGCAGGGAGGGACAAGCAGGCTCTGGAGTTGCGGTGCAGAGATGTGGGCGGGGGAGACAGGGAAGACATTGAATCGAAACACGGTTTGAGTGGTATTGATTTGACTGGGATGAGATGAGATGAGATGAGATGAGAGCGCACCTGAAGATGAAGGCAAAGAGCAGCAGGAACATGGGCGCACTGGACTTGCACTGCCGTGTCGTGTGGTGTGGTGGGGACAAACAGGAGCGTGCACAGGGGAATGGGGAGGGGAGTGAGTGGGAGCAACGGAAGGGGATGGGAATGCAAGCGGGTGCGTGTGTCTGTGGCGGTTGGTGGGGAAAACGGGGAGGGAGTGGTAAGGGCAGAAAGTGTGGTGCATGCATGACTGATAATTAACGAAGAGCGATAGTGAGTAGCAATGAGTGATAATGAGTACTGATGATGAGTAATGATGAGTAATGATGAACGATGATGAGTCATACCATACCATGGTGTAGAAGGTGAGTGTGATATAAGCGAGGGACTGATTGGAGAGAGCGATGTCCACTGCTGTTGCCACCGCTGTGGGAATGACTGTTGGTTGGCACTCCAATGATTGTCACGAATGGCATCATGCAAGGACATGTAGAGTTGTGTAGGGACATGCATAGACACAAAACAGCATGTCATGTAGCATCACGCATAGAAATGCACCAGATGTCATGCCATGCATTGCTATGCCAGCCAACCCAATGTCACATATGGTATGGCACGGCTCGCGATGCAGATGCATCATGCACACACACAGAGCATGGGTGGAGCGGATGGGAAGTGGAGGTGAGACGAGAACAGCGGGCAATGCATGCATGAGATGGTTTGCACAGGTCTTCCCCTCAGGCAAAAACCACGTCCAGTACACAGACACAACAAGCAGACGGCGCAACAGTACAAAGGAGGGCGTGAGAGCAGGGGGCCCGGGGTGGGGGAAGTAGGATGAGGGCAGGGGCGTACCTCGGAGGCAGTAGTCGCGGGAGGAGAGGGGGAGGGGCGGCAGGGCGGAGGGGAAGGCGGAGTGCAGCAGCGCGGAGGCCATGAGCGCCTGCTGGGCGAAGTGGAACGCCGTCAGCAGCAGTGGCGCGGGGAAGCGGCCGTGCTGCTGCCCTATCAGCATCTTGTTGTACCTGCGGGGGTTGGGGTGGGGGCAGGGGGAGAGGGGTGATTGGGGGGAAGAGAGCGGGGGGAGCGCGGAGGCCATGAGCGCCGTCAGCAGCAGCGGCGCGGGGAAGCGGCCGTGCTGCTGCCCTATCAGCATCTTGTTGTACCTGCGCGTGTTTTGGGGTGGGCAGGTGTGGGGGGGATAAAGGGGGCGAGGTGATGTCAGGGCAAACGTTCTGCTGCCCTATGAGCATTTTGTTGTTCCTGATTGGGGTGGGCGGGGTGGGCGTGGGGGGAAGGGAAAGAGGGCAGAGGTGACTTTTAGAGTCAACTCAGCAGTGCTGCTGCCCTATGAGCATCTTGTTGTACCTGATTGGGGTGGGCGGGGGAGGAAGGAGGGAGGAGAGGTGACCTTCGGGTCGACTCACAGATGAAGAGGAGGAGAAGCAGTGAAGAAAGAATGGAATGAGGTCTGGTATGGCAGAGGCTTACAGGCTGAGCGCGGTGCTGAAGGTGTACCAAAGCAGCAGCAGCGCCAGCACGTGTGCCACGGGGTTTTGCAGCGACTACGAAGAGGGGAAGAAGAATGAAGTCAGAGGGCCTTACAGGCTGAGAGCGGTGCTTACAGGCTGAGTGCGGTGCTGAAGGTGTACCAGAGCAGCAGCAGCGCCAACACGCGTGCAACGGGCCACAGGCTACGAGGATCGCACCACACGCGCACGCGCACCCCGCCCCACCCCACGCTCGCCTTCACGCTGCCGCCACCTGCACCAGTCATAGCCCCACCAGTGACTGAACCACCAGCAGTAGCACCACTAGCAGCACCAACGGCGGCAGTCAGCCAGTTTCTCGCCCCCATTTCCTCCCCTGACCTGCTCCGCTCCACCCGTCTCTCCCGCACCCTCCCTGCCCGCCGCTCCCCCGCCCTTCCCCTTCCCCCATCGCTCGCCTCGTCAATCTCAGAGTCCGTTTCTCTGGCGCTGCTGTACGCGTTACTGCCATGCCTCTCGCTCAATCCTACCGCGTGTCTCTCACCAAACCCTAACCCGTGTCTCTCGGGTAATTCAATCAAAGGCCGCACGTCCTCCTCACCCCCCACTTCTCCCTCTCCTCCCCCTCGCTCGCACAAACTATCGTCGTCGGCACTGCGACTGACGTCGTCAATTTCAGGTTTGACGTCATCTCCTCCTTCCCGCACCTGCAATTCCACCAATGCTTCGCCGGCATGACGTGTCACACCGGCTAAACCTGCTGACGGCCTGACGCTGACGCTAACGGAGCTGTCGCCGCTGTCCCCGATATTTATCAAGCTACTATCACTCGAGCCGCCTCTTTCGTCAATAACGACTGCGCTGCTGTTAGTGGAAGTCCTGCTGCTGACGACAGAGGCACCGGTCACCGTATCTCGCGGTCGCGACGAGCCGCGAGGAGACGACTTCAATCGCGGAGTTAAAGCCCCGTCATGAGGCCCGTTAGACCTAATTGCGTCTGGTAAAGGAATTAAGGCTGCATGGAATAAGCTGAAGGCGCTTCAACATGTCAAGAACACCATGGTCGTTGGAAATTTGTGCAGGAAAAGTGATACTGAAAGCCTGAGCAGAGCAGTGATACGGACAATAACTGTTCCGTGTCGCATGAACAAGGTGCCTCTCTGTTTGCGGCTTGTAGCAGGATATTGGCATGCTACTATGCAGCGTATAAACAGTTGGTGCAGCTTTTCTTATCTTTCCCCTACACAACAAGTTGTATCCCATCACTACTTACTCTGGTGTCATTACAAAATGGAAATTTCTCGACATCATGAATGATTAATGTTTGTTTTGCCTTCGAGTGATCTCTGAAAGCTAACCATTGAGAAACAGTGTGACACATCACCATTGATAGAAATCCTTGTATGGTAGCACTAGACGTAATCTCAACTTGAAGTCAAATAACCGTACACATAACTTACAACGAGTACCACTGAAATCTCTTCCCACGCCCCTGACACTCTTCGAAGGGATTGGCCCTGTCCAATCGCATGCAAAAGCGCTCAGCAGCCCGCTGTGAAAGTGGCGGGTCATTTGAATTTGATTTCCAGCGCCTCGGCAGCCCATCCTCTGCCCGCCCCTTCACATCGACTGCCTGGCGCGCCCAGATGACACCAGTAACCAGTTGCCAGTTGCAGGTGCGCCCAGTCAACAACGGTGGTCGCTCCGCCATGGCTACCAGACAGTGGCGGGCAAATGGACCAGGTGGCGAGTCAGGCGGGCGTAACTCGCTCCGCACAAGCCCTTTGCGTTCGCTCTGCGATCTCATTCAATTTCGGCGCGTCGCCGAGTATTCTGTCCTTGAATTCCTGCTGAGACCTCTTCGCCGAGTATCCTTTCCATCTCTCGTCGCGTCCTCACCCTCTCAGACAAACCCAATCCATGTGAAGCAGACAGGACTCACCCCATTGTCACCAAGCACGATATTCTAAAATTCAGTTTCTTTGCGAGGCTACTTCATCGATATCGTCCTAGAGATACAGTAGCGCTTCTTCCTAGTGGCGGGTCCCGCAAGCACTGAGAGCTACCGCGTGCTTCACGTCCGCACCGATCGATACCTCGTAGCGCCGAGCAGGTAGGCGCCATGGGGGAAACGTGTTATCAGGTCGTCGCGGCCTGCGCGTGTCTACTGCTGCTCCTATCCTACGCGTCCGCTAATGCTCCCTCGTCCGAGCCGCCTTCCACCCATGAATCGGCTTCTTCTTCCAGACCAGCCCCTTCTCCCAAACCGGCTGATGCTCCCAAACCTGCTCTCGCTCCCGAACCTGCTCTCGCTCCCAAACCTGCTCTCGCTCCAAAACCGGCTCTCGCTCCCAAGCCTGCGCACGCTCCCAAACCTGCTCTCGCTCCCAAGCCTTCTCTCGCTCCCAAGCCTTCTCTCGCTCCCAAGCCTGCTCTCGCTCCCAAACCTGCTCTCGCTCCCAAGCCCGCTCTCGCTCCCAAACCTGCTCTCGCTCCTAAGCCCTCTGCCTCCGTCAAAGCAGCCGGTTCACCCGAGCCTGCTCTTCCCCCAAAGCCATCTCTCGCTCCGAAGCACGCGCCCTCCCCCAAGACCGCCTCCGCGGCCGCGCCTTCCTCCAAGTCCGCCCCCGCGCCCGCGGAGCCAAAGACCGCGCGGGTGATCGCGGCGGAGGAGGCGAAGCTGGAGGCGGAGCTGACGCCGGAGAACCTGAAGAAGCTGCGCAAGGAAGGCGCGAAGGTGTTGACGGAGGCGAACGTCCAGATGCTGACGGAGACGGATCCGTCAAGTCTGACGGAGGAGGACGGAGACGAGTATTTCCACTTCCACCACGTGGCGCACATGGCGCATCTGGCGCACATGGCGCACCTCGCGCAGCTGCAGAGCATGGAGGCGCACAACCAAGCGCAAGCCCCGGCGCAACCGGTTCCGCAGGTCGCAAAGACTTCGGGGAAGAAGGCTGACGGCGCCGCGGAAACGACGGGCGAGAAGAATGCCGGCGCGCGGAGCGTGGAGACCCCCAACACGGTGATTAAAGCCGCTGGGATTGAGGGCCAGGACGTCCGCGATATTGAGAACGACATCCTCGTTACTGACGACGTGAGAGTCACCGGCAAGGAGATAGGTGTACCCGCTATAACAGCATCCGTCAAGATTCCGAGCTCCGAAGCGGATCTCAGTCCCAAGGGCGTCGTGGCGGCTGCGGATGAAGCGGGCGACATCGAGGCGACAGATGCGAAGGAGACCGATGCGAAGGCGACAGTTGCGAAGGCGACAGTTGTTAAGGGCGACGCGAAGGCTACCGACGCAAAGGCGACAGTTGCGGAGGGCGACGCTAAGGCTACCGACGCAAAGGCGACAGATGCGAAGGGCGATGCGAAGGCGACCAATGCGAAGGGCGACGCGAAGGCGGCAGATGCGAAGGCTAAGGCCGACGGGAACGCTACCGACGCGAATTGTGAGACGAAGGGCGAGGCCAAGGCTACAGCTGCGGACGATGGTATCAAGGCTACAGATGCGAAGGCCGCGAATGGCGCCGATGAGAGCGGGGCGTCGAAACTGGCGGGCGTGAAATCGATGACCAGCGGTGGTGCCGACGCTGTTGCCGATGATGATATCGATGCTGATGCCGATGTTGATGCCGATGCTGATGCCGACGCTGATACCGGTGCTGCCAACGCTGATGCCGATGCTGCCGACGCTGCCGATGCTGATACCGGTGCTGATCCTGATGCTGATGCCGGCGCAGCTGACGCGGATTACCCTGACGCCGCCGGCAGCGGCGGCGCCTCATCGGGCAGTAAGTACGTCAAGACTGCAATTGGTGGCGCCAAAACAGAGGTCGACAGTAGCGCGTACGAGGAGGAGAGCTGTCCCGCGGCACCGCTGGATCAGTGCGACTTCTACTTCGAGGGGCACCCCGAGGACGTCCCCGTGTTCCGCCTCGATAACGTCACACCCGATACCGCTATAAGCCCGCCGCTCGTGTCGAGCCGCATTCAGCAGATAATCGAGGTGGATCGCAGCGGCGCGGCGCAGTTCCTGTGCGCCATGGACGGCGTGCGCGGCGACGACAACCAGTTCTACCTCACCAAGCAGCAATCCACGCTGCACGTCCGCACCTTCCAAACGGTAAGCCCACGTAATCTGATTGCTCCCTCGTTACAGGCAATTTCCGAGAGTTCTTACGGCATTCTTACGAAATGTAGGCTCGTTTCGGAGCGGTGAGTCATGCGGGTGCTCTCAGCGTGCCGAGAAGGCGAAAACGACTACGAGCAAGCACCAGACCTCAGGGTTGCTATCGTTGCTCACCCCCCCACGTCCCCGTCTTCCCCTCCCCGCCCGCCCGCAGCTGTCCTCGCCGCGCGACAAGTTCGAGTCGCGGTGCGTGAAGCTGTGGATCGTGAACGCGCAGATTCCGGCGCCCAACGGCTCGGTGGTCAACACGGCGCCGGGCGACGAGCTGCAAAAAGACTACCCCGACGCGCGCCGTTGCGTCGTCTTTAAAACCGGCCCCGTCGCGCCGCAGTCCGTGTCGTGCGGCCGCCAGCCCGTCTTCGCGCAAGCCGTCGGCTCCCCGCCGGGGGACCTCGTCGTGCGCCCGTCTGCGCCTTCCCCGCCTTCCGCGCCGGGTGCGCCCCGCGCGCCGGGTTCTCCGCCTTCTTCCCCCGACAGCCCGCCAGGGGAAGACTCTCCGCCCTCCTCCCCGCCCTCTACCAAGACGAGTACCGACAGCCCGCCCTCCCGCTCCCCCTCGTCCCCCCCTTCCCCCGACTCCCCCTCCTCCCCCGGAACCCCCGACCGTCCCCCCTTGACGAAGATTCAGACCTTGCAGCCGCCTTCCCCGCCCAAGCCCTCCCCTTCCCCGCGTGCTCCCGGTTCCCCCCCTGGCGTGCCTTCCACCGACCTCCCGCCCACGCCCCCGCACGCGCAGGTACTCATTCCCCCCCTGGCAACCACCAAGACCCAGTCGCCCCCGCCCCGCACGTCCTCCCCGCCCCCGCCCACACCTTCCCCCGACTCCCCCTCCGGGCCAGTCACCCCCCAGTCCACCCCCAACACCCCCGACGACACTCCCCCCGAATCTCCCCCCGAATCTCCCCCCGAGTCTCCCCCTGAGGATTCCCCCGAGGCTCCCCCCGCGCCCATTCCCCCTGCGGAGTTCCCCAAGCCCACAGGGCCGTGTAAGATGATGTGCCCAGCCAACCCCCTGTCTCTCTGCGACTTCTACTTCGAGCAGCATCAGACCGCCGTGCCCCTCTTCCACCTCAACGGCACTGTTCCCGACTCGGCCATCAGCCCTGCACTAAAGACAAACAAGCTGCCGCCCGGGAAGTACGTCGAGGTGGATTCTGTGGACCACAACCGGCTGCAGATTTTGTCCTGTGTGGATTACACGTCGGCGCCGGCGAGCTACAGGGAGATGTTTTACGTGACGGGGCAGATCGGGCGGCTGCACCGGCGGGCCACGGATGGCGAGAGCATGCTGGGGTTCTATGACGGGGCATGCGTGCGCGTGAAGCTGCAGTCGCTGCAGCTGGCTTATAACGAGACGAATGTGATTAATCTGAATCCTGGAGATGGGAACAAGGAGTTTCCGGAGTCGAGGCGATGCATCGTGTTCAAAACGGCCGTGTGAGGAGCAAGGGGAGGGAGGATGGTCTGCGGAGGAAAGGAGACTCTCTCTCTCTTTAGGTCTCCAGCGGATGATGGTCCGCGCTAACCAGAAGGCAAGCGCAGCGCTTGCTTTGATCATAGGCTTGTTTTATTCTTACCGTAGGATGGGTCAGGACTCTGATGAGTGTAGGTGCTAGGTGCAGAGGATGTGTAGTTCAAACATGGGTGCTGCCAAGTTTACCTCTGATGCATGCGCGCAAACTGACTCTTGTGATGCTACCAGTGTTTCTTGCTTCCAAGTGCAGGTCTCGGACATGCCATGCCAAGCCTAGAGTAAATGCAGGCCCCTGTGTTTTCTGGTGCACCTTATGGTCCTGGCTAGCAAGTACGGCACAAAATGTTACTGGACATACCGGTATAAGTTAGCAAAAAACAGCATGCAAATGCAAGTGCCTGTCTGCTACAGTATCATGCCGCTTGGCATATCATGTGACTGCCTGCACCCGTTGTGGACATTAGCAAATTAACAAGGCACATCATGGTAAAAGAATGTTGTTACGGTACCGTAACTGGACAACTCAAGTTAAAATCCAGTACCTCGCCACCTTTCACTCGCCACCTCCCAGGCATGCCTTCACTGCAGTGTGCCGCTGGCAGTGGCGCCAGGAGCAGCCGGGACATGCATCATTCTCCCACTGGGAGGGCGTGTTAGCCAGTCTACCGCAGGCGAGTGCGCAGTGCAGCAGTGCGGGCACAGCAGACACGGCATTCACCAGCGCCTTGCTGTGGCCATTCAATAACAGATCGCGCCTTGTCTTGTGCTGTGCATTCATCTGCTGTTGCCAGTGTCGCTGGGAGCAGCAGGGTTGGGCACGAGGCGGCCACTGGGGGTGTGCAGCAGCCTGCCACTGGGGGAAGGCAGCAGTCTCCCGCTAGGTGTGTGCAGCAGTGTAGGGGTAGCAGCAGCAGCAGCCAGGGCAGTCACCAGTGCCTTGCTGTGGCATGCACCCCCTCCCACACGCCCCCCACCGCTCACCACCGGCATGAACTCCTCTAGAATCGTTCCAAACTCCTCATCCACGAATGAATTCTTGCGCCGCCGCGGCGCCCCCTTGCTCTTCTCCCCAGCCCCTCCCGAACCTCCTCCCCCTGCTCCCCCCGCTGCTGCTCCCCCTGCTGCGCCTCCTGCCCTTTTTCCTGCTGTTCCCAGCGGCCCTCCTGCTACTGCTGCGCGCCCGGGTCCCCTATCGGCGCGCAGCTGGGGCATGTCTGCCAGCATGTCGGGTGACCGCAGCAACACCTCCGATTGCATTGACGCTGATCGCACATACTCGCCCACACTCTCTCCTGCCTTATCTTCTCCACCTGCTTCGCCCCTTCCCCCTCGTCCCCCACTCCCATCTCTTCTCCCCTTTCCTCCCTTGCCCCCGCCCGCCCTGCTACCGCGCTGCATATCACCAGCAGCCATGCCCGCATCTCCATCTCCCTTTCCCCCAGCCTCTCCTCTCGCCTGCGTCTCTGCTTTTCCCCGCCTACCCTTGCGCCTGCCTTCCACACTCCCCCTCGCCTGCCCCTTCCCTGCTTCCCCCCCCTCACCTGCCCCTCTGCCTTCCCCCTCTCCATTCGCCACCCCCAACCGCCCATCCCTTTCCGCCTGTGGCTGCTTCCCCCCCTCTTCTCCCTTCATCCCTCCCTCCTCTTCTTCCTCCTCCTCGTCCCCCCTCCCCTCCTCCTCCTCCTCCTCCTCCTCCTCCTCCTCCTCCTCCTCCTCCTCCTCCTCCTCCTCCTCCTCCTCCTCCTCCTCCTCCTCCTCCTCCTCCTCCCTTCTCTCTTCCCACACCTCTCCCACACTCCAACCCTCCCTCCTGGCTCTCACAATCGGTCCCCCCTCCTCCTCCGCGGATACACTGCGCCCCACTGGCCTCCCTCCCCTCACCGCCCTCCTCCCCCCACTCTCCGCCACGTTCTCCCAGTGAAGATGCGCCAGCAGCGCAGCTGAGACCTCCCCCCGCCCCCTCACTTGCCCCGCCACCCCCCTCTCTCCTGCCCGCGCCCGCCCTCGTTGCCCCGCCTCTCTCCCCGTGCCACCCGCGCCAGTGCCGCCCGCCAGGAAGGGAGCGGAGTGAGGGAGTTCCCCATCCGCGCTGAACCCGCCGCTGCCGCAGGCGGCACCAGCAATCTCGCGGGAGTCGCGCGCATGTGCTTGCGCCTGGGCGCGCCCACGCGTCTGCTCTCTTCTCCCGTTTCCCCCCCGCCCATGCTTTCCGCGCCCACGCCCCCCTTCTGCATCCCACGCATCGATGCCGCCCTTACCTTTCCCTTCGGCCTCAGGTGACGACACAGGGGACACCTTGTAGCCAATCACATCCGAGATGTCAATCTTTGGTGACGTCAGCATCATTGATCCGTCGCTGCTATCACCATCCGAGATTCCAAACAACATTCCGCTCGTTACTTGGTAACCCGCTCGACGCTGCTCCCCAATGCCTGTTCGTATCTCCGCCCGGCTTCCCCCCCCTCCCTCCTCCACGGGGAGCGCGCTTATGGATGCGCGCCTGCCGTGCCCGTGCGCTTGCGCCAGACGCGACGTAACGCGGGGGGGAAGCCCGCGCGCGTGACGCTGGCCGGGCCGAGCGCGGGGAGGGGAAAGGCAAGGGGAGAGCGGGGGTGAGGGGGAGGATGAGGGGCTGTGGGGGAGGCTTCTGGCGCCGCAACCCGCGGAGCCCTGGAGGGCGCTTTCCGCGGCTACAGCCGCAACGACTGCGTTGGCGTAGACAGCTCCGTCCTGCCGCGTGTCGTTTTCCGGGCTCTGAGACTCCGCCAGCGCCCCTTCTCCCGCCGATGCGCGCGTCCTCCGCGGTCGGCTTCCCTTGTGCTTTCCGGCAGCGCCAGCGCCGTGAGTCGCGGCGGTAAGTACGGCATCCTGCCACTCCGCGTGTTCAGTTCCCCCGCGCGTACCGCCGTCGACGAGAGAGGCGGACTTGGAGCGCGAATGGCCTCCGCGAGCCTTGCGCGGCTGCCGCGGTGCCTGGCCCTGCGCACAGACAGATGCGCGGAGGCGGGGATGGGGAAGGAGGAAAGGGGTGGATGTGAGTGCGCCAGGGGAACATGATGAAGACGCAAACGCCAACACGAAAATCTCTCGCCCGTTTCGCCTACATTGTTCGCCGAGCTCGCTTCCAGCACTCCCTCTCTTACCCTAGTCTGCACGCGATTCGCCACGTCAGCAAACACGTCTTCGACGCTCGCTAGCTCCGCGGAGTGCAGCACGTACATCTCGCCGAGCCGCAGCACCTCTTCCGCTGGCAGGTTCCACCGCCGCCCGCGATTCGCGCCGTGATTCTCGCCAGGATTCCCGGGCAGGTCAGGCTGCGACACGAGATACCCCGGGTGCTGCGCCAGCAGCTGCGCGACGGTGATTGGCTCGCGGAAGCTCTCCGCGCGGCCGTCCGGCATTACCACCCACACCTCGCGCGACCCCGCTGCGCCCATGGCGGGGGAGTGGGGGAAAGCGGGGAGTGGAACAGGGAGGTACGCGGAGAGCGAGCGACGTGCGGAAGTAGCGGTACGCGACGTGACGATTCGAAATGACTCCCGAAGCAGCACTGGGAAGTACTGCGACAATGACGGGCCTAGAATGGAGCTACTGGTGCGTGTAGCCGTGAAGTTTCGCGCAGCAATTCTGGTGTCGTCGCTGCTGCTCCAGCGTTTTCAAGAGAGAGGTTTGATTGGACGTACTTGGGTGAGCCTTTCTCTGTATCACAACATGTAAATTGCGGGGTCCTGCTACGACGTCTTACTGCGCTAGTGGTGGTTAGACTGCCGGTTCAAGCAGGGTTGTCAGTTCTAGACAGCCGCCATGAAAAGAGATAAATTTGGTCCACAACGCGAATGGGGGAGGCGGGGGGAAGAGGGAGGGAGGGGGAAGCAGGGTGGCCAGCTGGATGGGGGGAGGGGGCGAGTGAAGTGTACGGAGTAACGGGGGCCGCAAGTGTGCGCGCGGACGAGGCCAATTTCGTTTCAGTTCGTCGCAAGCGGAGACGGAGGTGGCTGGATAGAGTTCGTTGAGAAATGGCGACGCGAGTCGCGGTTGAGGTAGGCGCGATGCCACGAGGCGAGTGGGATTGTTGCGGGCGACGCACATAACTGGGTGTGGTAGTTTGTGGAACTGATCTGGGCTGCGTCGATCTGGGCTGGCAAAGCTTACAGTGAAATTTCCTGATTTGTCAAGCCTGCTCCTTACTTTACAGTTCGTTTACGCTACACCTCAACAGCTTTCTGACACAGATTAGCCACGGGTCTCGCTAAATCCCGAACGTGATGACAAGGTTCGCTGAGCTACTATTGGTCAATCATGCACGAAGCTGTGAGTCTCGCTCGGTAATAATTTCACAAACCAGGGACTGTTCAGCGAAGGTGTTGCCTGGGAGTGCTTTTCACACGGCGAATCTGCCCGTAAATCTTACGGGCCAGCGGGAACGACCAGAGGGTGGTCAACTGAGAAACTGCTGACCGCTGATGCATCGGAACAGTAAACGCTCTAACAGTCATTCTGGATAGACTCAATCGTTACATGTCCCGGTACCAGACAGTGAGATCAATTGTTCAAGTATGAAACAATGCGAGCATACAAAGGCTAACTCAAAATAGCAAGCATTGCACAAGATCGACAGATAGTGTCTGGGGCCACGTTCACCATCCACAGGAAAAACAATAGAACGATCTGCTCTAGAAAAAAACCCTGATTGATGTTCTTTCCTGCATTTGATCCATCAGTTACTCAAAGAATGATATGGTATCAGTTTTGTATCAGCAATACAGCAAGAAAGAAAGCATAAGTGCTCTCAAATTCAGATATCGCTTCTCAATATCGCGGTCAACTGGAGGAATGAAGGCATATTCCACAGGTCCGCTTTTTCCATTTACCCTAGATTCCTTTCAACGCGACTAGCGCCTCTCTCGCAGCACAGGCCATGGCGTCTCAAGATTCCGAGTGTCGTGTCGTGGCGATATCAGCAGGCGCCAGTCACACCGTCGCCCTGCTCTGTGCGTGTTTCGTGGCATACCGTAGTCGTTCAATCGTTGTTACACGAGTTGATGCGTTTTATCCGATGTGTTGGTATGTTGGATAAATTTGATTCGCGAATCTTCACCTCTACATGCTTATCTTCTGCACCGCTGATTTCCGCTTTCCGGTTGCGTTCCGAGCCTTTCCGCATCGCTGTAACCCGATAACCCTAGAATTCAGCTTTCCGTGCCGACTTTTGCCTCGACTGCAAAGCCGTCGGCCATTCGCGCCCATAACCGCGCGCGTTCCTCCTTTCCCCCGTGCGCGCGTTCCTCCTTTCCCCCGTGCGCGCGTTCCTCCTTTCCCCCGTGCGCGCGTTCCTCCTTTCCCCCGTGCGCGCGTTCCTCCTTTCCCCCGTGCGCGCGTTCCTCCTTTCCCCCGTGCGCGCGTTCCTCCTTCCCGGTCCTCTTTCCCCCGTGCGCGCGTTCCTCCTTTCCCCCGTGCGCGCGTTCCTCCTTTCCCCCGTGCGCGCGTTCCTCCTTTCCCCCGTGCGCGCGTTCCTCCTTTCCCCCGTGCGCGCGTTCCTCCTTTCCCCCGTGCGCGCGTTCCTCCTTTCCCCCGTGCGCGCGTTCCTCCTTTCCCCCGTGCGCGCGTTCCTCCTTTCCCCCGTGCGCGCGTTCCTCCTTTCCCCCGTGCGCGCGTTCCTCCTTTCCCCCGTGCGCGCGTTCCTCCTTTCCCCCGTGCGCGCGTTCCTCCTTTCCCCCGTGCGCGCGTTCCTCCTTTCCCCCGTGCGCGCGTTCCTCCTTTCCCCCGTGCGCGCGTTCCTCCTTTCCCCCGTGCGCGCGTTCCTTCTTTCTCCGTGTGCGCGTGCAGCGGACGACCGAGTGTGCGCGTGGGGGCGCGGGGAGGATGGGCAGCTAGGACTGGGCAGCGCGGAGGAGCAGCTGGAGCCCACCGAGGTCGCTGCGCTGGCGGGGAAGCGCGTGTCGGCGCTCGCGTGCGGAGCGGACCACACGACGGCGTACTCGGAGGACTCGCAGACGCTCTGGTCCTGGGGGTGGTGAGTTAATCTGCGGGTCGGCGAATCGGCGGGTCGGCGTGGTGGTTAGTTCATAGAGGGGGGGGCGGTGCAGCTGATAACGGAGGGTGGTGTGTCAATAGGCGGGGACGGTTTCTCAACGCCCATTCCCCCTTCCACTCATTACTCTACGCCCCCGTCCGCTAATCTCCCGCGTCCCCTTGCGCCCATCCCCGCCCGCCGCGTCCCCCCGCCACGCGCAGGGGCGACTTTGGGCGGCTGGGCCACGGGCATTCGAGCGACGTGTTCCTGCCGCACGCCGTGGCGTCGCTGTGCGGGCGGCCCATCAAGCACATCGCGTGTGGCGACTGCCACTGCATTGCGGTTGACGCTAATGGCACCGCCTTCAGGTGATTGGGCGGACAGGTGGTAGACGGTCAGGTGCAGGTGGCGGGGCGCGCTGTTGCACTGGGAGGCGTCAAGGCCCTTCGGTGGCTCCTGGGGCGAGCATGGCCCTGCTGACTCAGAGTTAGTTGGTGCACAGAGTGACAGACATGCTTAAGCTCATTACAGCCCGTCGTCACTGCATTCGGCTTCCTCCTCCTCTCTCCTCTTCTCCGCCCCCTCACCCCCCACCCCTCCCGGTCCCCCCTCGCATCACCAGTTGGGGGCGCAATCAGAACGGGCAGTTGGGCCTGGGCACGCTGGACGATGCGCTCGTGCCCACGCAGATCACGGCTCTCGCTGTAAGGCCCTCCCACCGCTCGCTGTAAGGCCCCCCCATAATCGCTCGCTGTAAGGCCCTCGAATTCCTCGTGGTAAAATCCTCTTTGAGCCGACTCACAAGTCACCTCGCTGGGCCTGGGCTCGCTGGACGACACACTCGTGCCCACGCAGATCACCGCCCTCGCTGTAAGCTGCTTTCACTCCCACGCCCCCTCGTTCGTATGCGCCTTGTAGTAAGCATTTGGAAGAGTGATGTCCGCGTTCCCAAGTTTGTGCGAGCCACTCACAGCACAGCACAGCGCGCTCATGATGATTCAACCAACCACGGCCCGCTCCTTCCCCTCACGCACGCCGCCTGCGTCTTACCGCTCCACTCAGATTGTCGTCCTCTTGCCCTCCCATTCCAACCTGCGTTCCCCTGCCATCCCCTACCTCTGCCCTCCCCTCCACCCACTCACCCCTCCATTACCACCAACCCATCCATCGCCTCACCTTCCGTCCCCATCCCCACCCTCCCCACCTTCCCCTTCCCATCCACCCCCTCTCCCTCTCCCCCACTCTCCCCCCCGCCTCCCCCACTGCAGGGCGTGCCGCTGAGGATGGTGGCAGCGGGGGCGGAGCATACAGCAGCGGCGGCGGAGGATGGGCGGCTATACGGGTGGGGGTGGGGGCGCTACCCCTGCCCTCCCCTCCACTAACCCTCCTCCACCCGCCCCACCTCCTTCCCCCCTTCACGCCTTTCCCTCTCCCCCACACCACACCTTTCCCCCCCTCTGTGTTGCAGGGAGTGCCGCTGAGGATGGTGGCAGCGGGGGCGGAGCACACAGCAGCGGCGGCGGAGGACGGGCGGCTGTACGGGTGGGGGTGGGGGCGCTACGGCAACCTGGGGCTGGGGGACCGCCTTGATAGGAAGCTGCCCGAGCAGGTCACAGCCATTGAGGTGCGTGGGGGGGAAGGAGCGGAGTGGTAGCATGTAGGGTCATGGGCAACAAGATGGGAGGATAGGTGGGTGCGACCAGGGTCACCTCCATCCAGGTGAGATTTGAGTCGGTTACAGTCCTCCCCTCCCTCATCCTCGCCCCTCTGCCCTCCCATGCATCGCCCCTCTGCCCTCCCATGCATCGCCTCTCCCCTCTCCACTGCCCCTCCTCCCTGCGTCTCCCTTGCTGGCAGTCAGAGCGCATAGCACAGGTGGCGTGTGGGTGGCGGCACACGATAGCAGTGAACGGCGAGGGGCGGCTGTTCACGTTTGGGTGGAGCAAGTACGGGCAGCTGGGGCATGGCGACTTCCAGGACCACCTCACTCCCTCTCCTGTGCCTGCCATGCAGGACAAGCGGATTGTGCAGGTGAGGGCACAGCCGTGCATCGTGCAGGTGAGAGGATTTGTGAGTTGTGCTGCTGCAGGGAGGTCGCTCTCGTCCTCCCTTTCCCCCCCATTCGAAAGCCGTTTCAATTGTGCACTTGACACATCAGCCACCTGCTGACCGTCTCACTGCCCTCCGCTCCCCCGTCCCCCCTCCTCCCTACCTTGAGTGCGAGCAGGTGTCAGGAGGGTGGCGGCACTCCGTTGCTCTGGATGCAGATGGCGTGGTGTACGCTTGGGGTTGGAACAGAGTGAGTGGGTGGGGTGGAACACAGAGGGGGTGAAAGTGAGCGAGAGGGAGTGAGAGGGAGAATGGGGTGAGAGACAGTGAGGGAGTGAGAGGGAGTGAGCGGGAGAAGGGAGTGCTTGATGCTGGTCTGGTCCCCTGACCTTCCACATAACCAGTGCTCTTTCCTTATACTTTCTCCCATCCCTTCTTATACCACTCTCACCAGACCCCTCTTCACCTCTCTTGTCCTCTCTGCACTCCCGTCTCCCTGCCACACTGCCTGCTCGTCCCTGCCGCACCTCTTGCATCGCCCGCCCATCAGTTCGGGCAGGTGGGAGTGGGCAACTCGGAGGACCAGTGCTCGCCGCAGCGGATAGAAAGCATTTCCGAGGTCAGCTGTGTGTCTGCTGTGTACGGACGGAGGGGGGAAAGGGGGGGATCGATGGGAAGGGGAAGGGATGGAAAAGGGGAGGAGTGTTCAGAGTGAATGGGTTTCATGGCAGTCATGGTTCTGTGCTCCCCTTGCTGCACTGCTCCCCAACTCCCCACATCCACACGTTCTCCCCTTCCCTGCCCGCCTCGCACCTCCCTCTCTTTGCCTCTGTGCCCCTCCTCTCTCTCGTTTCCTCCCTCTGCTCCATTCCTCCTCCCCTCCCTCTCCTTCCCCAAACCCTGTGACGGCAGCGGGTGGTGGCGGTGGCGTGTGGGTGGCGGCACACGGTGGTGTTGAGTGAGGGCGGCAACGTGTTCTCCTGGGGTCGAGCCACTAGCGGCCAGCTGGGCCATGGTGACACCACCGACAGGTGGGGCCCTTTTTGTGTGTTGGTCCTTCTAGCATGGTGCCATCACGGACGGGTGAGGCTTGTGACGGTGTGACCCATGGGGTATGAGGTGGGGCCCTTGCTGTGTGTTGAGGACAGGTGGGAGTGTGGGAGTGTGGGAGTGCTGCGGTGTGCTGAGATGCTCGAGAGGCCGTGTGGCTTGGCACTATTATGAACAGGCTAGCGTTGTGGCCCATGGGGTATCATCACAGGCCCGGCCGATCCCGTCTGTGCGTGTGCTGTGTTCCATGCCCCATGTGTGTGCACCATGCGCCAGCCCTGCGTGCAGGACTGCGCTGCAGAATGGACAAGCCTTTTGGTGGCTGCCGCTCATGCCTGCCTGCACTCTCTCCCCCCGCCCACTTTCCAGGAACCTGCCCAAGCGAGTGGAGGCAATAAGCGCGGACGGTGACAGGTGTCGCCACATCAGCGGGCCGGGCGGCAAGAAGGACGTGGCAGCAGCAGCGCATGCGGAGGTTCCGGATGCCGCGGCCACGTGGGTGTCTCCTGCCGAGCGCTATGCCGTCGTGCCGGGGGAGAAGGTGCGTGGGTGAATGGAGGGAAGAGGGAAGAGGGTGGGGGTTGACTTTTGAGTCGACTAACAGTCTACCACGTGATGGGGGCAGACTGCCACGTGGGTGTCTCCTGCCGAGCGCTACGCTGTCGTGCCGCGGGAGAAGGTGGGTGGGGAGGAGTGGGGGAAAGAGGATGGACTGTAGGGTGGAAGGAGTTGTGGGAAGAGAGGAGAAACTTGAACCACAGTCGTGTGAGTGCTCACTCAGGTCTCTCATGCTGAGTGCTCACTCAGGTCTCTCATGGTGAGTGCTCACTCAGGTCTCTCATGCTGAGTGCTCACTCAGGTCTCTCATGCTGAGTGCGGGGTTTGGAATGCAGTGCTGCCAGTACGCTTCCCTTGAGTTGACTGCCTTGCATGCATTCCGCGGTGGCTTGCCCTGTCAACACCTGCCAACCCGCACTTCCAGTTACCATCCAATGCTCTAGCAGCTTCCATTGCCACTACCTGCTCTTATGCTCCTCCTGACTGATGCACATGCGGTGCTGTGCGGTGCTGTGCGGTGCTGCCCTCATTGCATGCAGGCGGGAGAGGACGATGCGAGTGTGCCGGACGCGGATGCCAAGCGACTCAAGTCGTGAAAAGTGGAAAGCTGTTGTCACCCAGCTACCAAATCTTTTTCCCAACGCGCCACCCCTATTCCTAGTTGTTTCTCTCCATTTGAATTGAGTAGGTCTGCACGTCACATGTGTTGTGAAGGGTCTGCATTGACTCCTGGGAGTCCAGGGCTCCAAGGCGACAGGCCACAGAGACTACACTGAGCAGAAAACTTAGGCTGACAACATAAACATATAATCTTAGCTGACACACCCGACAAAGAGTTTGAACAACCTTGCAAGTGCAAAGAAACCTCCACACCAGAGGGTTGCCGAGTAATGGAGTACATCCACTCCCCGTCCACACCACACCATAGAAGGTGACTGAGAGTCCGTCCCCATCCACGTGTAGAGTAGTGGAGTACATCTGCTGGCCATCCATCCACGCCATAGAAGGCGACTGAGAGGTGGTCTCCGTAACCATGCAGTTTGCAGAAGCCCTGGCGGTGCGCTCATTTTCTCAAAGTGCTGGAGTACATTTGCTGGCCGTCCACACCATAGAAGGCCACTGAGAGTGTGTCCCTGTCCACTTGCAGTGCGCTGAAGCCCTGCCCGGGGAAGTAGAAACGCAGACCAGGAGCCTGTGCAGGGGCGTCGCTGCGCCATGCTTTGGAACCACCTCCCACAGTGAAATAGTGCACTGGACTGGGGTGGGCGGAGAGAAGGGAGGGGGTCGAAGAGAGAGATTAGGTGCAAGGCAAGGGGAGAGGGGTGAATGGTGAGGTGAGTGGTGCGAATGCGAGAAGGCAAAAAGAAAGCAGTGAGGATTTTCCGTGGTGCATGAGCCATGGTGGAACGCCTGAGAAGCGCGCAAGCATGAACAAGTACCTGTCACCCTTCTTCACATGCTGCATGTTGTGGTCGTGGCCATTGAGATATGCGTCCACTCCGTAGCGCTGGTGGGGAGTGGTGGGGGAAGGGCGAATGGGAGACGAGAGTGTTAGAGCACAGCACATGGAGGTGTGAGGGCAAACGCAGATGTGCGACGGGTGCATCCTCCCGCACCCAACCCCTTGAGTTATCACTGCAATGCATCTTAGCACCATCCACACGACCACATCCCCCTATCTCGCCTACAGCATGACCGACACCCCACACCCTCCACTCTCTCCTCCCCGCCCCCTCTACTTCCCACTTTAACCTTTCCTCTCAACTCGAGCAGCGGCTTGACGCGGTGGATCATCTCCTGCTGGTCGCCGTGGTGCCCGTAGCTGAACACCGGGTGGTGCCCCACCACCACCTTCAGAAGCACTGACAGCCTTCCCTCTTACCTGCAACAGCACTGCACTTCCCCTCTCCCCCCCCTCACCTCCAGCAATGGCTTGACGCGGTGGATCATCTCCTGCTGGTCGCCGTGGTGCCCGTAGCTGAACACCGGGTGGTGCCCCACCACCACCTTCAGAAGCACTGACAGCCTTCCCTCTTACCTGCAACAGCACTGCACTTCCCCTCTCCCCCCCCTCACCTCCAGCAATGGCTTGACGCGGTGGATCATCTCCTGCTGGTCGCCGTGGTGCCCGTAGCTGAACACCGGGTGGTGCCCCACCACCACCTTCCACCGCGCCCTCGAGTTGCCCAACCACCCCTCCAGCTCCTGCAGCGCGTTTGATAAGGGAAAGAGGGGAATGCAGGGGAGGGAGGGAGGGGGAGGAGAAGAGGGGCAAAGGTCATCATGCAAGCGGCAGAAATTGGCATGGAGAGTTTAGGGGGGGCAGGAAGGAAGGAGTTGCAATGGTATCAAGAGCCTTGGGGAAGCTGTGTGATGGTAACATGCGCAAGGCAATGGGTCAGGAGCCAGCGCAGCAGCAGGTGTCTTCCCTCCCCTCTCCTGCAGCTGCCTTCTTTTGAGACGCCTCAAGAATGCGCTCACCTGCAGCTGAGCGGCCTCCTGCTGCGTCCAGTTAGCCGTGTTGAGTCCGCGCCAGTCCACGCGCCGCCCCTTCTTGTGGCGGTATGCGGGGACGAGGGGCGTGGTGTCGTACAGGAACAGGTCAACCAGGTCAACGCAGTCAACACTGGCGGAGGGGCAGAGCGGCAGCGAGAGCGCCATGCTGCGGCGGCACACCCAGCGCGGGTCCCTGTTGGCGAGCGCTGGGTGCAGCTGCGCCAGGGCGTTGCCGTAGTAGTCGTGGTTGCCCAGAACTGGTGGAGAGGGTGTGCGGGCGGAAAAGGGGGAGGGGTAGTGTGATGTGACAGGTGGTGAACTGCGATGAAGTGAGGTACATATGCTGGTGTGAGCTCTAACACAAGCATGCGTTACGGAATTGCTCGCACACGGGAAAATGCTGTATTGCACCAAGCTCTCATGCACGCTACTCCTGTTCATGCGCATACAAATGCCGGCGCACAAACAGTGCAAGAGGAAGTGCACAGTGCGACAAACGAGTGAGAGTGGGGGAAGGAACGATCAAGAAAGGGAGGGTGAGAAAGATAGGGTGGCATACCTGCATACCAGGGGACCTGCAGGGTGCGGTGCGTGTAGATGTTGGTGAAGGAGCGCGCGAACTCGTCATCGTTCACGTCTGTCAGCCCTTCGTCGTAGAAGTTGTCCCCCACCGACACCACGAACTGCGGGACCATTTGCTGCCCCACTGCACCCATCTGCACCGCACAGGCGTACAAGGAAAGATGGGTGCATTGCATTGCAAAGGAAGGGTGTGTGGTTGGCGCGTGATCACAGCGCAAGGGACGATGAGCCAGGGTGTGCGTCGCACCTGCTGTGCGATGAGCGACTGGTTGAACGTGCCGTTGCGACCCCAGTCGCCGAACGCGAAGAAGCGAACAGCAGCGCTGCTGGCGTTGACTGCATTGTCAGCACGTGTCTCCAAGGCAGTTCGGCGCGGCACGAGGACGCAGAGCGCGGCGAGCAGAGCGACGCACCCGACGACAGCGGCGATCCTTGCAGCTGCAGCGATGCGACGTGCACCCGGGGAATGCGGCGTTGAAGGGCTTACATCGCCGGGCGACACGTGTCTTGCGGGAGCAGAATCCTGGGGAGAGGTGACGGTGATGCATCGAGGTGAAGAGGAGGGAATGCAGGGGATATTGGGAGGAATGCGGAAGCATATCAGCGCAAGATGCAAGATTTATGAACTGTAACGCGCGGAGTCCCTGCACATCACCGCGCATCGCCCTTCGCTTTGCGCCGTACCTCGCGCGGCAGCAACGGCGTGTTGACGTGGACCATCACATCGCTCGCCGCCTCCGCTCCTCCCGCCATGCCTGGCGCTGCGAACTCCCCCTCGCGTGGGACCGTCAGGGTCAATGTCGCTGGCAACGCGCCGCTACTCGCGAGAAAAAGGCGAGCGAATTTGCAATGCTGCTTTGAGAATGGCGAGCAGCGAGGAGATATGGAGGATGGTGGTGGTGGTCCGTCAGGCAGCGACGGTGGGCAGGCGCACGCGCTCGGGCCTGGCCTCGAGATGTGCTACGCGGGAATGATGCCGTGCTGCCTTGGGCTCGGAAGCACCTTCACTGGAACAACCAAGCAGCAAAATTGCCTCGGGAACTGGGCTGCCTTGGGAACAAGTTTGCCCTGGGAACTGCTTTGCCTTGAGAACTGTCTGCCTTGGAAACTGGCCCACACTAGACCCAAGGGAATATACCTTCAATAACTACACTCCACGAACGCGTTGCCTATTGCGCAAGAGTTTTTCACATAGGAGAAATCGCTTGTTAGCAATTTACACCGATTACACACGGAGTGTGCACTCAGATTGCTTCAGCTTTCTGGGTCCGCGAACCTAGTAACGAGGAAGTGCCGTTTCGTCTTCTAACCGCCATCTGTTACGCCTGGAATGGTCACAAGAAGCCAGAACGAGACGTTTCGTCTCCTCGCTTTCCCTAACGACATCGGCCGCGCGTTCAACGAGCGGATGAAGAAGCTTTTGGGGAGCGAGCGAGCGCAGAGCCAGCAGCGGAACCGAGCGGTCACGCTTGTTGCGCGAACTCCTCACGCAGAGGTGAAGCTAAACAGCTCCATTCACGTGGCTCCACCGCACATGATCGGGTTAGTGGTAGCGGTGCTTGGTGTAGCAGGCACGATGCAGTTGTACTCCTCGGGCGCTTGGCGCTCCATTCAAGTTGCGCGCAACGACTCGAGGCTCTGCTGATTCCAGCAGGAGATGGTTAACCGCCGCAGCTCTGCAGGAGGATACCTCCGATTGCGAGCACACGCTCCTGGGAGCAGCAAATAACCACCCTTCACGCACATCCACCCACACTAATACTAGCTGCAGCATCGCCCGCACGTTTTTAGAAGGGTTCAGACCTGCTCAGACCATTGAGAGCTTGTGAGCTGCTATTTGTAACCAGCGCGCATCACCCGCATGGCTCCGCTCACCCGCGCCACCGCGCTGCCTGCACAGCGACCCGCCGCATCACATACGGACAATTCCGCCGCCAACCTCGTGGCGGAGCCCAGCGTCATGCGCACTGTCCCCCGATTCCTTCCGCTCGCAGCCGTCTCCGCGCGCCCCTCCGCCTCCACGCCCGCCAAGCCGGGGGGCCCGTTGCGGCTGGTGCTGCCCGCGGGTATTGGACGAGCAGCGGGCGCCAGCCGGGCACAGGAGCAGGAGGGGGAGCGGCAAGCGGAGCAACCGCGCGAGGAGGCGATCAGGGGAGCATCCCCCGCCAGCAGCGCGCGCCCGCTGCTCTCCGCCAATTTGGGGCCGCATGGCGCGGCTTCCAGGGGAACCAAGGCGCGGGCAAGGGCAGTGGATGTGGATACGGGGGCAGAGAATGCGCGGGGTCGTGAGGGAGCCGGCAAGGAAGGGGAGGCGGACAGCCGTGACGGTAGCGGCGGTGGCGAGGGGGCGATGGAGGGGCGGATGGAGGGGGCGGAGAGGAGGGGAAAGGTGGCAGAGGAGAGGGGAGGCGGCAGCAGCAGCGAGGCGAGTGGAGGGCTGATAGGGGAGCAGGATCGGGGGAGCAGGGGGGGCGAGGAGGGGGAGGAGGACGGGGAGAAGGAGCAGAGGAGGCGGAGTGGCGGAGGGCGGGGGGGAGCAGCGGCGGTGAACAGGGGGGCGTGGACGGCGGAGGAGGACGAGCGGCTGGCGGCGCTGGTGGCGGTGCACGGGGCGAAGAACTGGAGCGCCATCGCTGCTGGCATCCCTGGCCGGCCTGGGAAGAGCTGCCGACTCAGGTACGTCACGCGGTGCAGTGCGGTGCAGTGCGGTAAGTTGGGGTGAGATGCGCTGGGGGCAGTGCACGGGGCGAAGAACTGGAACGCCATCGCTGCTGGCATCCCTGGCCAGCCGGGGAAGAGCTGTATACTCAGGTGCGTCACGCGGTGCAGTGCGGTGATGTGATGTGCTGGGATGAGTCGATGTTGGATGCATCACGCACAACCCCCTCCCTCCCTAACTCCATCTCTCCGTCCCTCCCTCCCTCCTCCCTTTCTCCCTCCTCCATCCCCTGCATCACACCAGGTGGTGCAACCAGCTGGACCCCGCATTGAGGCGAGGCCAGTTCACGGTGGAGGAGGATGCGCGCATCATCACAGCACATGCCATCCACGGCAACAAGTGGGCGCTCATCGCCAAGAACCTTCCCGGACGGTGCGTGCCTCCTGCCCTCAACACCGTTTACTCTGCCACCTGCTGTCTATTCCGCTTCTCTCTCCTCATCTCTCCACAACTCCACATGCATCCCCTCCCTTCCCCCACACAACAACCTCTTATATACTCCTCCTTACTCACACCTATGGAACCCTCCCTTCCCCCGCTTCCCCCTGACGCTCTCCCCCCCCCACAGCACGGACAACGCCATAAAGAACTATTGGAACTCCGCCATGCGCCGCAAGTACCCCCTCCTGCGCGGCCTCTCCGCGTCCCCTCCTGGCCCCGCACACTCCGCCTCCCCCGCCCACCCTGCGCCGGGGCAGCCTGGCGGGCAGCAGCAGGGCGAGGGGGAGAGCGCATACGAGCGAGCAGTGCGGTTTGTGGCGGGCGTGCAGGCGAGGGGCGTGGCGGCGCTGGTGGAGGAGGTGGAGCGCGTGCGGGAGGAGGAGGGCGTGGGGCGCATCCGCAAGATCCTGGAAGGTTCCCCTTTGGGGGATGCGGCGCTGCTGCAGGCCGTGGAGAGGGAGTGGCGCGAGAGGGAGGCGCCGGGGCGAGAGGGGGAGGGTATGGGTGGAGGCGAAGGGGAGGGCGTGGGAGGGGAAGGAGAGGAAGGGAGGGCGGGGGATGGGCAAGTTGATGAGGAGGAGGGGAGGCTGATTGATGGGGAGGTGGGGGTAAGCGAGGGAGACGAGAGGGCGGGCGGGATGGCTGAGGAGAGTGAGGAGTGGGGCGATGGAGAGCAAACGGTGCAGGGATCAGGGGAGCGGGAGAAGTTTGGTGGGGTAGGACGGGTTGGTGATGGGGGGGAAGGGCAAGGAGGCAGGGGGGGGACGGGAGCCAGTGAGGAGGAGTCGGAGGAGGAAGGGGAGGGGATGGAATGGGGCAGGGCGGATGGGCGAGTGATGGCAGGGGGAGAGGTGGCGATGGAAGAGGCGGGAAGGAGAGTGGGACGGGGGGCAAAGCAGACGAGTGCAGACGAGGGTGGGAAGAGCAATGCAAGGCCGCCTGCTGCCAGTGATGGGTGGAGGGACGAGCGAGAGCGGACACAGGGAGTGGGGACTGGTGAGGGCGAGCGGTGCTGGCGTGGGCGCCATGAGAGGGAGGCAGTGCAGCAGACAGGGCATGGGGAGGCGAGGGCAGGCGGTGCAACAGGGGAGTGCAGGACGAGTGAGGCGAGAAGATTGAAAAGGGGAGTGAAGGCGGAATTGGAGGAGGGGGTGGATGGGATGGAAGAGGAGGGCGGGTTGAGTGTGCCGGAGCCTCACACCTCCACGTCATGCCATCTTAATCCGCGCATTCCACAGTGTGACGTGCTGCCTCTTCCCAGCCACACCGCCGCCAGCATCAGCCATGCGACGAGGACGAGCGGTGGCAGTGACAGCAGGCATGCTGGGGACATACCTGTGGGGACCCATTGTGGGGGTGACTTAGTTCCATGCGGTGCGGGTGGGGCTAGCAGCAGGAAACGGCGGTACGATGCCTGCTGTGGTGATCAAGGGGGTCATGATGGCACTCATGCTCCTGTTGCTACTGCTGATACTGCTGGCGGTGCTGCCAGTGGTGGTGACACTCCTGCTGCAGCTGCTGCACCTGCCGCTGCTGGTGCTGGTGGGAGCACGAGCCAGCACGGGACCCTCTCCTGCCACGTTGATCGCCGCCTTCGCTTCCGAGCCTCACCCACTGCTGTGCCTGCACCTGCTGCTGTTTCAACACCGCTGCTGCCTCCCCCCACCCTTCCCACCACCCCTGCTGATGCCACCTGCCCCCTCCCTCCCTCTCACGCCTCTCAAGGCGCCACTCACCACAGCCACACGCCCTCTGCATCTCCATCCTCGCTGCTTATCACCAGCTCCTCCTGCCCACCCTCGCTTCCTCACCCGCCCTACCCCTCTCTCGCCCCTCCACACCTCTCCTCACGCTTTTCGTTTGCCACTCTCCCTTCCGGCCTCTCTCACTCCTCTCTTCTCCCTGCCACCTACACTCCCTCCCTTCTCCACCCCTCTCAACCACCCAAACCTCTGACACCTCTTCCTGCCCAGCGACTCCCTCTCGACCAAGCCTCAGGTCCAGGTTCGGGTGACAGTGGCCTGGTAGGGGCAGGACGGGGGGCGGAGAAACATGGTGGTGGTGGCAGGAGGGGCGTTGGTGGAGGGGGCGGGAGCATGAGGGGAGTGGGTGTGGGGGCGTTTCAGCTGGGGAAGGTGTTTACTGCAGTGCAGGTGACAGGGGGCGATGAGAGCTTGCACAGGCACCGGGGATGTGAGGGCGAAGAGGGGCGTGGGGGTGATGAGGGGTGTGAGATGGCCGTGAGAGAAGGGGAGACGCGAGGACAAGAGCGGGAAAAGGAAGGGGGTTGCGGAAGGGATGGGATGCAGGTGACGGGGGTCATGGAGGAGGAAAGCAGAGAGCAGCAGGGGATGGAAATCTGTAGGTCAGAGCAAGAGAATGCCCTGTGCTCACACGGAGGACATAAGTCCAACTCACAGCCCTTGCAGCACAGTCTGCACGCACATACATGCCTTGCTGCTGCAGTCCCAGAGCCAATGCAAGACTGCCACGTGGCAGGGCAGGGGCGATGTGGGTCGTGTGTGCGGCGGCACGTGCATCGAGTAGCGGCGTCGGCATGTGGGGTGGCGCATCTGCTGCTGGAAGAGCTGCAGCGGCGGCACGGAGTGGAAACACAAGCAGATAAGGAGGCTGTGGAAGAGTGGCGGCGAGGGGAGTCAGGGAATGTTAGCCGGGAGTGTGGTGAGGGGTCACAGGCGGGAGCGCCAACGACGGATGTGGGTTGTTGCAGGGATGAGCGGTGCTGTGCATTGAGCAGTGGTGCTGAGGGTGCAGCAGAGGGCATGGCGTGCCGGCATCTGCTAGATGCCATGCTGACTGTGTGCCTACGACTTGCTGCTCCAAGTGGGAATGGGAGTAGGGAGTGCAGAAACTGTCTTGCTGATGCAAATCATCCTGATCAATTTTAGTGCTTACGGATTGATATATCGTTGTAAAGATGTACATGCTGAGTGTATTGAAAACGACATTTTGAAATCCAGCGCCATTCCATCTTGCGTAAAAATACCATCTCATCTTATAGTGCGTACAGTGTAACAGCAACAATCTGGATGTAGAGCGCGCGTTGACCCGTTCATTGTCGAGAGCCTCTATGGGAGTTCCTAAAGAACACGCTTTGTGCCGTTAGTGGTCATCCCACCATCCTCAGTTTAGTTTACGCGCGCGTTTCCCGCCACTCCTCCAAGACACAATCGAGCCCCACCGTTCTCCGAGTCAGCTTATAACGCCGTTTAATTCTGTGCTCTCCCGTCTCTCCTTGCGCGGCCGCGCAAGATGCCTTCGTAGCTGGGCCCTAGACCGCGCAATTGTCGCCGCAATCGCCGCCGCGAGTCCCCCTGCTGGGTGCGCCGCGTCATGGCGAGGGGCGAGGCGCGGAGAGGTCCCGCCCGGGCCTCGGGGAAACGACCGCACGCTGCCTCGTCGCGAGCAGCCTCGTCGCATAGCACGTCGCACGGCGCGTCGTCAGCGTCGCCACAATCGCCGTCACCACAATGGCACAGTAGGGGCCCCGCAAACGGCTTCCCCCCATGGGCGCGACGTGAGAGCGCGGGGAGCGCGTTCGCGGAGCGGGCGGGCCGATACTGCGCGGTCGCGTGGCGCGTGGCGGGGGCAGCAGCGCGGTTGGCGGCGGCGGCGGGCTTGTGGGCGGCGGTTGCGGCGGCGGCGTTCGTGATCCGCGGGTGCGCGTCGCTGGTGCCGCCGTCGCTGGGGTCGGCGGTGCTGCCGCTGGTGGGCGCGCTGGTGGGCATGGGGCGCACCCTCGGCTGGCTCGTGCTCCTGCCCTCCCTCGTACGCACCCCCCCCGCCCACCCCCTCGCCCGCTCCCTCCCCCACCCCCTCCCCCACCCCCTCGCCCGCCCCCTCGCCCGCCCACTCTCCCACCCCCTTCCATCCACTCCCTCCTTGTGCGTGCACATCCCCCTGCTCCCTTCACGCCACCCACCCCACCTGCTTTGCCCCCACTTTTCCCCCCTTTTCCTCCCCTGCGCCCCTCCCCCCCGCACCCGCCGCCTCCCATCCGCTGCGGCGAGCAGGTGGTGCTGGTGCTGCTGTCATTCTTCCTGCCGCTGCTGCTCACACTCGCGCTGCTGGTGCTGCTCGCGCTCTTCACAGCACTGCGCGCCAAGCTGCTGCTATTCGCCCTCGCCACCGCCCTCACAGCAGGTCAGCGCCACCTCTTTGAGAGAAGCTTTCTCAGGTGGTTGTTGAAATGATCAAACACCAACGCTTCCCCACTCCTGCCCACACACACGCACACTCCCTCCTCGCCTGCCTCCCTTTTCTCCACCTGTCGTCTTCACCTTCTCCCCCAACTTTTTCAACACCACCTTTCCCCCCCCGCCCACCTTCCCACCCGCGCTCTCTTCCCACTGTTCTGCCCGCCCTCCAACCACCCCCCCCCCCACCCCCCCCCAGGGATAGTGGCGGCGAGCGGGTCCCCCCGAGCAGCATTACTGCTGCTGGTGGCATCGACGGTGTATCATGTGGTGGTGCGCGCGGGACTCACCACGCTGTGCCTCACGCTGCTCGCCTCCTTCCTCGCATGCGACCTGCTGCTCCTCCTCGCCTCCTCCCTCCAAGACGACCCCCCCCAACCCGACTCAACCCCTCCGAACCAGTCCCAAGCAAGCGCGGCTGCAGGGGAGAAGCCAGGAGGGGTGGGGGGAGCGGCAGGGGAGGGGGGAGTGGGGTTGGCAGGGGGAGGGGGGGCCGGGGGAGAGGCGAGTGGGGGCGGGGAGATAGAGCGCATAGTGCGGTGCGACAACCACTACGAGGTGCTTCGCCTGGCGCCCTTCTGTGCGGCTGTGGATGAGAGCGCCCTCAAGAAGGAGTACCGCCGCATGGTGGGGCCGGGGGGAGGGGGGAGGCGGGAGGGGGGAGGGGGGAGGGGGGAGGGGGGAGGGGGAGGGGGGAGGGGGGAGGGGGGAGGGGGAATGGGAGAGGGCGCATGGGGGCAGGGTGACTTGGGAGAGGGAGGGGTTCGGGGGAAGGGGACGAGGTTGGGGAGGATAGGAGGCTGGGAAGAGTCTGGGAGAAAGTGTGAAGTGGTTTGTGGGAATGACGTGTGAGCTTGTAGTGTGGGGTCCACTGACCAAAGCAGTGGCCGACTGACTCTGATGATTTGTGTGCATGTGCGTGTGCGTGTGCATGTGCATGTGCATGTGTATGTGTATGTGTATGTGCGTGTGCGTGTGCCTGTGCCTGTGCATGTGCATGTGCATGTGCTTGTGCCTGTGACGTGCAGGCAATGCTAGTGCATCCGGACAAGCACGGGGGGGACGAGAAGAATGCCATTGTGGCGTTTCAACGCCTGCAGAGCGCATACGAGGTACACCATGTGCTCTCTTCATAAAAGAATCACGACAACCAGTGCACACCACGCCACGCCACTCCACGCCACCGCATATGCTCGTTGGCATGGCATCCACTCCCTTTCCCCTTCGCTTGCCCTTCAATGCGGTTTGTGCGTGCGTGTGTGTGTGGGGGGGGGAGGAGGAGGAGGGAGGGGTGTGTGTGTGTGTGTGTGCATGTATGTGTGTGTACATGTGTGTGTGCATGTGTGTGTCTGTGTGTGCATGTGTGTGTGTGTGTGCATGCGTGTGTGTGTCTGTGTGTGCATGTGTGTGTGTGTGGTGGTGGTGGGTGTGCGGGCAGGTGCTATCAGACGAGGGGAGGCGGCGGGAGTACGAGGGCGAGCTGAGGCGCGAGCAGCTCGTGGAGCTCATCACACGCAGGGCTGCACACATGTGGCAGGTCCGTGCTGACGTGGCAGGTCCGTGTGCTGACGTGGCAGGTTAAGACTGCATTTGCAGGATAAAGTGGAGGATGAGAGGAGTGGCAGAGGAGACTGGCAGGAAGGAGTGGGGATGATGGGGTACTGCAAGCATGGTGGTGGCAGGAGGCAATCAAGGAAGCTCAAGGGTTACGACACCCTGAACTTACCATGTCTCGTCCTTGCATTCGCTTCACACTGCTGCTTCTCCTCTCCCACATCTCTTCCCCTCCCTATTGTGGGGATGCAGACGAGCGGCACATCAGCTGGCAGGGCGGCAGCAGGGGGCATGGGCGGGGCAGCAGGGAAAGGGGGAGGGGGGGTGGGGCAGGCAGGGGGGGCAGCAGCGGGCGAGGAGGAGGAGGGGGGCCGGCCAGTGGCGTGCACGGAGTGTGGGATGGCGCATGTGTGGCGCCCCGTCAACCGCCCCTGTAGCCAAGCCCGCTGGTGCCAGGTGGGGTGCGGTGGGGTGCAGTGGGATCCAGTGGGGTCCAGTGGGGTACACTGGGGGGAGTGGGATGCAGTGGCAGATGGGGTCGTGTGCACTGGAAGTCGATGGTCATAGGTGGGATGGAATTTGAGTGCTTTGAGTGTATGTTCTACGAGAAGAAATATGGTATTCCAGACTCCATCCGTTTGTCTATGTGTAATTATCTGTGTTCTTGTGTGCCTGTGTGCGTGTGTGCCTGTGGTGTCGTGTGCGTGTGTGCATGCGTTCATGTGGCAGGAGTGTCAGAGGCACCACCCATGCAAGGAGGGGGATGGCTGGGTGGAGCAACTTCCTCAGCCTGCCTTGTTTGGCATGCTCTCTGTTGTGAGTCCACATGCTGCCACACACTCTGCACTCACCAACCGGCACAGCACTTCCCCTCTCACAGCAATGCCACGTCACAGCAATGCCACGTCACAGCAATGCCACGTCACAGCACTGCCACGTCACAGCACTGCCACTCTCACAGCGCTGCCACTCTCACACCATGCTTCTTCACTCACCTGCCCTCGTGTTTCCCCGTTGCCACCGCCACCTGTCACAATGTCACCACCTGACTTCCTCCCCTGTGCTACCCCTGCCCCATACCCCCCCTGCCGCGCGAGCAGAAGGGCCCACAGCACTTTTACACGTGCACGGACGGGCAGGTCTACCACATCACTGACTGGGCGCGCTGCCAGGTGGGTTGCGGTGCTGCCAGGTGGGTTGCGGTGCTGCCAGGTGGGTTGCGGTGCTGCCAGGTGGGTTGCTCTGCTGGCAGGTGGGTTGCTCTACTGCCAGGTGGGTTGCGGTGCTGCCAGGTGGGTTGCTCTGCTGGCAGGTGGGTTGCTCTACTGCCAGGTGGGTTGCTCTGCTGCCAGGTGGGTTGCTCTGCTGCCAGGTGAGCATCTGTTTTTTGCTCACTTTCCTCTGCTCGTTCAGCCACCCGGTTTCTGCTGCCTACCTTACGCCGCACCCGCAAAGCTGGGGCTTGATCATGGAATGGTGACTTGCAGTTTGGAGCACACTTAGCTCATCTCGAACGTCGCCAGCCCCCTCAGCTGTTCAGCAGCCAATGGTTTGGGAGTCATGTGTGTATCAAACATATAAGTGATTCTCCTCTGTGCCCCGTGCGCCCTTGCTGCTGGCAGGGCATGCAGTGCCCGCCCAACACGCACAAGCCCTCCTTCCACTTCAAGCTCTCCCCTCACCCGCCCTCGCCGCCTGCATCCTCCGCCTCGCCCAGGAGCCAGCGCCAGAGGGGCAGAGGGGGCAGGGGCAGCGCCCGGGGCAGGGAAGAGCGCGAGGAGGGGTGGGCAGCAGGCATGGCAGGGGGCAGCAGCGGCGGCGGAGTGCGTGTGGAGCTTAGTGAGGAAGAGATGGTGACCCTCCTGGCCCGTGCTGTGAGCACTGGCGCCTTGAGCCCCACCCAGCTCTCAGATGCCCTCAGAACAGCATCCCAATGTAGTGACAAGGGCCCACCCCCTCGGCGGAAAGGCAGGCGGCAGAAACCTCACTAAGCAGCAATTGGAAACATCACCAATTCAGTTGAAAGCAATCGTATACCAACTCGTATCCTTCACTCAAGGTAGAAGGTCCTACATAAAGGTTTTGCATGGTGGATGTCTGTAGTGTATTTGAATCAACCTGCAAGCAAAACTATGTTTTAGCTGTGCTTGTTTGGTCAACTGCAAACAATCTGCTGCACATGTGCAGGAAATGCAGCGGGCGCTCTTCATTCGCGAGCGCTGATGACCGATGATGCTCGCAACACTCCCACGCCCTTGCTGGCTTAGCAATAGGCCCAGACAAGCGTAGCCACGTGACCCAGCGGAAGAAAAACGTTTGGAACGAGCGCCTCCAGCCCCAAAACGCGGAAGGGTCCGCACGTGTGCAGGAAGTGAAGTGGGCGCTCTTCATTCACGAGCGCCGATGACCGATGATGCTCGCAACCCTCCCACGCCCTTGCTGGCTTGGCAATAGGCCCAGACAAGCGCAGCCACGGGACCCGGCGAGCGCGCGGGGGGTGCAACGAGCTCCCGGCGAGTGCGCGGGGGGTGCAACGACCTCCCGGCGAGCGCGCGGGGGGTTCAACGAGCTCCCGGCGATCGCGCGGGGGGTGCAACGAGCTCCCGGCGAGCGCGCGGGGGGTGCAACGAGCTCTCGGCGAGCGCGCGGGGGGTGCAACGAGCTCCCGGCGAGCGCGCGGGGGGTGCAACGAGCTCCCGGCGAGCGCGCGGGGGGTGCAACGCTCCCGGCGAGCACGCGGGGGGTGCAACAAGCTCTCGGCGAGCGCGCGGGGGGTGCAACGACCTCCCGGCGAGCGCGCGGGGGGTGCAACGAGCTCCCGACGAGCGCGCGGGGGGTGCAACGACCTCCCGGCGATCGCGCGGAGGGTGCAACGTCCTCCCGGCGAGCGCGTAGGGGGTGCAACGACCTTCCGGCGAGCGCGCGGGGGGTGCAACGACCTTCCGGCGAGCGCGCGGGGGGTGCAACGACCTCCCGGCGAGCGCACGGGGGTGCAACGACCTCCCGGCGAGCGCGCGGAGGGTGCAACGACATCCCGGCGAGCACGCGGGGGGTGCAACGACCTCCCGGTGACCGTCGGGGGCTGCAACTACCTCCCAGCGAGCGCGCGGAGGGTGCAACGAGCTCCCGGCGAGCGCGCGGGGGGTGCAACGACCTCCCGGCGAGCGCGCGGGGGGTGCAACGAGCTCCCGGCGAGCGCGCGGGGGGTGCAACGACCTCCCGGCGAGCGCGCGGGGGGTGCAACGACCTCCCGGCGAGCGCGCGGGGCGTGCAACGAGCTCCTGGCGAGCACGCGGGGGGTGCAACGAGCTCCCGGCGAGTGCGCGGGCGGTGCAACGACCTCCCGGCGAGCGCGCGGGGGGTGCAACGTCCTCTCGGCGAGCGCGCGGGAGGTGCAACGTCCTCCCGGCGAGCGCGCGGGGAGTGCAACGAGCTCCTGGCGAGCGCGCGAGGGGTGCAACGTCCTCCCGACGAGCGCGCGGGGGGTGCAACGACCTCCCGGCGAGCGCGCGTGGGGTGCAACGACCTCCCGGCGAGCGCGCGGGGGTTGCAACGACCTCCCGGCGAGCGCGCGGGGGGTGCAACGTCCTCCCGGCGAGCGCGCGGGGGGTGCAACGTCCTCACGGCGAGCGCGCGGGGGGTGCAACGTCCTCCCGGCGAGCGCGCAGGAGGTGCACGTCCTCACGGCGAGCGCGCGGGGGGTGCAACGAGCTCCCGGCGATCGCGCGGAGGGTGCAACGTCCTCCCGGCGAGCGCGCGGGGGGTGCAACGACCTCCCGGCGAGCGCGCGGGGGGTGCAACGACCTCCCGGCGAGCGCGCGGGGGGTGCAACGAGCTCCCGGCGAGCGCGCGGGGGATGCAACGAGCTCTCGGCGAGCGCGCGGGGGGTGCAACGTCCTCCCGGCGAGCGCGCAGGAGGTGCACGTCCTCACGGCGAGCGCGCGGGGGGTGCAACGAGCTCCCGGCGAGCGCGCGGGGGGTGCAACGACATCCCGGCGAGCGCGCTGGGGGGTGCAACGACCTCCCGGCGAGCGCCGGGGGCTGCAACGACCTCCCGGCGAGTGCGCGGGGTGTGCAACGACCTCCCGGCGAGCGCGCGGGGGGTGCAACGACCTCCCGGCGAGCGCGCGGGGGGTGCAACGACCTACCGGCGAGCGCGCGGGGGGTGCAACGAGCTCCCGGCGAGCGCGCGAGGGGTGCAACGACCTCTCGGCGAGCGCGCGGGGGTTGCAACGACCTCCCGGCGAGCGCGCGGGGGGTGCAACGACCTCCCGGCGAGCGCGCGGGGGGTGCGACGTCCTCACGGCGAGCGCGCGGGGGGTGCGACGTCCTCACGGCGAGCGTGCGGGGGGTGCAACGAGCTCTCGGCGAGCGCGCGGGGGTTGCAACGACCTCCCGGCGAGCGCGCGGGAGGTGCAACGTCCTCACGGCGAGCGCGCGGGGGGTGCAACGTCCTACTGGCGAGCGCGCGGGAGGTGCAAAGTGCTCCTGGTGAGCGCGCGGGGGGTGCAACGAGCTCCCGGCGAGCGCGCGGGGGGTGCAACGTCTTCCCGGCGAGCGCGCGGGAGGTGCAACGTCCTCCCGGCGAGCGCGCGGGGGGTGCAACGAGCTCTTGGCGAGCGCGCGAGGGGTGCAACGTCCTCCCGGCGAGCGCGCGGGGGGTGCAACGACCTCCCGGCGAGCGCGCGTGGGGTGCAACGACCTCCCGGCGAGCGCGCGGGGGGTGCAACGACCTCCCGGCGAGCGCGCGGGGGGTGCAACGTCCTCACGGCGAGCGCGTGGGGGGTGCAACGAGCTCCCGGCGAGCGCGCGGGGGGTGCAACGTCCTCCCGGCGAGCGCGCGGGGGGTGCAGCGTCCTCCCGGCGAGCGCGCAGGAGGTGCAGCGTCCTCACGGCGAGCGCGCGGGGGGTGCAACGTCCTCCCAGCGAGCGCGCGGGAGGTGCAACGTCCTCCCAGCGAGCGCGCGGGAGGTGCAACGTCCTCCCGGCGAGCACGCGCGGGGTGCAACGAGCTCCTGGCGAGCGCGCGGGGGGTGCAACGTCCTCCCGGCGAGCGCGCGGGGATTGCAACGAGCTCCCGGCGAGCGCGCAGGGGGTGCATCGAGCTCCCGGCGAGCGCGCGGGGGGTGCAACGTCCTCCCGGCGAGCGCGCGGGGGGTGCAACGAGCTCCCGGCGAGCGCGCGGGGGGTGCAACGAGCTCCCGGCGAGCGCGCGGGGGGTGCAACGTCCTCCCGGCGAGCGCGCGGGGGGTGCAACGTCCTCCCGGCGAGCGCGCGGGAGGTGCAACGACCTCCCGGCGAGCGCACGGGGGGCCGCGATGGGGACTGCGACGGGGCGAACGGGTCCCGCCATTGCGCAGATCGTCGCCGTGACGGTCGCGGGTAGAAGCAACTCGACGTGTAGCTCGACTGAGGGCGCCATTGAATAGGCTAACGGTGGGCCCATAAAATTTAGGTCCTAGCTCGGACCTGCTCTGATAACATCTTAAGATGCAAACTTAGTAGCTTAGGAAACCTAGGTTTAGGAACCATAGCTAGAGTAGCAAAGGTAGCATGGCAAGAGCGAGAGTATCGACCGTAAAGGGGAATTCACTATAGTTCGGAAGGTACAAATAGGAAATGCGGCGAGCGCGCAGGGGGTGCAACGACCTCCCGGCGAGCACGCGGGGGGTGCAACGTCCTCCCGGCGAGCGCACGGGGGGTGCAACGAGCTCACGGCGAGCGCGCGGGGGGTGCAACGTCCTCCCGGCGAGCGCGCAGGGGTTGCAACGACCTCCCGGCGAGCGCGCGGGGGGTGCAACGTCCTCCCGGCGGGCGCGCGGGAGGTGCAACGTCCTCACGGCGAGCGCGCGGGGGGTGCAACGAGCTCCCGGCGAGCGCGCGGGGGGTGCAACGAGCTCCCGGCGAGCGCGCGGGGGGTGCAACGTCCTCCCGGCGAGCGCGCGGGGGGTGCACGAGCTCTCGGCGAGCGCGCGGGGGGTGCAACGAGCTCCCGGCGAGCGCGCGGGGGGGGCAACGACCTCCCGGCGAGCGCGCGGGGGGTGCAACGTCCTCCCGGCGGGCGCGCGGGAGGTGCAACGTCCTCACGGCGAGCGCGCGGAGGGTGCAACGACCTCCTGGCGAGCGCGCGGGGGGTGCAACGAGCTCCCGGCGAGCGCGCGGGGGGTGCAACGAGCTCCCGGCGAGCGCGCGGGGGGTGCAACGACCTCCCGGCGAGCGCGCGGGGGGTGCAACGTCCTCCCGGCGGGCGCGCGGGAGGTGCAACGTCCTCACGGCGAGCGAGCGGGGGGTGCAACGTCCTCCCGGCGAGCGCGCGGGAGGTGCAACGTGCTCCCGGCAAGCGCGCGGGGGGTGCAACGAGCTCCCGACGAGCGCGCGGGGGGTGCAACGTCCTCCCGGCGAGCGCACGGGAGGTGCAACGTCCTCCCGGCGAGCGCGCGGGGGGTGCAACGAGCTCCCGGCGAGCGCGCGGGGGGTGCAACGACCTCCCGGCGAGCGCGCGGGGGGTGCAACGTCCTCCCGGCGAGCGCGCGGGGGATGCAACGACCTCCCGGGGAGCGCGCGGGGGATGCAACGACCTCCCGGCGAGCGCGCAGGGGGTGCAACGACCTCCCGGCGAGCGCGCGGGGGGTGCAACGACCTCCCGGCGAGCGCGCGGGGGGTGCAACGACCTCCCGGCGAGCGCGCGGGGGGTGCAACGACCTCCCGGCGAGCACGCGGGGGGTGCAACGTCCTCCCGGCGAGCGCTCGGGGGGTGCAACGAGCTCACGGCGAGCGCGCGGGGGGTGCAACGTCCTCCCGGCGAGCGCGCGGGGGGTGCAACGAGCTCCCGGCGAGCGCGCGGGGGGTGCAACGTCCTCCCGGCGGGCGCGCGGGAGGTGCAACGTCCTCACGGCGAGCGCGCGGGGGGTGCAATGAGCTCCTGGCGAGTGCGCGGTGGGTGCAACGTCTTCCTGGCGAGCGCGCGGGGGGTGCAACGAGCTCCCGGCGAGCGCGCGGGGGGTGCAACGAGCTCCCGGCGAGCGCGCGGGGGGTGCAACGTCCTCCCGGCGAGCGCGCGGGGGGTGCACGAGCTCCCGGCGAGCGCGCGGGGGGTGCAACGAGCTCCCGGCGAGCGCGCGGGGGGTGCAACGACCTCCCGGCGAGCGCGCGGGGGGTGCAACGAGCTCCCTGCGAGCGCGCGGGGGGTGCAACGACCTCCCGGCGAGCGTGCGGGGGGGTGCAACGTCCTCCCGGCGGGCGCGCGGGGGGTGCAACGTCCTCACGGCGAGCGCGCGGGGGGTGCAACGTCCTCCCGGCGAGCGCGCGGGAGGTGCAACGTCCTCCCAGCAAGCGCGCGGGGGGTGCAACGAGCTCCCGGCGAGCGCGCGGGGGGTGCAACGTCCTCCCGGCGAGCGCACGGGAGGTGCAACGTCCTCCCGGCGAGCGCGCGGGGGGTGCAACGAGCTCCCGGCGAGCGCGCGAGGGGTGCAACGACCTCCCGGCGAGCGCGCGGGGGGTGCAACGTCCTCCCGGCGAGCGCGCGGGGGGTGCAACGAGCTCCCGGCGAGCGCGCGGGGGGTGCAACGACCTCCCGGCGAGCGCGCGGGGGGTGCAACGACCTCCCGGCGAGCGCGCGGGGGGTGCAACGACCTCCCGGCGAGCGCGCGGGGGGTGCAACGACCTCCCGGCGCGCACGCGGGGGGTGCAACGTCCTCCCGGCGAGCGCTCGGGGGGTGCAACGAGCTCACGGCGAGCGCGCGGGGGGTGCAACGTCCTCCCGGCGAGCGCGCGGGGGTTGCAACGACCTCCCGGCGAGCGCGCGGGGGGTGCAACGTCCTCCCGGCGGGCGCGCGGGAGGTGCAACGTCCTCACGGCGAGCGCGCGGGGGGTGCAACGAGCTCCCGACGAGCGCGCGGGGGGTGCAACGTGCTCCCGGCGAGCGCGCGGGAGGTGCAACGTGCTCCCGGCGAGCGCGCGGGGGGTGCAACGACCTCCCGGCGAGCGCGCGGGGGGTGCAACGTCCTCCCGGCGAGCGCGCGGGGGGTGCAACGACCTCCCGGCGAGCGCGCGGGGGGTGCAACGTCCTCCCGGCGGGCGCGCGGGGGGTGCAACGTCCTCACGGCGAGCGCGCGGGAGGTGCAACGTCCTCCCGGCGAGCGCGCGGGGGGTGCAACGACCTCCCGGCGAGCGCGCGGGGGGTGCAACGACCTCCGGGCGAGCGCGCGGGGGGTGCAAGGAGCTCCCGGCGAGCGCGCGGGGGGTGCAACGACCTCCCGGCGAGCGCGCGGGGGGTGCAACGTCCTCCCAGCGGGCGCGCAGGAGGTGCAACGTCCTCACGGCGAGCGCGCGGGGGGTGCAACGAGCTCCCGGCGAGCGCGCGGGGGGTGCAACGACCTCCCGGCGAGCGCTCGGGGGGTGCAACGTCCTCCCGGCGAGCGCGCGGGGGATGCAACGAGCTCCCGGCGAGCGCGCGGGGGGTGCAACGACCTCCCGGCGAGCGCGCGGGGGGCGCAACGTCCTCCCGGCGAGCGCGCGGGGGGTGCAACGTCCTCCCGGCGAGCGCGCGGGGGGTGCAACGTCCTCCCCGCGAGCGCGCGGGGTGTGCAACGACCTCCCGGCGAGCGCGCGGGGGGTGCAACGTCCTCCCGGCGAGCGCGCGGGGGGTGCAACGACCTCCCGGCGAGCGCGCGGGGGGTGCAACGAGCTCCCGGCGAGTGTGAGGGGGATGCAACGACCTCCCGGCGAGCGCGCGGGGGGTGCAACGTCCTCCCGGCGGGCGCGCGGGAGGTGCAACGTCCTCACGGCGAGCTCGCGGGGGGTGCAACGTCCTCCCGGCGAGCGCGCGGGGGGTGCAACGTCCTCCCGGCGAGCGCGCGGGAGGTGCAACGTGCTCCCGGCAAGCGCGGGGGGGGTGCAACGAGCTCCCGGCGAGCGCGCGGGGGGTGCAACGTGCTCCCGGCGAGCGCGCGGGGGGTGCAACGTGCTCCCGGCGAGCGCGCGGGGGGTGCAACGTGCTCCCGGCGAGCGCGCGGGGGGTGCAACGTGCTCCCGGCGAGCGCGCGGGGGGTGCAACGAGCTCCCGGCGAGCGCGCGGGGGGTGCAACGAGCTCCCGGCGAGCGCGCGGGGGGGTGCAACGAGCTCCCGGCGAGCGCGCGGGGGGTGCAACGAGCTCCCGGCGAGCGCGCGGGGGGTGCAACGACCTCCCGGCGAGCGCGCGGGGGGTGCAACGAGCTCCCGGCGAGCGCGCGGGGGGTGCAACGACCTCCCGGGGAGCGCGCGGGGGGTGCAACGACCTCCCAGCGAGCGCGCGGGGGGTGCAACGACCTCCCGGGGAGCGCGCGGGGGGTGCAACGACCTCCCGGCGAGCGCTCGGGGGGAGCAACGACCTCCCGGCGAGCGCGCGGGGGGTGCAACGTCCTTCCGGCGAGCGCTCGGGGGGAGCAACGAGCTCCCGGTGAGCGCGCGGGGGGTGCAACGACCTCCCGGCGAGCGCGCGGGGGTTGCAACGACCTCTCGGCGAGCGCGCGGGGTGTGCAACGACCTCCCGGCGAGCGCGCGGGGGGTGCAACGACCTCCCGGCGAGCGCGCGGGGGGTGCAACGTCCTCCCGGCGAGCGCGCGGGGGGTGCAACGACCTCCCGGCGAGCGCGCGGTGGGTGCAACGTCCTCCCGGCGAGCGCGCGGGGCTTGCAACGACCTCCCGGCGAGCGCGCGGGGGATGCAACGTGCTCCCGGCGAGCGCGCGGAGGGTGCAACGAGCTCCCGGCGAGCGCGCGGGGGGTGCAACGTCCTCCCGGCGAGCGCGCGGGGGGTGCAACGTCCTCCCGGCGAGCGCGCGGGGGGTGCAACGTCCTCCCGGTGAGCGCGCGGGGGGTGCAACGACCTCCCGGCGAGCGCGCGGGGGGTGCAACGACCTCCCGATGAGCGCGCGGGGGGGTCACGTGGCTGCGCTTGTCTGGTCCTCATGCCAAGCCAGCAAGGGCGTGGGAGGGTTGCGAGCATCATCGGTCATCGGCGCTCGCGAATGAAGAGCGCCCGCTGCACTTCCTGCACGCGTGCGGATCCTTTCGCGTTTTGGGGGTGGATGCGCTCATTCCGAGCGTTTTTCTTCCGCCGTGTCATGTGGCTGCGCTTGTCTGGTCCTCTTGCCCAGCCAGCAAGGGCGTGGGAGGGTTGCAAGCATCATCGGTCATCGGCGCTCGTGAATGAAGAGCGCTCGCTGCACTTCCTGCACATGTGCGGATCCTTCCGCGTTTTTGGGGTGGTAGCGCTCATTCCGAGCGTTTTTCTTCCAACAGATCACGTGGCTGCGCTTTTCTCGTCCTATTGCCAAGCCAGCAAGGGCGTGGAAAAGTTGCGAGCATCATCGGTCATTGGCGCTCGCGAATGAAGAGCACCCGCTGCACTTCGTGCACATGTGCGGATCCTTGCGTGTTTTGGGGGTGAAGCCGCTCGTTCCGAGCGTTTTTCTTCCGCCGGGTCGCTGCGCTTGTCTGGTCCTATTGCCAAGTCAGCAAGGGCGTAAGAGGGTTGCGAGCATCATCGGTCATCGGCGCTCGCGAATGAAGAGCGTCCGCTGCACTTCCTGCACGTGCGGATCCTTCCGCGTTTGGGGGGTGAAAGCGCTCGTTCCGAGCGTATTTCTTTCGCCGGGTCACATGGCTGCGCTTGTCTGGTCCTCTTGCTAAGCCAGCAAGGGCGTGTGAGGGTTGCGAGCATCATCGGTCATCGGCGCTCGCGAATGAAGAGCACCCGCTGCACTTCGTGCACATGTGCGGATCCTTCCGCGTTTTGGGGGTCAAAGCGCTCGTTCCAAGCGATTTTTTTTCCGCCGGGTCACGTGGCTGCGCTTGTCTGGTCCTATTGCCAAGCCAGCAAGGGCGTGGGAGGGTTGCGGGCATCATCGGTCAACGGCGCTCGCGAATGAAGAGCGCCCGCTGCACATCCTGCACGAATGCAAATCCTTCAGCGTTTTGAAGATGGAAGCGCTCGTTACGAGCGTTTTTCTTCCGCCGGGTCACGTGGCTGCGCTTGTCTGGTCCTGTTGCCAAGCCAGCAAGGGCGTGGGAGGGTTGCGAGCATCATCCGTCATCGGCGCTCGCGAATGAAGAGCGCCCGCTGCACTTCGTGCACATGTGCGGATCCTTCCGCGTTTTGGGGGTAGAAGCGTTCATTCCAAGCGTTTTTCTTCCGCCGAGTCACGTGGCTGCGCTTGTCTGGTCCTATTGTCAAGCCAGCAAGGGCGTGGGAGGGTTGTGAGCATCATCGGTCATCGGCACTCGCGAATGAAGAGCGCCCGCTGCACTTCCTGCACATGTGCGGATCCTTCCACATTTTGGGGGTGGAAGCGCTCGTTACGAGCGTTTTTTTTCCGCCTAGTCAAGTGGCTGCGCTTGTCTGGTCCTATTGCCAAGCCAGCAAGGGCGTGGGAGGGTTGCGGGCATCATCGGTCATCGGCGCTCGCGAATGAAGAGCGCCCGCTGCACTTCCTGCACATGTGCGTATCCTTCCGCAGTTTGGGGCTGGAAGCGCTCGTTCCGAGCGTTTTTCTTCCGCCGGGTCACGTGGCTGCGCTTTTCTGGTCCTATTACCAAGCCAGCAAGGGCGTGGGACGGTTGCGAGCATCATCGGTCATCGGCGATCGCGAATGGAGAGCGCCCGCTGCACTTCCTGCACATGTGCGTATCCCTCCGCATTTTGAGGCTAGAAGCGCTCGTTCCGAGCGTTTTTCTTTCGCCGGGTCACGTGGCTGCACTTGTCTGGTCCTATTACCAAGCCATCAAGGGCGTGGGAGGGTTGCGAGCATCATCGGTCATCGGCGATCGCGAATGGAGAGCGCCCGCTGCACTTCCTGCACATGTGCGTATCCTTCCGCATTTTGGGGCTGGAAGCGCTCGTTCCGAGCGTTTTTCTTCCGCCGGGTCACGTGGCTGCGCTTCTCTAGTCCTATTACCAAGCCAGCAAGGGCGTGGGAGGGTTTCGAGCATGATCGGTCATCGGCGATCGCGAATGGAGAGCGCCCGCTGCACTTCCTGCACATGTGCTTATCCTTCCGCATTTTGAGGCTGGAAGCGCTCGTTCCGAGCGCTTTTCTTCCGCCGAGTCACGCGGCTGAGCTTGTGTGGTCCTATTACCAAGCCAGCAAGGGCATGGGAGGGTTGCGAGCATCATCGGTCATTGGCGATCGCGAATGGAGAGCGCCCGCTGCACTTCCTGCACATGTGCGTATCCTTCCGCATTTTAAGGCTGGAAGCGCTCGTTCCGAGTGTTTTTTTTCCACCGGGTCACGCGGCTGCGCTTGTCTGGTCCTATTACCAAGCCAGCAAGGGCATGGGAGGGTTGCGAGCATCATCGGTCATCGGCGCTCGCGAATGGAGAGCGCCCGCTGCACTTCCTACACATGTGCTGATCCTTCCGCATTTTGAGGCTGGAAGCGCTTGTTCCGAGCGTTTTTCTTCCACCAGGTCACCTGGCTGCGCTTGTCTGGACCTATTACCAAGCCATCAAGGGCGTGGGAGGGTTGCGAGCATCATCGGTTATCAGCGATCGCGAATGGAGAGCGCCCGCTGCACTTCCTGCACATGTGCGTATCCTTCCGCAGTTTGGGGCTGGAAGCGCTCGTTCCGAGCGTTTTTCTTCCGCCGGGTCACGTGGCTGCGCTTTTCTGGTCCTATTACCAAGCCAGCAAGGGCGTGGGACGGTTGCGAGCATCATCGGTCATCGGCGATCGCGAATGGAGAGCGCCCGCTGCACTTCCTGCACATGTGCGTATCCCTCCGCATTTTGAGGCTAGAAGCGCTCGTTCCGAGCGTTTTTCTTCCGCCGGGTCACGTGGCTGCGCTTGTCTGGTCCTATTACCAAGCCAGCAAGGGCGTGGGAGGGTTGCGAGCATCATCGGTTATCGGCGATCGCGAATGGAGAGCGCCCGCTGCACTTCCTGCACATGTGACGATCCTTCCGTATTTTGAGGCTGGAAGCGCTCGTTCCGAGCGTTTTTCTTCCGCCGGGTCTTGTGGCTGCGCTTGTCTGGTCCTATTACCAAACCAGCAAGGGCGTGGGAGGGTTGCGAGCATTATTGGTTACCGGCGATCGCGAATGGAGAGCGCCCGCTGCACTTCCTGCACATGTGCGTATCCCTCCGCATTTTGAGGCTGGAAGCGCTCGTTCCTGCACATGGGGCGGGGTGATGGAAAGCGAGAGAATGGGGCGGGGTTATGCAAAGAGGGAGGGCGGGGTGATGGAAAGCGGGAGAATGGGGCGGGGTGATGGAAAGCGGGAGAATGGGGCGGGTGATGGAAAGCGGGAGAATGGGGCGGGGTGAAGGAAAGAGGGAGAATGGGTGGGGTGATGGAAAGCGGGAGAATGGGGCAGGGTGATGGAAAGAGGGAGAATGGGGCGGGGTGATGGAAAGCGGGAGAATGGGGCAGGTGATGGAAAGCGGGAGAATGGGGCGGGGTGATGGAAAGCGGGAGAATGGGGCGGGGTGATGGAAAGCGGGAGAATGGGGCGGGGTGATGGAAAGCGGGAGAATGGGGCGGGGTGATGGAAAGCGGGGAAATCAGGCGGGGAGATGGAAAGCAGGAGAATGGGCGGGATGCTGGAAAGCGGGAGAATGGGCCGGGGTGATGGAAAGCGGGAGAATGGGGCGGGGTGCTGGAAAGCGGGAGAATGGGGTGGGGTGATGGAAAGCGGGAGAATGGGGCGGGGTGACGGAAAGCGGGAGAATGGGGCGGGGTTATGGAAAGAGGGAGAATGGGGCGGGGTGATGGAAAGCGGGAGAATGGGGTGGTGTGATGGAAAGAGGGAGAATGGGGCGTGGTGATGGAAAGCGGGAGAATGGGGCGGGGTGATGGATAGAGGGAGAATGGGGCGAGGTGATGGAAAGAGGGAGAATGTGGCGGGTTGATGGAGAAAGGGAGAATGGGGTGGGGTGATGGAAAGCGGGAGAATGGGGCGGGGTGATGGAAAGTGGGAGAATGGGGCGGGGTGATGGAAAGCGGGAGAATGGGCGGGTGATGGAAAGCGGGAGAATGGGGCGGGGTGATGGAAAGAGGGAGAATGGGGCGGGGTGATGAAAAGCGGGAGAATGGGGCGGGGTGATGGAATGCGGGAGAATTGGGCGGGGTGATGGAAAGCGGGAGAATGGGGCGGGGTGCAGGAAAGCGGGAGAATGGGGCGGGGTGATGGAAAGCGGGAGAATGGTGCGGGGTGCTGGAAAGCAGGAGAATGGGGCGGGGTGATGGAAAGCGGGAGAATGCGGCGGGGTGATGGAAAGCGGGAGAATGGGGCGGGGTTATGGAAAGCGGGAGAATGGGGTGGGGATATGGAAAGAGGGAGAATGGGGCGGGGTGATGGAAAGAGGGAGAATGGGGCGGGATGATGGAAAGAGGGAGAATGGGGTGGGGTGATGGAAAGCGGGAGAATGGGGCAGGGCGATGGAAAGAGGGAGAATGGGGCGG